TACCAACCTAAATCTGGTGAGCACAGTCACTAGATTGTGACGTCATCCAGCACCTTTCAAAAAGAAGAAGTAGAATGTCCATGCCCATGAGCACTAGAGTCCAGAGTCTAGGGGGCTAAGTTCAGAGTACTTCCACGTGTCATCTGTCATTCCTTGTGTTCGATGTCCTCTGTCACTTGTCATCTGTCACCTATCGCTTGTCATCTGTCACTTGTCGTCTGTCACTCTTTGTGTTCCATGCCATCTGTCACTCTTTGTGTTCCATGCCATCTGTCACTCTTTGTGTTCCATGCCATATGTCACTCTTTGTGTTCCATGCCACCTGTCACTCCTTGTGTTCCATGTCATCTGTCACTTGTCATCTGTCACTTGTCATCTGCCACTTGTCATCTGTCACGTGTCATCTGTCACTTGTCATCTGTCACTTGTCATCTGTCACTTCCGGCGGCCATCTTGTCACCCGTGCAGCCAACACCTTCTACCACAGGAACGGTTGTGACGTCACTTCCGGCGGCGGCCATCTTGAGCTGATACCGGCCTAGGTACACTACTCAAATGGGAAAAGCGCCCAGGTAAGATGTAAGATTAGCGTCTGCGGACGGCCGCAAGTAATAACTCCGTGGTGGGGGAACGTTATAGTGGGCAGTAGATGCGACTGGCGTTATGCGGCGCCGACTGAATGACTTCATCATACTTCGTCTCGTAAGCAACTGGTTGGCTCAGTAAGCAGAGCATCGGCATGCCAAGCCGGCGGGCCGGGGTTCGAATCCGTGCGAGGCTCACCTTTTTTTTATTTTTTTCTTGTTCTCAAGTGATTTCTAAAAAATATTCTCTATGGGAAATAGGTTCATTTAGGGGTTTTCTATGTTTAGGCCAGAGGTGAGGTTCGGTTATAGACCGTTGGCCCATAACACTAGGGGTGTCGATTATCTACGAAGGTATGGCCTTCAAGAGACATGAAGATTGAGTTGGATTATCGGGAAAAAAGTGGTTAGTTGGATCGGTACCCGGTCGCCCATCTCCCTAATCAATCAACTTCCTGTTGAAAGTAATGTTGAAAATTGTATTATAGAAGAAGCTTTAAAATTCATTGGAATAGTCGCATCTCGCCAAATTAACCGGGCGCTAGCCGATTTGCATACGTCTAAGTCGGTCCCGAAGGGCGGCATACGGACCGCAAGTTACCATCAACCGACATTTCTCTCAGATTATTTACGATGGTATGCCCTATGGTTAATTCCTTCATTTCGACCCATGAATCAATGCCATAACATTTGCATACAGTTTGGGTGGGCGAATTTAGACTTATTCGAAGGTCACTTTACATCATTGACCTGTATGTACAAGATTATCTACGAAGCTCCCAAATTTTGATCAAGGTTAGTTAAGCATAAACTATGCATGGAATAATGATTTGCATACGATTTGCGAGTTGCGGGGATTACATTTAGCCCAGTAAAATTAACAAAAATGGCGGCAAAATTCGTTCAACACCCTGTAAGAGCTCAAGATATCGACAATCAAATTCTTTCTAACTTTAGAACTTACACAAAACTCGTCCCGATTTACCCGTTTCGAGTTATTCGAGGTCGAAGTTTCGAAAAATCAGTTTTTGGTTCAAAAACCACTAAGAAACTAATTATTATGTCTGTACGACGCGTCTGAACTGCCATCCTGAAAAAACTTTTTTTTCACGGATATTTGCCTAATTTACTGTTGATCTCCTAATTCACAGTTGCAACTGTAAATTAGGAAGGAGAATCTTTTTTTTTTCAAAACATCTCCTAATTCACAGTTGCAACTGTAAATTAGGGGATGTGTAAAAAAAAAGTTTCCCCTTCCTAATTTACAGTTGCAACTATTAATTATGCAAGTACTCGTGAAAAAAAGTTTTTTCAGGATGGCAGTTCAAAAGCGTCATAGAGTTGGCCTAAAAACTAAAAAAATATATTTTCAACTCAAAACTTGAAGAAATATGTATTTTTTTTTTTTAATTTTGATCTTGATCTACAGGGTGACGTATTACTTTTATTGACCGGGCGGCCCGAGCCTTCGAGTAACTGGCACACAGCTCACGCGGTATATGGCTGTCTCTCTGACAATCACTGACCACCTGCTGTCCTGTCGTCCTTATATATCAGATGATTTGGCTGGCTATATGCTTGTCGAATGTTCCCGAAAATCATCGGTACCCTTCTTTTGTTCTCGAAGCTTTTCATAGAAAAGTATATATCTCTCTCTCTCTCTAATAGTTCCATCGATTGTTTTGAGATGTTTCTGTCGCTGCGACACATATTGGGTGTTCGAAAATATGTTGATTCATGTTAGAATTATTGGGATACTCGGGAACAATCTGATACGCGTGATACAGGAAGATCGATACGCCTTCTTGATGATGTTCGAGCCCCTCTCAGGGGAATATCACAATATCGTTCATGAAAATAACAAAAAACATGGGATCCAAAATTGATCCTTTAGGAACTCCCATTGTAACTCCAAGAGGATCAGATTCATAGAATCCAACAAGACTATCTGCCGGTTCTGCAAATGAGATGCGCCCCCTGACATCCCCCCTAGAGTCATCCTCTATCATCCCCGGCCCCCGGCACTAGTAGTAGGTGCCAGATTCGAGCTTAGTGACACCGAAACCTCCCTGAGAGCCCTTGGCACTCGATCATCCTTGAATTTCCAGTTTCGACTTTTTAATATTAGAAAAACTGAAAAAAAATAGACTCGATCCCTATAGCAAAATCGACGTATGCTCACAATACATTCGTATGCAAACGCTATTTTCTTATTCAGTATAACTGAATCTATCACCTGATTGAATGGCATACAAAATTATATAATCTTGATATATATAATCGATGATGTAAAGTGACCTTCGAATATGTCTAAATTCGCCCACCCAAACTGTATGCAAATGTTATGACATTGATTCATGGGTCGAAATGAAGGAATCAACCAAAGGGCATACCATCGTAAATAATCTAAGAGAAATGTCGGTTAACGGTAACTTGCGGTCCGTATGCCACCCTTCGGGACCGACCTAGACGTATGCAAATCGGCTAGCGCCCGGTTAATTTGGCGAGGTGCGACTATTCCAATGAATTTCAAAGCTTCTTCTATAATACAATTTTCAACATTACTTTCAACAGGAAGTTGATTGATTAGGGAGATGGGCGACCGGGTACCGATCCAACTAACCACTTTTTTCCCGATAATCCAACTCAATCTTCATGTCTTTTGAAGGGCATACCTTCGTAGATAATCGACACCCCTAGTGTTATGGGCCAACGGTCTATTAGGTTAGGTTAGAATAGAATAGAATATTTTATTTGGTGTTAATAAACATTAAGTTTTACACAGGTCAACGAAACAAGTACAGATATACTCATAAAATAGATAGGTTAGGTTTTCTCATTTTTTATGCAGAAACAATATTTTCCTTCCTCAAGAAAAATTCTCCAACTTCAAGAAAAAAGGTTCATCTAGGTCGATTGATTGTTAAAAAAAATTCCTTCCTTATATTAGACTCGACACAAGTTAACTAACGTTCCCCTACCACGGAGTTATTACTTGCGGCCGTCCGCAGACGCTAGTAGATGGAAGTACTTCACAAGGTCCAAGGATACCACTTTATGTTAATCTGCCGCGCTCGAGTAAATCTCGAAACCCCGCTTGGGCTTCCCTACTATTATGAACGAAACTGTTGAGCTGATAACGAGAAAAAATCAAATATTATTTCAAAATAAATTAAATGAGTAAGTACCTCAAACTTTCTTGGCAATGCTGTCTTATAATTATTGATATTATCTCAAAATGATTCTAGCTCAAGCATACCTATTTGTTAGGATGAACAACAATGATACCACCATATTTGAAAATAATTTGAAAAAGAAGAATTTCTATTCTATTTTAATTTCACTCATCATTAGACGATTTGGGAACAAATCTGCTCCGTCTACTGCCTACGCGTGAGCGTATACACTAAGCCACAGATAACTGTGTACGTCCAGAGGACGTACATCTGGGACGTACAAGACGCCCTGAAGACGTCCAGTGCCGGGGAAGAGACGTCCATAGGACGTACTGGGGACATCCGATGAAACAAGATAGAACGTCTCAGGGACGTCCATATTAAGCCCAAGTTTGGTATTTCATCGCCATGAATACCATAACGTAGATTCGCCTTTTCTTACTCAGATAGATGAATAAAAAATCTATACAGAGTAGAGAAAAATCTCATTTTGAATACAAAATAAAAAAATCCCTTCCATACCGTGGATCGATCACGAGACCTTTAGATTATCAGGCAACACTTTTTGAAATATTAGACTTATCTGTGTTCAAAACATGCAAGTAAGAAGAAAACATAACATACATTGAGTGCAGGAACACTCCATCAAATGGAATCAGACTGAAAGTTATTCTGATTGGTCAGATATAGGACAGGACGTAGAATGTGCATATAAATTCATCATTATATCATTCGAAATCGACATCCTGTAGAAAAATTGCATATACATCATTCAGGATAATAATATGCCAACATGGCCAGATTCACTTCAATTTTTGTGACCTACTATCAAATGAATCGGCAGATGATCGGCAGCCAACACCAAAGGGGCCTTATTGCTACTCCATTTGATCACATTTGGGAATGGTTTATTATCATTGAAAAATATAATCATAATAAAGTGAATAATGAACATATAAAAATTTAAGACTAAAAATGGACGTCCTGAAAACGTACGCTCTGTACGTCCCGAAAACGTAGGGGATGGTTCGTTCTGAGGCCGTCCATATTAGGTTCCGGGATGTACAGACTTGAATCGGACGTAATATCGTAATAATCGTGTGCTGTCTGGGGCTTGTACTAAGACAGCTGCTGATTTCAGTAATGTCAAAATAGGAAACTCAAATTAAATCACCCTTTACAGTCCTTCCAGAAATCTTAGCAACATAACGAGGAAAATAGTTTCAACTTTATTTTTCAGACGAGAATCTGCTAGGACTCAACTATCAGTTAGACAATCCAGGTATCATACACATCTGCAACATCCTAACATCTGTGCAGTCCACATACGTGCGACAATTCAAAGTTCTAGCCGATGAAATAACCAGGAACATCTCGGAATCGAATTCGAACATTGACTACCTGAACGTTTTGGTAGCCCCTTGCGATACATTGGCTGACCTGAAATCTCCCAAGGATTTTCCTGACAATATACCGAAAATAATCCAATTGATCAGATATATTTGGTTAAACAGTCCGTATTATAATACAAAAGAGAAGATAACACAGCTGTGCAGATCTCTCAGTAACCAGCTCATCCTGCAGTGCAGGACTTTTATTGATTTGGATGTAGTTTTTGTGAAAAAAGAGACTAGAAAGGCGATAGTCATGTTTGAGACGTGCATCAATTGTCTGACCCAATACATAAAAACCTACGTTTTGGTAAGTTGAAATCTTTTTTGCTTATTTAATTCCTTTAATAAAATTAAATTGAGGTATTCAGTTTCATTTCAAGTTGTGTACAAGTCCTATAATGTTTTTATTTTTCACTTGTCCATCAGTGCTCTACAAAGCCTTGGCAACGGTTGCTATTAACAGAACCATAACGCCCTAGGGCGTTATGGAGGGTATTATGGATCATAACGCGCGCTAATTGTTTTTTTTTCTGTAGTTCAATAAATTAATTACTCAGAAAAGTTTTGTTTATAACTGAACATAAAAACAGGGACTAATTATTTTCTCTCGAATAGAAATTATAATTTTCAAATGTTCCTGACATATTAGTACCAAGTTTGAAGTTCTGGTATCACCACTGTGGTCAGACGAATGACTTGACACATCCTTAGTATCCTACACTAACAAGCTTGTCAATTCTCACAAAAATGCAGCGTCGTTTAATTGAATAAACAACCCTTAGCAAAGCACTGAATGTTGCCCTCCGGGCGTTAGGATCTAGACATAACGCACTTGGTACATAAATAACTATTTCAGATTTCGAATAGCCATAACGAATTTGGTGAAATTCCTTGGGATTTGGACAAAGCGCCGATCTTCAATCATATTGATTCATTCATCCAACGGTGCAAAGACGTGATAGAGATTTGCGAAGCTATGATAGTTTTTGGCCGCCATGATGAAACTGAAAAGATCCCTAAACCCAGATTTGGCGGGTCGAGGGGAAAGGGATTCGAAAGATGGGCAGAGAGAGCCGAGAAGATGTTCAGTGAAAGTCTTGTGGAGATAGAGCAAGTAAAGATTTTTTTTTGGTATTATATAGCTATTTAGGGTGCGTTCCATTAAAAGCTCACAACGATTATGATGCAAATTTTACTGTTCCATTTGTCTTTATATTCGTTGCTGTCGAGCTCTCTTGGACTCGAAAACGTCTTTGACAAAAGCAGCGGTGCGAGAAACCCACAACGACTAATATCAAAGGTTCTAGTAGTCTAAGAGCTGACAATAAATTTCATTGTCCGATTAATAGATCGATATCTCCTACCTTATTGTACTGCCGTAACATCACAGAAAACGATTCGGTATGTCTGGCTGGTTTTCAGTGGTGGAGGCGACCGTGGTATTGTCGTAAGGGGTTGAAAAAAAATCAGTGCAACTCACGATTAATAGAGCGCTGAATTTTTGAGTGTTGGTAGCCAATCATGTTTGCTTTTCAATAAAAATTATGCCAGACACATTGAATCATACTGCCATACAGCGTTAATAGGCCAATCAAATGAGGATTTTTCGAGGAATTTAGTGCCACCAAACTGGAGATCGTTTCAATCCCTCCATTTGGTCCTAAATAAGTGTAATGTGAGTTTTTGGGAGCCCGTCCCAAATGAGTGTAATGTGAGTTTTTGGGAGCCCAGCTTTGGGGGCGTAAAGTTGCAATTTAGCGCCCACGGGTCCATTATGGCACTCGGGCCGTAGAGTGCACTTCAGCGCCCGCTGTTATCAAATTGTTTATATCCACATATCATTCCATGAAATACGTATATTTGAACTCTCAGCTGATTCTCTGATTTCCCGCGGTATACATGTTCTTCATCCGATTCCATAATATCTTTGCTATCACTTCACTAATGCACCTTTTTTTATAATAATTGCTTTCTTGCTGTCTGAAGTTTTAGGCCAAAGGATGACAATTTATCTTGTTTATTCGCGGTCGTAGAGGTCATAAGATGATATTGTGATGCCATTTATAATTACGGAAAAACACCCTAACTCCTGAGCAACACTTGAGAACACTTCTGAGCGGTTTGTTTTGATGATATGACCAATAAGCACAAACTAAAAATAAATGTGGACCAATAAAAAACAAAGTAAACAGGCCGCTTTGACAGCTTTCAAGAACTCCAATAGGTGGCGCACGCTTATTTTATATTGCGATTGCTAGACAGCAACTGACATACAACGTCAAAATAGGTTAGGTAACTACGCGGGAACAATGGAACTCTCATAATTCCACGGTAGTTTCAGATAAACAAAAATGTCTCATATTTCCTGGTGAATGAATGTACCTATTTTCTTTAGTTTGTTGCTTTAATGCAGTTTATTAATATGGAGTACCTACTTCAAAATACAAGTTGATTTAAGCACACTCGTTCGGTGGAAGTGAATTAAGTATATATTTATAAAATAAATGAACTTTAGGTGCAATTCAGGATATTAGATGTCCAAATGGCAGATTGGTATGATGACATTTTGAAATTCAGAACCAGAATGAAGGACATCGAGGTAGTAATAGAAAACCTAACTAATGCAGTTTTTGTCAATGTTGCCAATCTGGAAGAAGCAATAGAGTCACTTGCTGCAATGCATAATTACACAAACAGAAGAACTTTAGTTTCCTTGTTTGAGGCAAAAACTTTGCAGGTGAAAATTTCATAGTGCTTTTGTATACCTAATTTTGAAGATATATAATTTTCAGGTCTATAAAATGTTCAGAGAAGAAATATTACAGGCTAAACAAGATATGCAAGTTGAAGCAGAAGTATATCCATCTCTTATGCCATATTTTGCTGGAAGAGCTCATATGATAGATATGAAAAAACATCGATTGCAAATGCTCAAGAAGGTAAACATCAGTTATACAGGGTGTTTCGTAATATGTGGGACGCACTTCGAGAGGTAATAGGGCGTCTCAAAAAGAAAATAGTTTCTATGAACAAAAGTCGTAGAAAGCTTCGTTTGCGAGATACAAGGTGTTGAAGTAGAACATATTTATAGATTTTTTTTGTCCACCGTGTATGGCTCATCGTGGTGGCAAAATTTAGTCTGTTATGTGACTGGCATAGTGCCATAATTACAGAATGATATCTCTCATGGTTATAGAGTAACCTGAACAGATGTCTTGAATGGACTATCCGACATCTTGGGAAACCTAGGTAATTCTTCACATTCCTATTGCTTTTTCAGCATAAGAAACGACTGAAGAATTACCATAACCAATTATCAATGAGTCATTAGCATACGAGAAAATATTTATTTTTGTTATGTCACTAATATAGATGAGGAAAATTATTGGACCTAGAACAGTTCCCTGGGGAACACCACAAATGAAATAGGTGTTTATGCTGAAAGTCTCTTGTAATTTTGTAAATTTTTCTCTTTCCAATAAGTAACTCTTTGATAACAAAACTTTTATACAATTTTGTAGTTTCCTAACTCTTTGTCCACCTAGCATTTCATAAATTCACACTATTCCCTTTCAGATGTTCGATGATGCTGGCTGGATGATGCCTTGTAGCATTTCCAGAGAAGTATTTGCTCAATATGAAAAATTGATTTCCTCTATAAATGACAATATATTGAATTTGTATCGAAAATGGGTTGACAATATCGGGGAAGATGTCAATGCAAGACTGAATAGGCCACTGATGTGTAAAAGTTTGACCAAACCTGGTCTCCTGGAATGTAATATTGACAGGTATTTATCCATTACAGGGTCATCTATCCATTGATGTACAGGGTTATCTATCGAAGATATTCAAGTTATTTTCCACCTAGAAAATAGAAAGAATATGCTAAAGTTTAACGCAATTATAAGGCCATTTGACAGCCTTTTGTCATGCTACAAATCCATTTTTTTAATGCAACATCCAAGTTGTTACCCATGAATGAGAATATATTTCAATATTGTATCTTACAGCATCATCAAGTACACAAATACACAAAAGTTGTGATGATAAAAGGAGATTATAACCACCCTCGTATTTCGGAGTAGAATGAACGTTTCATTTTTTATTTCAAAATGTACTCCTCAAATAAGCAAGCCAATCAGATGATCTGTAAATTGAGCCTGTGATCGAAATTACATCACAACTATATTAGGCATTATTAGCTAACCTCGCCGCTTTGCGTCTCGGTTAACTAACTAATCTCACGACAGGAATTAATCTATCTTCCCACCTCGGTGTGTAATATACTATTTCATGAAATATCATGTGCAGATTGTATAGGTTGGGTTACATTGGAAACTTCTGAAGAGGAAGCTCAATTTTTTGACTAGATAGGAATGGGTTTGAATTTTTATGATAAACTCAATGGTGCCTACCGCATAATGATATCTATCATCGTTTCAGAGTTACAAGTTTTTGTTTTGAAAATGTGCCTAATTGAAAAGTGGCTAGAACTTATTTTTTTTTGCACAAAAATAATACTCAATAGATATGTCTTCTTGTTTTTTAGATGAAGTAATTGGAACGATTTTTCTCCTATCTTACTTTGTTGTCGAGAAAGAGAGTCAAGATTGAAAGTACTTATAAAACAAATCATGAGATCAAAAATACTTGTCTCATTATTGGTTTATGTAGAATGATAAGAAGTTGAAAAAAATCTACTGGGTGTTATTCTTGGTGCACAAAACTTTATCACTCTTTATCTTGAATGAAGAAAGTCTGGACATATTATAATGTGTATGGGAAAAAATTTCTCTAATTTTTATCGAGAGAATCTTCCCTAGGCTTTTGTCACTTGTCAGGAACATACTGAATTCTGAGTCACAAAACATAATTCTCTATAGACGAGCTGTATTAGACCAAGAGCCAGGAGTAAAATCTAGCGCCTTATAAGTCACCACAAAAGTGACATTGCAGGTGTGTTATGGACGGCATTTTTCTGACTCGATTTAATAAAATAATAATAATACTTTATTTCCACTTCGACAAATAACATTGTATGGGAATTGTCAATATGATATAAGATATAAATCAGTAGTAGAAAATGATGAAAGAGCTAGATAGAGAAGAGAAAATAGTGATAGAATAGAATCGATAATACCTAAAACTAATCTTATTCTAAAAATTCTGAAATTGTATAAAAACATGCTTCTAATAAATAGTGTTTCAACATCTTTTTGAACATAATGATGTGTTTCACAGACCTCAAATCTTCAGGAAGTTTATTGAATACTCTAGGTCCAATGCAGTCCGGGGTAGATGAACTCACTTTACACCTTGCTAACGACAAATGAAAGTGATTTTTAATTCTTGTGTTATGGTTATGTAGATTCTGATTCATTGTGAAAGTTGATTTATTTTTGAAAACATATACACATAATTCAAAGATATAAAGAGATGTCAATGTCAAAACTTTATATTCCTTGAAGAGTCTTCTACATGATTCTCTAGATGAAACATTTGCTATGCACCGTATTATTCGCTTCTGGGCAATGAACACTTCCATTGTAGCAGTTGATCCACTCCAGAAACTAACACCATACCTCAATCTAGATTCTACTTGAGCAAAATATATGTTTGGTAATTGATCCTTACTGAAAACTGATCGGAGATTGATGAAAAGGAACTTCAGAGAGTTGAGCTTAGAAGTTAATTGCTGACAATGAGCCTTCCAGTTAAGGAACTCATCCAGAAAAATACCCAAGAATCTCACACTCTGATTAGTGTTCCTTAATGTCATGCTATCAACAGTGAAACTAATACCTTCTATTTTGTTTTGAATATTGTGGATACGAAGAATCTCTGTCTTGTCGACATTAAAAAATAAATCATGGTTGTTGAGGAAATCTGATACCTGACGTACTGAGCCAGCACATTTATTTTCTAAGATTTTGGAATCACGCGCAGAGATCACAAATGAAAAATCATCGGCGTATGCAGTATAATGACTTTCTTTTATAACACTGTCTATACTATTAACATATAAAATGAACAGAACGGGACCCAATACAGAGCCCTGTGGTACTCCCATGTTTATGCTCAACGGCTCAGAATTAACTCTACACGTTTCATGTTCATCATTCACTTGTAAGGAAACAAATTGTTTTCGATTGTGAAGAAATGACGACAACCAATTAAGACATACGCCTCTTATTCCATACATTTCTAATTTCGACCTCAGTTTTTGATGGTTGACGCAGTCGAAAGCTCGACTAAGATCACAAAGAATTACCGCTGGACATTCACCTGAATCAACGTATTCTATGGTTTTGTTCAGTAATGAGAACATAGCTGTGTTCGTAGATTTTTCAGAACGAAATCCATGCTACTTATTACTCAAGACAGAATGTTTATCAAGAAACGAATTAAGACGTTCCAAAAAGGCATATTCGAAAACTTCCGAGAGTCCACAAGGGACCGTTACAGGACGATAATTTTCCATAAGGGTTGTGTCTTTTTTTTTGAAAATAGGAGTGACTTTACCAGTTTTTAACTTGTTTGGAAAATCACCTTTCACAAATGACATATTTACCAGATGTGTTAATGGTAATATTATCAAAGGAAGAACTCTTTTCAATATAAACATCGGTATTTCATCTGGACCAGACGATTTTTTATTCTTTAGTTTGTTTTTTAACAATGAGAGTAATTCATGTTCCGTAAATGGGTTCAAAAACATTGTGTAAGGGTTGAAATCCTTTTCATTATCAAATACCCCATTATTACTTGGAGGTATCTGTTTAACCAATTAGATAGGAGCCCTAACGAAAAAATCATTGAACTTGGAGGCAATAGTTACCGGATCTTCTATCAGCTGATCTTCAACTTTGATACTGATTTCATTGTGAATCTTATTTCTTTTTGTTAATTCGGATACAACATTCCACGAGGCACGATTCATATTAGGAGAATTGAAAATCCTGTCTTGATAATAGTTCTTTATATATTGGTGCGAAAATAGGATATGTGTTTTTGAAAATGTATAAATCTTTCAAGATTGTACTAGAATGTTTCACTGAATCATCCACGCCGTCTGCTTTGAAAATGCCACAGCATCAACCGGCAGACGCTTAGGTTCTAGATTCACTACGAAATTCCAATCAGTTTGGCGGTATTTTCATCCTCGTACTAATGAGACGCTTCTAGGTCAATTTTGGCACTTGTTCGAAGTTCGTAGCGATTTTAAGCGACCACTATTGGCCGGCAGACGCACGGTTCCCATTTCAATGCAGAATCAATAACACACCTGCAATGTCACTTTTGTGGTAACATATGATATTTTACTTCTGGCTTTTGGTCTATATTAGTTCCCGAAATGAAGATGCTTTGAGCGAGTCGAAAATACAGTCTTTAGTACTGCGGTGTAGCACTAAGTTTTCCAACTTGAAACCTTCATTGCACCATGAATAGTATTAATGTTTCATTTCAGTATATTTTTAACTTTTAGATCTTTGCTAGAAATATTCCACGAAGCCAAATACTGGGAAGCTCTGCATTATGAAATACCTCCTTATTTAAAATCAGTGTATGTGAAAGCAGATTCTATTAGATTCATCTACGAAAGTGTTCTGAATGTCGTACTGGATTATAATAAAATAATTTCTTCGTTATCTGATGATGAGCGGCTTCTATTCAAACCATTGATCAATACAGTTGAGAAAAAAATTGCTCCTGGACTGAATAAATTGACTTGGGCAGCAGATATAGGAGATGAATATATTTCCGAATGTAGTAATACCACTGCAGAGGTGAGAGTTTGAAATACCAATTGATTTAAAACTTATTTTCAATCATTTCTAGCTTCAAGGTTTCATGGATGACTATAAAAATTGCAATCTACAAATAGTGACAATTTGTGAGAAAATCTGTGATACCCCTCTAATAAAAATTAAAACGAACTACGCTTACGAAATCATCGAATTGGTGGATGATATTGCCCATGGCATGCAGAATGTTCTTGATGTGCTCATTGATTGTTACCAAAAGATTATTGAGTTCATAATTTTGGTGTTTGAAGGATTCGAGAGTTTTATGGGTTCAGTGAGTATCATAACAGTATTATACAGCAAATAAAATGAGAGATATATTGATTTATTCAACTTGCATATTAGAATTTATAAGAATTACGTTAGTTTATTATTATATTTATTATCGAATTATATTCCTAGATCAGTCTTATAGCGACCGAGAAAAAACTTTTCCTCATTCTTGCACCTTGTGTACTATGCTCAAGTTGAAAATAAAAAAAAAATACCACTATTATGTTCCAATTGTTTCAATAGTGTTAAATATTTCAATAACCTTTTTTTCTTCATCTGAGTGACATTTTCAGTATTTAAGCTACATTCTCTGAGAGCATATTGCTGTTTGTTTCTATTGATTTGAACATTCGAAAATATGATCATTGTGTTTATGGGTGTAATTGATCTCTACTTATAACCACAATAATAATCTCTGACAGTGTAAATATTCATAACAGATTCTCTGTCATTTTGTTTGAGATAATTAAATCATTCAAAAGCTTATAGACCAGTGCTGCATGAAAAAAAAATTATAGTAGGATGAAACCCATTGGAAAAGGAAGAGAATAACAGAAATGAAAGGGGAAATAATTTACGGGCGATCTGAGTTCGGAAGTGGAAGTGGAAGATTGATAATAAAAAAGGGTGCACCTTTTTTATCGCTGTATAATGCATGTTCCTCAAAACCATGTAATCAGATTGATATAATTATCAATATATATACAAGTATAGTTCTTCTGATCTATTACAAGACTACGATACAAGACTAATCTTATTTTCTTCTCCATGGAAACTAGTTCTTTCATATACAGGGTGTTTTTTATATATTGCGACAAAATTCAGGAACGTGTTCTTTGGACAAAAATTCGCAAAAAAGTTCCTATAAACATAGGTCCTAAACCTTCTAGATTTTGAGCTACAGGGTGGTAAAGTTTTAACAAAAAAATGATTTTTTTTCGATAACTTAAATACCCCTGTAGATATTTATCCAAAGATTGGTATGCAGGGTCTGTGTATCCAGAGCCATTTACCAACATACTTTTAACATTTTTATGTTCTCCAGTGGCGTGTGTGCGGGTTTTCCGCTGAATACTTTTATAAAGAAAAATGGTACGCCACTGGTTTTTCTTGTATTAAAAAATATTTTTAAATTCCCCGTTTTATTTGCAACATTTTTGATCCCTTGGACTTTGTCCGTTAGATGCACGGTTTTCGCACAAAAAATTAAAAAATATCTACTTTGACTGATCGCTAAAATTTATTTTTTCTATGATCGTTATAAAAAGTAAGTTTTTTTTTAAATTTCATTAATTAATTCAGTACAAAAGCCAGCCCAATTTAATGAAATTGTAATTGAGGATTTGAAACTTTTGCTTCTACAATCTTTAATTTAAAATACAAGTTTTTAAGTGATAAAAAATATTTCATTTTTTATCATTTATTTAAGTAATATCATTATTTTTACAAAAGTTGTTCAAAGTGTGCTCCTCCAACATCAATACAAGCATCTAATCGACGTCGCATTGATTGGCGGACACGTTCAAAAATTCCTGGTGTCTGCCGAATTATGTCACAAGACGTTTGATACGATTAAGCAATTCCTCCACATTATCAATTGGATTTCTATAAACCAGTGATTTAAGGTGTCCCCACAAAAAAAATCCAGCGGATTTAAGTCGGGAGACCGTGGTGGCCAAGGGTTAATACCTCCCCGACCTATCCAACGATTTGGATACGTAATATCCAAATACTGCCGAGCCACTAAACTAAAATGGGCTGGAGCACCGTCATGTAAAAAAAACATTTGCTGTCTCAGCTGAATGGGGACATCTTCTAGCATCACTGGTAATTCATTTTTAAGAAATTCTTGATACACTCTCGTCCAGTCAACCTTGCTGGTAAAAAAAATGGACAGATGAGAAAGTTTTCAATAATGCCGACCCATACATTGAGTGAAAACTGGTGCTGATGACGGTTTTCTGCCACAGCATGTGGGTTCTCATAATGCCATATGTGGTTATTGTGGAAGTTCATAATTGCGTCCCTGGAGAAATTAGCCTCATCGGTGAAAAGTATTTTTCTTATAAACGGTGCATCTTGCCTTATGCGTTCTTGCATCCAACGACACAAAGCCGTTCTTTTCGGAAAATCGCCTGGCAAAAGTGCCTGCACCCGCTGAATATGATACGGGTATAAAAGGTTTCTTTTAAGAATATTCCAAACTGTAAAGTTACTAATGTGTACCGTCTGAGCAATTTTCCTAGTGCTTGTGGTGGGATCTTCCTCGAATTCATTGAGCACCTGTTCTTCAATTTGAGGAGTAACTGTTCGGGGATGTCCGTTTTCAGCGGTGAGTTTTTTAAAGCTGCCGGTTTCACTTAGACGTTTTTGTAAACGCGTAAACATGGAGTGATGAGGAATAACACGATTCGGGTAACGTTCAGCATAAATACGCAAGGCTTCTCGTGCGTTTCCGTTAGCCAGTCCATAAATGAAGTGCATATCGCACATTTCATTATTTGTGTAATTGTTAGCCATTTTTTTAACAAATTAATCTTGTCAACTTGTACTTAAATTATTTACTTTGACATTAATTTTGACGTCTTAAACAAGAATGTGATTATCGTTGCGGCGGCGTTGTCCGTAGTTACGTTAAAAAAAATTATGTTCACAGGCTACTTCGCGATTTAGGAAGCGTGAAATATTAACACGTTACTCATATGTCACTTTTTTAACATGTTAAATGAAGTGACATATTATGAACTACAATGAAATTTCAAATAAAATTTAAAAAAAAAATTACTTTTTATAACGATCATAGAAAAAATAAATTTTAGCGATCAGTCAAAGTAGATGTTTTTTAATTTTTTTTTGCGAAAACCGTGCATCTAACGGACAAAGTCCAAGGGATCAAAAATGTTGCAAATAAAACAGGAAATTTAAAAATATTTTTTAATACAAGAAAAACCAGTGGCGTACCATTTTTCTTTATAAAAGTATTCAGCGGAAAACCCGCACACACGCCACTGGAGAACATAAAAATGTTGAAAGTATGTTGGTAAATGGCTCTGAATACGCAGACCCTGCATACCAATTTTTAGACAAATATCTACAGGGGTATTTAAGTTATCGAAAAAAAATCATTTTTTTGTTAAAACTTTACCACCCTGTAGCTCAAAATCTAAAAGGTTTAGGACCTATGTTTATAGGAACTTTTTTGCGAATTTTTGTCCAAAGAACACGTTCCTGAATTTTGTCGCAATATATAAAAAACACCCTGTATACACTGTGAGGACTGATCTAATTATACAATGTGATTATTCTATAATTCCTTAGTATTACAAACCATACTACATCTAGTATGCGCCCGTCATAATTTCGTCGTGTCAAGTATGATTGCTGGGTATTGTTCACACGAAAATTCGTGAGATGAGCCATTTTGGGAAAATCTCGACTGAAGAATGAAACAAATATAAAAAAATCAATTCCGCAAGTGGATAAATTGCCTTTCTAACCAAAAATTTTCCATCAGTAATTTTACTCGAAAAACTGACATTAGACAAAATTGCTCGACTACGGTCTCTTTTCATGTTTTTGTCATATAATTACTAATTGGAAAATTTTGTTCTTTAGGAAGAACAATTTATCAGACAAAAAAAGTTCTCATCTTCCTAGTGTTGATGAAAATAAAAAACCAAAAACTTGGTTATTTGAATTTTCACCAAACTCTAGGAATGGTTCCCGACATGTTGGCCACTCAGACACACGTGAAAAAGTCTTTCAAAGTCCTCTTCCCGAAGAGAGACGAATGGGCAAGTGGATCAGTCCAATTCCCAGAGACCGAACACGTAATGTACACAGATGGTTCGAAAACCCCTCTTGGAGTTGGAGCCGGTGTGTTCAGCAGAAAACCGAAGACGGAAATTTCCGTCAATCTCGGCAAATATGCTACAGTCTTTCAGGCGGAGGTATTCGCAATTGAATTGTGTGCTAGAGAGTTGACGAATAAACCTCTAGTAAACAAAAATATCAGTTTTGTATCAGACAGTCAGGCTGCTCTTAAAGCACTGAGCTCCAGCAAGCTTGTATGGAGCTGTATTGAATCCCTAGAATGCCTGGGTGCTAACAACAGAGTCACTTTGCTGTGGGTGCCTGGACACCAGGGGGTGGAGGGTAACGAGAAAGCCGACATCCTCGCCAAACAGGGAACCGAATCTGTGTTCATAGGACCAGAACCATATTTTGGGGTCACCGCAAGTGCGGCGAAAACAACTATCTCGGGATGGGCGGAGGGAAAAACACTCACGTACTGGTCTGAATTACCAGGATTAACCCATTCGAAGGCGTTCCTGCCTAAACCATCGGAAAAAATAACCATGCAGATCCTAGAATGGAGCAGGGGTAACCTGCGAATTCTGACTGGACTGCTTACGGGACACTGTCGTCTAAGATACCACCTGGGAAGGATGGGTCTGAACCAACAAACGGACTGTCGGTTCTGTTGTGTGGAAGACGAAACGGCTGAACACATATTATGTTGATGCTCTAGCTTAGAAAGACTAAGGTTCGACACATTTGGCTTTACCAATTTAGAACCTATCGATTTCAGACAAATCTCACCCAATTCAACCATGAACTTTGTAAAAAGATGTGGATTGTACGGTGAACTGTAACCTCTAGGGGTGAGCCACAATAGACCCATCTGGGGTCGCAGTGGAGGGGAGGTATTCGCCCCACTCACATGGAACCTAACCTAACCTATTTGAATTTTTCACATTAATTTTGAGGTTACGTGAAAAAAGTGTGAAAACAGAAGTTATTGATCTTTTTATTACCTACAAATTTCCCATTTAACTTTTTTTCATAGGACTTGTAGTTTTTTCGGAAATTGAAATAATACGTTTTTCATCATCGAAAACTCACCCTCTTCCACTTCCCGACCTCAGATTGCCCGTAAATAATTTGTCCTTTAGTTTTTGTTATATTCCATTTCTTTTCCAATAGGTTTCATTCTACTATAATTTTGTTTGGTTTCAAAATATATCTTACCTGGTCCATTATAACTAATGAATTGAATGATTTGAAATATTTTATTCTTCATCAACCACAACACATTGTGAATTGATTACGTCCTAATTGAGAGTTTCATTTCTTATTTCTCAGTTCCATTGTTTGTCAAAACGTAATCTGATCATGGTAATCTTATTCAATATTATCTGCTTTTTGAAGCCTATCTCCCTTTTAGTCCATTCAGGATCTCGATTCGCTCAAATGGACTGCTGATCGCCTATATTAACAATGTGTGGAAAATACGACAACATTAAACGAATAGGGCAATATATCTGCATATCTCAGGGAAGCCAAGATTTCACAGATGAATAAAGCGAAAATTTTGAATTCTTATAGCTGCAATCACTCAACTTCAAGAAAAAACGAATATGTGGATTTTGTAGGTCAATGGTTAGATCAATTTGGCTGAGATAGTTGATGATCTCATTTTCTAAAGGTTATTGCAAATTTCATGTCAATGTGTAGGTAATTCATTGAAAACATGTCAAAGAATAACTTGATCTGAATGCAAAAAGAACAAAAACGATAAGTGTGAACGAAAATACTATTTATTGAAAAATAATATCAACTAGGTCGGTACATTGGAAATGAACGTCGTTATTATAGACGAAATAAAAACCAAACCTTTCAGTTCATAAAACTATCCAGAATGATATAGTATACTTAAAATGAACACCTCATATTCTTAGAGTTCCACAGAAGTCAATCCACTGCATCTGAACAGTCTGGTTTTTAGGAAAATATGAACTATTATTAAATATTAACTATTAATCGGATGAATCATAGAAACTTCCTTGTAATTCTTTCGTCAGCTGTATTGGAGCAGATATTACTTTTCTCTGGTGGAGGATAGCAACAGTTTTGATATAGTTATTGCAAGCGCATGCATCGTTACAACTTCTGCGTTAGTAAAAGATGCGAATATTTTTTATCCTTTACAATAAAGAGCCATAAATCGTTTAAGTCTAAGCTCTCTCCTTTCTTATATGCTAATATATCTGATAGTTATTATGTGTTTGTAGATGTCAAATCAATGGATGAAATATATAAATAATTTTGATATCCTGATAGAAGAAGCTCTGAAAATTTGTTGCAAAACTTCTCTAGAGTGCATATATGAAGCTCTACATGGCGATGGGACTACAGAGCCGAATCCGTTGATAAAATTAAGCGCAAATCTGACTGAAAACAGAGTAAATAATTTTTCTGCTCGAATAAACTGCTCAACGTTCGAAACGTAAAATGATCGATAGTATAATCGAAAAACTTTGATCAAAATCGATTTAATAGTCCGTTTTCCTTACCTTATTTCTATACAGTGTAGTCCAGATTCTCTAGAAATTAACAGGATGCCACTAGATATTTTTGAAAAATTCACTTATCTGCTAAATCACTTATTGAATTCTCAAGGAGAAAGTATGCATGTAAAGTTTTAACAAATTAGCGGATTACTAATTTGAATGGCGTGTTTACCATTTCTAGAAAAAGGATATGTACCCCTCATATCGGCGTCTATTGATTCCTGTTACTATTTTCAACAAGATAGAAAGTTTTCCGAATTTGAAAAGGATGACTTTTGTGTTCCCTCAAATATGGATTTTTTTTAGTCTAACTTCAATGCCCTGAATTTGCGTTTTGGTGCATTTTGCGAGGCATGTTCCATATTTTGCCTATCTATCTCTATAACCTCTCAAAATTGAGATACAAAATTCTGGACCACCCTATTTGGCTTAAAACCTAGTGATTTTACGAACATGGGATTTTGAAGTAGTTACTATATGCTTTCAATAGATAACTACATTTCGAATCATTTCCTGATCGTGCTGTTTAATATGTATTTAACGTTTTATGAGAATTTAAAAAATTCTATGTCTTTTACAGTATCTTCTTTCTCTGTCTAGTTAGATTTTCAAATGCATGTTCTCCAGAAGGACATTCCTAAAATATTTTCGACAAAATCTTTTCAATAATTATATGATGTGAGATCAGTTTCACTCTGAAAATCTTCAACAAATCATATAAATCGCATTCAAATATGGTATGATTGATACCGAGATTGAGGAACTAAAAATAAACTGAAAATTGATTGTGGCAATCGGAAGTTATGATGATTCAAATTTGAATGAGGTTTTTCGATTCTACGTTTCGAAAGGAGCAGTTTTTTTTTTGTTTCTGATGTGATTAAATTTTCCAGATAAAATTCAGCCCTTCATTAGCAGAAGTTGCCGCTGTTATCTCCAATATTCACAGCAGTTTAGTTGAAGCTTTAAGGGTACTGCCGAGACTGAATGATAAATTCCTTGTATCGATGAATGAACACAAAACCTACAGCGAAATCATAGCTGTAGACAGAGCGTGCACAGAATTGCAAACATCACTCAACAACGGTAACGTCATCAAAATGTTCTAGGGTTTGAACAATATAAATCGTTTACACTGTGTCCTTACAATGACCTCCCCTTAGTTAACTTTTGAACGCCTGTGATTTTTCTTGCTCAATGGTACCGCTAAATTTTGATTCCAATAGAAAATATGTATGTCTCAAAATGTCGTACGGACCCCATTTTGTGATGTTTTTTCGAATGGAATGAGCAGTCGAGTGATACTTTATTTGAAAACTGCAATTCTCTAAGTAGGACCATAATTTTAAAACAAAATTTTCATCCACAACAAAATGGCAGATGATAATGGTTGAAATTTCATACAAAAAAAAAACAGGTGAATGATTAAGATCATTAAAAAAGGAGATCAACTGTCAGGATCAATGGAAATTCCAGTGAAATGAATAATTTTGTTGAATAAAATAAAATGGAATGCTTCCATGCATGCATTTAGCTGAATTTTATTTATTTATTTATTTATTTCAGTTATTGCATTACATTCTCTTCTTCATTGATACATTTCATACAAATAATATATAAAGTATAATTAATTTTCTAGTAGGAATGACATGACTGTTGTATAATTGAAATTACAAATAGTGAACAAAACTTACATATCATTAAGATACAGTCATATTATAGTGAACAAGAAGGGGAAAAATAAAAACAGTGAAAAAAAAAAAGAAAAAAGGAAATTCATAGTCTTTCAGCTTTGATCATTTCTTTGCATATAAATACAGGGTGGGCCACCAGTAACGCCTCGGTCTCTAAAAGGCTAACCACTTATCTTCTTGGAATTCTTCCTCTCTAGGAAGTTGCATGTCAACATAGGCTACCATTTAAAATTATTTCGAAACATACAGGGTGTCCCCAAAGCCATAAAACACTGAAGTTAAACTTTTTTCTATCGAACACCCAATATATTATTTCATTTTGAGATTCTCCCTGATGAGCTGGTTTCAACGACCCATCATACTTGGGGTCTAGCAGTTATAATTACTGAAATATAGGGTGTGAAAAATCGAGATTTTCCAAGTTCAAGAATTTTTTGTGTCGAAACTATTCATAATTGGTCAAAACGGCTTACATGTCCCCATCTCAACTTTTGATTAACTATCTACTGATATTTAATTGGGACATATACCGGGTGATCAAGATTCTGAATTCTGCACCACCCTGTATTTGTTTCAATTAAATGTCAGTAGATAGTTGATCAAAAGTTGAAATAGGGACATGTGAGCCGTTTTGACCAATTATGAATGGTTTAGACACAAAAAATTCTTGAACTTGGAAAATCTCGATTTCTCACACCCTATATCTCAGTAATTATAACTGCTAGACCCCAAGTATGATGGATTGTTGAAATTGCTCACCAGGGAGAATCTCGAAATGAAATAATATATAGGGTGTTCGATTGAAAAAAGTTCAACTTCAGTGTTTTATGGTTTTTGGGGACACCCTGTATGTTCCGAAATAATTTTAAATGGTAGCCTATGTTGACATGCAACTTCCTAGAGAGGAAGAATTCCAAGAAGATAAGTGGTTAGCCTTCTAGAGACCGAGGCGTTACTGGTGGGCCACCCTGTATATTTCTTAACTTTATTTTTGAATTGCATAATATTTGGGCTGTTTTTGATATCATCTGGTAATTTATTGAATTTCGAAATCGCCTCATGTGTAAACTTTTTTTGCCCAAGTTTAGAATTTGCAGCTTCAAGATGAAACAAGTTATATTGTCTAGTGTGATGATCATGAATTTCGGAATTCCTGATTAATATAAAATTTGATTTAAGCTTTTTGTTGATGATATAATAGGAAATTTTGAGAGTATTGATTAAAAAGTACTCTTCCAAAGAAAATGTGTTTGTTTCCTTATACAGTTGATTCGTTGGAGTATCATATGGAAGACGATACAATACTTTCAATGCCTTTTTATATGGAACAGAAATTTTGTTGAAACTATTTTTGGAACAAGATCCCCAAATATTTATGAGATAGTTAATTCGACTGAGTATATGTGAATAGAGAGTGATATTTGATGTATATGTACTAAGTTTAGGACATCTTCTCAAATCATTATCACCTTCTATTCATATTAGTGACCTATTTCTTATTCATAGAGGTGATGGTGAATGTGAAAAAAATAATGGCTTACATGCAAACTTGGGAGCCGTTCCGTGACTTATGGGAAGTGGACAAAACTAAATTCATCGAAAGATACGAAAGAGAAAATCCAAGTGCCGCACTTTTTGATTCGAACATTTCACGTTACACGGAATTCGCAAATAATGTACAAATTCAGGAAACAGTTTCGGCAGTACATTTCATGCAGATAAATTGTGCGGCTCTCAAACAGGCAGTTATTGACCACTGCTTAGAATGGCAGGAGAAGTTGTGCAAACTTTTGTTGAAGATGACAGAAAATAACCTCAAAGAGTTATATGAGTACATAAAATATAATACTGTCGAGTAAGTACTTTGAAAAGTTCATTGACATTGTCAAAGATAAACTAACAAATAGAAAAAATGTACTCAAAATACCACAATTATGTTTAATAAAACCTGAATATGTTTTTGGACAACTATATAAGTTCCCATCCTCGGAAAAAAGAAAGAGGGATAAAGGTTAGCTGACTTCTGCCTTACTGAGTGTATGAGAAAGCGCTTACTCTGCCTTTTAGTAGTGTTATCATTATGGTGGTCTTGGCTACCATAAAAGCATTCATAATTATTATTTTTATTATTATAGTAACATTCGGGATATTCTTCCTGAAATTAACAGAGAGCAGATTATCTAAAGTGAAAAGGTGACTAGTCTCAAGGATATGTTGGGCAACACTTGATTCATCAAACCGGATTATATTTGAAGGGAACAATATGCTCTTCAAATCTTGTGCCACTGCCCCGACGTGTTTCCCCCATATATTTCATGTTGCAGTCATTACAATTCATCTCATGATGGATTACCTTGTCATTAGTATCAGTTTCCTCTTTGGGGTTGTCTAGTTGAAGCAGTAAAAGGTAAGTCATATAAAACAACCATTCAATTGTTAGCTGAAGTAAAGTGGTGGTTGCACGAACATTTTTTTATGCTTATCTTCTCTTGATATATCATATACTGAAGGTTATTGAACAGTTTGAAAAGTATCAATCATGCTGGTGAATGGGCGTGTACACCTTAGTAGAACTTTTAACTCAAACCATGTGACATAATTCGATCGAAAAATTAACTGGAATATTTTATTTTTGGACATAAATAATAGTACCTTCTGAAAACGGACCCTCTTATGACGTAGAAACCTCATCTCGCCATAGTTAAAAGAAAATACCAAACGCCAGACGAAGACTGAGGCAACTGATATATTAATTCTTTCAACTGTGATCTCGCGCTAATTCACTCTGTCTGGAATAGTCTTGTTTTAGTATTAGGGTTTTGACGTCGCCTCGTTTTCAGAGGTCCGAAAAATCGGGGATATCAATAATTTTCATAAAACGTAGGGAGCTCACAGCAAGAAACGGTTTGCGGTGGTGAGCTAGTTTGGGTGAGTTCTATCGAATTATGAAAGGAGTCTCTCTTAAATAAGCTATGGAGTCAGCTAACATTCATTTCCTTTTCAGTAGTTGCTCCTTAGGTCATACAGGATGATCTGTATGATCTATGAGTTGCCCAAATACGTATTCAAGCTATTCTAAATATTATTGGTATATTTTCGGGTATATTTCCGTTCGTATTTGATTTTCTTGTCTCACTTCAAATGTGTAGAAATTGATATTTTCTTGTCCTCATATATTTATTTTTCTAGTATTCTTCGTGAACCCAAATCGTTAGATGAGATGCAATATGCCATACGGTTGTTTGATCAGTTAAAAGAAGACATTCCTCAACGTGAAGAACAATTTCCACTGATTCGTGATCAAATATTGACTTTAGATAAATATACAGTGCCGATCTCTGATACAGTGAGGACCTTGGAAAAAAATATACCAAAAGAATGGACAATCTATCTCGAGGTTCTTGATCAAGCTGATAAAATGCTCGAGTATTCCAAGGTATTGATAAAGGAGATGAAAAAGTGAACAAATTCCCATCTTTTCCCCATCATCTTCCTCGTTTTTTTTGTTCAACTTCCAAGAATTATAATGAGAAAAATAACTCACCTTGAAAGATATGTGGCTGTTATAATTTTTCATAAAAATATCAACTAAGTTCACTACCAGAAATCCACACAGTACGGCCGCATCAGATCAAATATACAGGGTAAGTCAGTTATTTGTAGCAGGACTTTACCAGCTTAAAGGAGACATGTTTTCAAGATGAAAATCTTCTATGAACATATATGCGTGGGAGCTTCGTTTCCGATATATAAGGTTCCAAAGTTTGCACGATCCCAATAGTGCATCATTCTGTAGGTATTCAAGACCGTTCGATAGCCCTTAATATTGTGTGATAGGTTTACAAAATTTCAATTCATTATTTTGAAAAATGTAGGAGATTGAAAAAATACAAAAAAATCTTAAACTTTGAAACCCTGTATATCGGAAACGAAGCCCCCACGCACATATGTTTACATGAGGTTTCCACCTTGAAAAAAAAATGTTATTTAAGCTGTTGAAATCCTGCTACAAAATATGGATTCGAAAAATGAGTTCATTACAAGTAAATTATTTTTGGCATTTATCTTGAAACCCATACAGTTTTCGAAAAAACAAAAGGGAGCAAAAAACATCCAAAATGAAGGAACAATCTAAATTGATGTAATGGAAAATAGAGGCGGTACGCAAAAAAGTTCGAGAGGGTTTACTCGGGTACGACCCGCAAAAGTGTAGCATCCTGTAGGCATTCAAGAACGCTGGATTGCCCCAAATATTGCGTTTCCAAGTGTGATGTTACAAATTTCAATTCATCATTTTGGAAATCGTAGGAGAAAATTAGACAAACACAAAAAATTTTGAACTTTGAAACCCTGTATATCGGAAACGAAGCTCCCACGCATATACAGGGTGTCCGGAAAGGTCATGTCGTAAATTATTGGGCTGATAGAGTGGTCCAAAATGCCAAAATAATGTTAGTAACGTAACGCTTCGTTACGGAGTTATTGATCTTCAAATTTAAAATAAGAAAAGTAAATTTCATGTATTTTCATTGTATTTTTTATGTAACTTTCTAACGGTTGCCATGGGATCAATGAAAATTCTATGTAAACATACAGGGTTGTTTACATAGAATTTTGATCGTAAAAAAATGTCTTCTCTCAGCTGTTAAAGTCCTGCTACAAAAAACTGACTCACCCTGTGTACAAGATTTTTTACCACGATCAAACCTACCAAATATCAAGACATTTGAAATGGGGATTCTCAATAGCACTTTTTTTTTTTTAGTTTCGCACACTTCAGGTACAGGTTGTCCCAAATTGGATGTGATCTGACATTCGCTGTAGAAAAAAAAACTGACCACGTAATACACATCCCCCATTCTCATATTTCTTTAGGTTAATTCGATAGTAGGAACCTACTTATAGAGGCTAATGCAATTGCTGATTTGGCGATCGGAATTATTTTTCTGGTAGTCTCAATCTTTTTATTTATGGTCCGAGGGATGAATGCTGCCCGATGGGCGTTAGGATCGTAACGTAGCATTTTCTTTCCATTTTTCTCCTCATGGTAGGTATGGCATAGGGTCCCTTGATGTAAATTGACGTATTTGTCATCTTAACAGGGTACGGACAGATACTCGTCTCCTCTCACTCTAAAGTGTTTGTGAAACAGTTATATAGTTCCATCTTCATTCATTTCTGTGGATTACGTATTATTTTTTTACGTGTTTTATTACGTAAGTTCAAGTTCTGTGACGTTACTTTGACGTGAGTGTAATTAATTGAGGTTATTTATTTGGACACATTACAAAAGTTACCTGAAAAAACTAGGGTCCCTCGATGTAAATTGACGTATTTGTCATCTTAACAGGGTACGGACAGATCCTCGTCTCCTCTCACTCTAAAGTATTTGTGAAACAGTTATACAGGGTGTTATTTAAGTACGTGGCCAAACTTGAAGGGGTGATTCTTTGAGTGATTCTAAGACGAAAAGTTCATATAAACATAGGTCCGGTAATGCTTCGTTTTCAAGATACAGGGTGTCAAAATTTAAAAAAAAAATCGTTTTTTTCGTGAATATCTTAATAACCCTTCAACCGATTTTATTGAAATTTGGCAGTGTTATTCAAGGTCGTAAAGGGCTAATGTAACCCTAACTAGAGTCACTGGATGGTATTACTTTGATAAGAGTTCGGACACAGAAATGACAACGGTTAGGGTTTTTCAATGTTTAGATTTAATAAGTTACACACCTTGCATTGTGACAAGAGCACCATAGTCGTCCCGCGCTTTTTCATTCAAAATGGTTCGAATTTGACAATAAATTTTATAAACGTCAGAATCTAAATAAAATTTCATAATTATACTTTCGAGGAGAAAGCAGTTATGGAAATCACTTGCTGTGTAATGAATTGTGCCAAGAACAAAATCACATTATTATCATCACACAAAATTTAGAACAAAATAATCATGGAAAAAGAGGGAATGATCGCAAAATTACATAATGAAATTGAAGATTTGAAAACGAAACTAAGAAAAGCAAGTAAACTACAACGTGAAATATTATTGAATATGGCGTTTTTGGTGCCGACCAAATTCAAAACTCCACAGTGAAAAGTGAATAGTTATTTATGTACCAAGGAAGGAAATTATTATAAGGGCCTTAATTACGCTGGAGGTTATCGGTTTGGAGATATTTTCTATATCGATCCATGTTACATAGCTCCTAGGGCGGCAAGTGAAGTTGCTGAGAACTTTACAAAACCAAGTATTTGGTAGGTCTCTAATTTAATGAACTACTTTTGAATGTTTATCGAACCATGATTTGTTCTCTGTATTTCAACAACCTGTATCTGTATAAATAAAGCATTTCCGGACACAAGCTTATATAGACTTTGTTTCTTAAAATTGTCTCAGGAATACTTCACTTGAACGTACTTATGTTACTTTCTGTATATTCCTGAAAATACCTTCCTTCAATTTAATAATGATGACTTCATGTTTTATACTTATCACCCTGGAGTACAGTTTCACATACGATAAGGAATTATAGCTGTAAGTTTATCCAAATGTGTATATTTTCTAATATCAAAATGTTGTTACATGCATTCTTTCCATTTATATAACAGTCGTTCTGCTAGAAGTGTATCACTATAATATGAATTGAAGTGGGTGTTTGTACCCTAAATCCATTGTCCATCTACGGCTATGATTGATTTGACAGAAATTCTAACCTATAAAATCGTATCTGACAATCAGGCGCTACTAGGGAAATTGAAAAGACAAAGAGCAGAATATATGTCTTATTCTTTTATTCACTTAAACCATTGTATTATATTAAATAGAAAAGGACAAAAGTTCATCTGTGTCCGAACTCTTATCAAACTAATACCATCCAGTGACTCTAACCCTAACTATATCAAATTTATCATGTCCAGTGGCGTCCCGGAAGGCACTGTAACCAATATTTTTTACAGAAAAAATGTGCGCCACTGATTTTTTTGCAATTTTTGTATTTGTTTCACATTGAGCAACTAGAATAGAGTATTAATATGAAAAAATATTAGTAAGACCCCAGTTTTTGATGGTTTAGTAGTTGAAATGTTTCATTGTGTTGTCACAGCGATGTGCCATGAAGGGATTTTTATGTTCTTTCTCAAAAACAAAGCAAGATACGAAAAAAATTCTATAAATAAAAAAGTTGTAATTTTAGTTGCTCAATGTGAAACAAATACAAAAATTGCAAAAAAATCAGTGGCGCACATTTTTTCTGTCAAAAATATTGGTTACAGTGCCTTCCGGGACGCCACTGGTGACTGGACATGATAATTTTGATATAGTTAGAATTGAATTAGCCCTTTACGACCTTGAATAACACTGCCAAATTTCAATAAAATCGGTTGAAGGGTTATTAAGATATTTACGAAAAAAACGACTTCTTTTAAAAATTTTGACACCCTGTATCTTGAAAACGAAGCATTACTGGACCTATATTTATATGAACTTTTCGTCTTAGAATCACTCAAAGAATCTTGCCTTCAAGTTTGGCCACGTACTTGAATAACACCCTGTATTGTTCCATCTTTATTCATTTCTGGGGATAAACACTAGATTTCTGACATTTGTTGTTTTTTAGGTTATATTGAGGACATTGGCGTATCATACGTAATTTCCACATGTAATTTCTCATTCAACTCAACATATTATATCCAAATGATGATAATTTTCGAGTTTTTGATTTTTCAACTCCAGCATAATCTTTGTGAGACAGTGAGCAAATTTTTCTGAAAGTTTAATACGTTTTACCAAATGGGACTGTTCTCATGGTTAACCTAATGGTTGAGAAATGGTGAAAAATTGTATGTAGGTATTTAAACTAATGTGCTCATATGTCATGTGTGCTGTATATATTCATCATTTTTGCAGTTTTTCACGAACACTTAATATTTCCTAAATGTAGGTATAATTTTTTAAATGGTAGGGCATATGCCTCTTCTTTTAATCCTCCGTTTTAATCGAAACTGTTTCTACTCAAATGCATTCAAAAACTTGTGGAATGGATAATTATAGGCACAATGAGAAAGTATAATATGGGATTTCGTATTAGTTTTACCTCGAATATTTTGCTGATGTATTTACCAATTTCCCCCATTCGGTCACTTCACTTTCCATGTTCTAAGTTCATTTGCATTTGATGGAAAGCTGACAAATTCAAATTTGCCATCCAACCGATTGATGCAGCCTAACGCAGCACATTTTACCATCCTTCCAAAACAGAATTGAATAATGTCGTATTGAGATAAAGTATGAAATTAAAATTTTAATGCCTATGAATGTGACGTCGTGACAGCAATGTCATGTCAGGGACGCCAATACACGAAACCAGTCAGTCACTAGATGATTAAAAGAGAAAGGAGCTATGATCTGTCCGTACCCCGTTAGATGACAAATACGTCAGTTTTTTGACATTTGTTGAATATTGCTGTGATCATTCAATTCAGAGAATGTCATTGCTGCTTTCTTCGTGTAGTCTTATTGAAATAATGGAAATGAATAGCGGGCGTTAATATTTTTTTCCTCCCGTGGCAGTGAGTTGACAACTTTGTTTCCTTAAATGAGGTAGCTAACGCCTACTTTCGATTCAGTGAGTAGATAAAATATTTTATGAACTCTTCTTTTAATAAATCCAAGTTCATGACCTTGGTAAGCGCGTTGAAATCTTGTAAAAAAACGCAGGAATCACGAGAATTTTTCTTCCTCAAGGGTGCGACGATACTCTTCATGGGTTTCATGCTTATGGGTTTAGCAGCAAATTACGGTTGGAAAATGTAAAAGTGATAGAGTTTTCTCGAGTATATAGACAATCAATTTGGGTCACCCTGTACAGAGAAAACGAAACATTTTCAGACCTATATTTATAATGTTCTTTGGTTGATTGAATCAAACAACCTGTATTCATGGTGTCATTCAAATCTTCTTCATATGTTTTATTTGTTATTATCCCACATTTTATGTCCTTAATTTTCCCTAACGTTTCCCTTCATTCATCACCTGTTGGGATAAGGTAGTAAAAGTAAGATCTTAAATTAAATGAGGATTACAGACTTAATATTTTTAGAATCATTTCAAAACAACTTTACTGGAACAAGCAGAAGGGTACCGAAAAGAAGCAAGTGATTTGCTCAAGGAATTTCTCAAGAAAGGTCCATTTTCATCAGACTTCAGTCCGCAAGATGCTTTGCAATATTTGCAAGAAAAGAAGTTGCTCTTGATCGACATGAGGATGAAAGAAGAAGATTTGAGAAACGATTTGGGCATATTTGGCCTCAGTTTTCCTGAATCGCTTGATCTATCGATACTAGACGCAGTAAGTATAGGCGGATCATGATTTTTATTATTATTAACACTCTTTCATTTGCTTCTCCTGTATGTATGTGTGTATGTATGTAAGTAAACGACTCCTTTCTACTCGATTTTGACCCACTTTAAACGGGCCGATTGCTTTGAAATTTGGCAGGTGTACATGATTCTAGTGGCAGTGAATCATGAAATTTTTGTTAGGCAAAAACACAAAATGGCGGCTCCGAAATGGCGGATGAGTTTTGTAATTATGATTATTTTGTCAAAATTGGTAAATTCAAGATGGCGGATCCAATATGGCGGACGAGTTTTGTAATCATGATCCGAATCTATTCAAAATTTGTATCTGGTGGCTTTCGGGGTCAAAAATCATGAGTCTCGTCAAAATTTGAAAATTCAAGATAGCAGATCCAATATATCGGACGAGTTTTGTAATTATATGATACAATTCTATTAAAAATTGGCATCTAGGGTTTTGAAAGGTAGGCGATTATGATGGTTTTGTCAAAATTGGAAAATTCAATATGACGCAAACAATATGGCGGTCGGGTTTTGTAATCATTGTCCGATTCTATTAAAAATCAGTATCTGGGGGTTTTCGGGGTCGGAGATTCTTTCGTCAAAATTGGGTACTTACAAAAAATATAAAAACACAAAAAAGCTTCTGTAGTTAGTCGAACTAGAAAATAAAAAATGAATAGTAGTTTGAAAAGCTAAAGAAACACTCTTTTATAGATAGCCGAACTAAAAAGAAGTAGAAAAAAATAAAATAATAAAAGTGTGTTGAAGTATACAATATTTAATATTATACTGGTTACGAAAGTGCTAATATTTTCTATGTTGTGTATTTATCAACAAACTTTTGTTAGTTTATTTTTTATACTTCTTTTTAGTTTCTATAGTTCACGGTTTTTTGTTTTCTTCCGCTACGCGTCGGAAGACAACACAACCTCGAGCTAAAATCTACTACTTTTTTTCTTGTATAATAAATAACTATTTCCGTCGACCTCGTATTAACGACTAAGTTTAATGTATATGAAATCGTTCATTAATGACCCCTATTAATGAACGATTTGTCTATTAATGCACGATTGTTTTATAGGCAACCAAACATACACCGCGTGCATTCATTGTTTATGCTATAACTTACGGAAACTTCATTTAAATCGAAAATATGGATTTCATGGAAGATTTTCCGTTAACGGGTTCGCCTTTCCAAGTTTCTGACACGATTTTAATCCCTGTTTTCTGAATCAAGGAATTTATTTTCCATGTTGATCATTTAGACAAATGTCAAATGTCGCTAATGTCAGTAACAAGGCTACTGAGTGATTCTTAGCAGTTTCCGGATGAATGATGAATTCGCGAACCAAGTTTTCTTCATAGCAGGAGAAATGAGAAATATAGTCGACGGAAAAATTTTGTAACCAACTTGTACATTAAAAGGCGATTAAATATCTCGATCATTAATTGCCCTCATTAATACACTAGTTGGTTAAATAACTATTATTATGTAGGAATTGGGTGCTCTAGAGTCAATATGGCAGCTAGTAGAAGAATGGGACCGTGCTTGGGATAAATACAAATCCGGGGAGTTCTGGTCAATCGAAACGACAGAAATGGAAGAAACTGCTCAAACTTTATTCAGAAAACTAACAAGACTTTCAAGGGAATACAGTAATAAAGGGTATCTCATGAATTTCCAGTCTTTAACTTTTGTACACATTTATTTTCATTTCTGAAGTTGGAGTGTTATTGACGATACGAGGACAAGAGTAGACGCGTTCAGAAGAATGCTACCTCTACTGGGCGATTTGAAAAATCCAGCCATGCGTAATAGACACTGGGACAAAGTGAGACAAGCAGTCGAAGTAGATTTTGATGAACACTCTGACGATTTTAACTTGGAAGCGATATATGCCATGAATTTACACGAACATGCTGATGAAATCAATGAAATATCAAATGCTGCCACTATGGAGCTTGGGATAGAAAAAGGGCTAAAAGCAATCGCTGATGTTTGGAAAATAATGAAACTGGAAATTATATCATACAAGGAGAGAGGTCTTTACAGGATAAAAAATGTGGATGACTGTTTTCAAGCTCTGGAAGAAAATATGATGCAGTTATCAGTCATGAAGAGTACTAGATTTGTAGAGCCATTCACTAAAGAGGTGGATTATTGGGAGAAAACACTGTCCTACATAATGGAAACTTTGGAAATTGCACTTCAAGTGCAAAGACAATGGCTATATTTAGAGGTATTTATTTATTCAGTTACTTATTCATTTACTGAAGATTCATCCGACATCTAGTCCGATCAAATGGTATTTTTTCGAAAACAGGAATCCGGTAGAAGATTTCTCACGATCATATGTTTCGAGAAGCGAATCTGAAGTTTACTCATTATTCCAGATTTTTTGGGATTTTCTCTCCTTGTTTCTAAAAAATAAAAATATGAATATTATTTCAATATACGTGTAGGAAGGACAAATCAGATGATTTGCCCCAAAATGTCACTGCGTTTGAAAAATTTTCCTATCAGAGGTCCTATTAGAAAAATTCACTAGCTTGTCAGTGACAATTTGTATTGAAAAAATTTTGGAGAAGAGAAATAAGAGTATATAGAAAAACATCAAATTTTTACTTAGCTTTGGACGTTTCGGGAACAAATCTGCTCCCGTTTTCAACATGAAAAATGGATTTTTTGTATCGCAAATTTGTATTTGTCCTGACACTTTTCAGTTCTCAGTGACAACGTCACCAATTGTCGATGCAGACAAATGATCATCTGTTTTATCATCCTTGGCCATATGTGATTACTCGCGCATCTAGTGGCTGAATTTTAAAGCAGGCTAAAGGCTGCGACACAGTTGAAGTTTCATGTTATTACTGTTAAGTTCTATAATTCAAGATATCAGTATTATAAAATGAACACACATGTCCTTTTGGCGAACGACAGAATACAAATTTATGAATAAGGCAATAAGTGTTATGTTTTAAGCTACGGACGCGATGGTTTTTATGATTTAAAATTCAGAAAGCCAATCAATCACAGCAATTCTTTTTCACACCGAGCTATATTTCTGTCACATCATCGTGAATTTGAAGAAAAAGTCGTTGATTGAGGTGTTGTTGAAAGACTATAAAGACAATGCACATTTTCATGATTATAACTTCGATTATACCGACATAATAATCGAATAATCATTTCTGATCACGTCCCTCAAACAACCTTATTGGTTTAATTCCAGATTTCCTATTTTAATTCTGTTTTGCATCCTGTTCTTATTTTTATTACATATCTTGAACGTTAAAACTTATTACATAAAACTTCAATTGTGTCGCAGCTTTAAGAATGGTACTTGCTTGCCAAGAAGTGTCATGTTTGTAATGTAACTTTTGTCAGTTGTTTCTAAATATAACCTCAATCCACGATACGTCGAAATTTCGTCACAGAACATGAAGTGTCGCCTCTAAACAGCTTTGCGATAATATTTTCAAGATTGTTCATTTGAATTATCTGTTTGGTTTTTGTAGAATATATTTTTTGGTGAAGACATTCGCAAGCAGTTGCCAAAAGAAACTGACGATTTTGACAACCTAACTGAAAGTTGGAGGGACATCACTACTCGCTTATACTTCTCAAAATCGGCTCTTACCGCTACCCAATACAAACCGCCTCCTTACCTGCTGAACAAACTGAACAAAATGAACGAGAAGCTAGACTTGATGCAGAGAGCGTTGGAGCGATATCTGGAATGCAAACGTCACGCTTTTCCGAGGTTTTATTTCATCTCTAACGATGATTTGTTGGAGATTCTTGGGAATTCCAAGAAACCAGAAGGTGTCCAGACTCACCTGAAGAAGCTCTTTGATAATTTGAACAAGATGAAGGTAACGTATTACTGGAATATCTGATAATTCCATGTCCATAAAATGCAAAAACTACTTGTTCCTTCGGAACGGCGCTATTTTGTGAAACGTTTCAGTAGGCATTCAGGAAAGAATCATTTGTATCAGTATTCGTTTATACGAGTCGATGCATAGATTTCAAGAGGATGTAATTCAATGTTCTGCGTGGCATTAGCCAGGAAAGTAGTGTTTTTCTCTCGAAATCTACCATTGTTGTTCATTTTATGAACATTGTGTGGAAATGACCTTTGAGCTTTTTGTATTTATTTAACTTTTCATTCCACTTTGAGCATCGTGGCTATTTCGTAGTTGAAAATGATACCTATTTACACCTGACTGCGAAGAGGTTGTGGCCAAGCGCGCAACAGCAACCATCACTTTTCAAGTTCTTTATACAGGGTGTCCGCTAAAAGGTCAATCCATTAACCATATATCCCTTGAACAAAAACAATATGAGTTTCTAAATACGTGTGACGAAATAGATAGGAGTATGTGAACATTATGAGATTACCGTAAGCCGCATAGGCATCAAACAATATCCAGTACTTTTCGAATTATCTTAAAAACAAATTATTTTATCGAAATTTTATAAGAGACAAAAAATTCTCAAAAATGCTCGAACACTTGGAGAAAAATAGATAGGAAGTCATCAGCGCATGTACAAAACAAATATGAGGATAAGTGTGTACTTGACCCCCAGTATTTCGAATATTTGACAGTTATTTTCTGTTTCGTTTTCCTCACACGATGTAACTCTTTGTGCTGAAGTAATGTACCAATTTTGAGATCAACATCTCATTGAACACTCGAGTAATTAAAAAAAAACAGTTTTTAATTTCTAACTTTGACACCCTGTATATCGAATATGGAGGGCTAAAATGAAAAATGGTATTTAGAAACTAATATTGTTTTTGTTCGAGGAATATATGGTTAATGTATCGACCTCCTTTTAGCTGTAAAGTAAAATATATTTCATAAAAAAAAACAAATGAATTAATGAAATATTATTTTAATTAAAAGTACTTGCGGCCACATTTTGATATTCATAAATAAATGTTTAATTTGATTTTTATTGAATAGGTACTTGATGAACGTAGCATAGAAATCTTGCAATCGGATCCCGTTCCAATAGTATTATCATATTTCTGTAATTCAATAATTCCGCACAAAGTTTCCAAAATTCGTCAATTCATTCATTTATTCGTGTTTGGCGTTTGAGATTGTCATATACTTTTTCGTGATTTATGAATTGATAATTTAGTGATATTCAGTCTGAGAATTCATATATCTATCAACGACTGAAGACCCACTGTATCAATATTTTTAGAACGTTATGTAGGTAGTCAGCAAATTATTTTATGATATTCCCATGAAGTTTGATTTAGAAATTGAATTTAGTCACTATGTGACGCCCATGAACGTATGAGTCCATGGTGAAACCTAATTTCAGTTCCATTACCAATCTAAGAGTATCTCAACAGGTTGCGAAGAATATAGGAGTTAATAAGCAAGAAGCGGTGGGAATGTTTTCCGATGACGGGGAGTACATGGAATTTGTGAAGCCATTCTTTCTAGAAGGCCCTTCTGAGTCTTGGCTTTTTCAACTAGAAGTTGCGATGAAACTGGTATTAAGGACCGCATTCAAACCTTGCAGAAGCGAACTCAAGAAGAATCTAAACAAAAGAGACAAATGGTTGCTGGCGAATTGTGGACAACTTTGTAACGCCTGCAGTTTGGTAAGCATGCCTGACCCCGTAAATAGGTAGCCTCTGTAACTTTGTAACCAAATCCAGGATATGGTATATAGGATGATACTGAGGCTTAATTGAAAATGATTCGAACGTGTTTTTCGGAAGATACTAATAATATGATATGTACATAGGCTTTCCTAGACCAGAATTAATACTGTTTACTGTTTTACTGCGTAAAAAATAAGAATTGAAATATGTACTTCTTGATGAATCGCCCTTTACAATGCAGAAGCTTAAAAAGCTGGGATTCTACTTGCTCCTTCAAGTGTGTTGAAAACTGTAAATGCAGTAAAGAATTACTCCTTTTCAGATTCAATGGACCACAGATTGTACTAGAGCTTTGGTTCATGCCAAAATAATGGAGAGCAAGAAACCTCTCAAACGTTTGAGGAAAAAACAAACCCAGGTTTTGGGGAAACTATCAGAACTAAGCAGAAGAGATCTCACCAAACTCCAGAGGCTCAAAGCCAATGCTCTAATCACTATTGAAATTCATTCCAGAGATGTCATTGACAGACTCTACAAAGCCAGTAAGCTCAACATTATTGACGTTTTGAAAGGTTCTTGTCTAATTTGGATTGTAGATTGTAGAGATACCAATGCTTTCGAGTGGTTTTCTCAGTTACGCTTCTATTGGGATAGAGATGCCGATGAGTGTGTAATTAAACAAACTAATACAAGTTTCAATTATGGTTATGAGTATAATGGTAACTCAGGAAGACTAGTTATCACGCCACTTACTGATAGGTATTTATTTTCAATTATGTTTATACTTGTTCTATTTCAATGTCTCAACACACATTTGATTATGAAGTCACCATTTGATTAAATTATCATACAAAATTAGTCACATCCAATTACTCAGAAATTTAGAGATATACCTTGAGATCTGGCAACTCTGCATTCATTACTGTGTTGTGTTTATCCTGAATCAAGGAAACAGTAGTAGGAAAATATTCAACCATTCAAATAAATAATGCTTCGATTCTCGAGAAGTAATTGCAGTTCTGCATCAACAACAGTGTTCATCGAAACTAGAGTCACTGAATGGTATTCGTAGATAAGCTGAACTTTTGTCTTTTTCTATTTTCTATATTACGATGGTTTGAGTGAATAAAATAATAAGACATATATTCTACTCTTTGTCTTTCCAATTTCCCTAATATCGCCTGATTGTCAGATACGATTTTAAAGACTGCACATTGTCAATCAAGCCATATTGGCTTCGTAATACTTTTACTACCCTATTAGAAAAGCCATAATAGTTAATCTTGTATCTGTATTAACATAAATTGATTGACTATTTCCAATTAATCATTCTAGAACACGTGATTTTGACATGGTTTCTTGAGGAGCACACAAACTATTTGTTAGGTTACCTTTGATGAGCATAGCCCTGACCATCCCTGCCACATCCACAATATGATAACAGTTTCACCAAACAAAATTATGGAATTCTTTCTGTTTGCAACTCGGATTCAAAGCGAAACGTTCCCACTAATGCTGGTATTATATGACAAATCTTGACAAAATACAATGTTTGCCCTTCAGCAACTTGTCAAATGACGTAATTCTGGAATGATCAATACATGTAAAATGACAAAAGGATAATAAACTACTTACTTAAGTAACTGACGGCTATTTTGTAGATGTTACATAACATTGACGACGGCTCTACATCTATATCGTGGAGGGAGTCCTAAGGGCCCTGCCGGTACTGGCAAAACAGAAACTGTCAAGGACTTGGGAAAAGCAATGGGCCTCTGGGTTATAGTCAACAATTGTTCCGAAGGCTTGGACTACAAGAGCATGGGCAAATGTTTTTCAGGACTGGCTCAAACTGGCGCTTGGGGATGTTTCGATGAGTTCAACAGAATTAATATTGAGGTGTTGTCCGTGGTGGCTCAACAGATCTTGTTTATTCTGTCGGCGGTGTCTCAAAAACTCGATCGATTCATATTTGAAGGTAAAAGCCAAAGACCTAGCAACATTGAACTACGGGATGCAGATATTCTTTTTTCTACGGCTATAACACAAAATTGCTCTTGTTTTACTGTGTTCGAAACATCAATGAGGTACTTTGTATGTCATCAATTTTATTTCCGTATCTAATATCACAATGACTCCATTGTGTTATTATTTCAAAAAAAGCTCATCGCTCATGGAATGTCAAATTGTAAGCAATGACAGCTCTGTCTAATAGATGAGCATTACTTGACAGAAAATCAGATGGCTACAAGCCGAAGAAATAGAAAATGCCGCTGTTATCTGTTACAGCCGTAGAAAAATTATAGTGTATAACTTGCACGGAATGCTAATTTCCTACTCGAATGATTGCAGCATTCGCCTATGGCTCCTGCTGCAAACTTCACTATCATTCCGTGCACGTTAAACAAAATACTATACCGTATTATTATTAATAGTCAAAAACATTCTCATTTCTCAGTTCGTAGGGTTTGAGAAGTAGGTATCCGCGAGATTCACAAAGTGGGCGACATCTAGGTTACATAATACGAACTTCAAACTGGGGGAAAACAAACTGTTGTCTATGTATAAAGTGTATAGACTGATCTTTGCATTCAGCTTGCTGTAGCTGTAGTCAAACTTGTCAATGACATAAATATGTTTACACTGTTGGTAGTGATGATGGTTGAGTTGGTTAATTTTTTTACATTATTACATTTTTATTAGTTTAGTGAACAGTGAACGGGTGAAGAATTGGAGATAGTTCAAACAATTCAAACTAATTATGACGAGCAAATCAATGTTTACAATACCCAGATGGTCCTGCTTTGCATGAACAAATACAAATCCATTGTTCTACAGGAGTTCCTCTGGGCCCCAACTTCAATTTTACTTCATGTGGGGAAGATTTCATCGCTGAAGTTTGTAGACAAAGGGCAAAAATTTGCCTTTTGTTGAAGTCTTCTGCCTCACACAAAATCACATAATTAGCACGGAGAACTGCTTCTCCTTTCACTACTGGTCGGCTTTTTCCATCTAAATAGAGCAAAATATTTGCCAAAAGAACATCTACAACAGGCATTATTAGCGTTTCCGATCGAATATTGACAATTAATGTCAAGAAATTTGAAAACATCACTCTTATCAGTACACAGTACACAAGCTAATGGCACTAATGGGATTGAGTGAGGATTGAGTTTGTTTTCCCCCAGTTTTGACGTGGCTTTGATATGGAACGATGAAAACCGAGCGCCACCTGGTGACATTGATTCCCGCGAATATTTAATTTTCAATCAGCATTTTTTCTTGAATTGAAATTTCCATACTGACTCAGTTCATTTCGTTGTGGCATGTTAATTCTTGCATATGATTATTTTCATTCGTTTTATCTCTAGACACCATCAACACCTTTTCCAATTTTAGTTCAAAAAGGGTCAATTGTATTTCCAAATTATCAATTCAATTTCAATATGCGTTAATAATTGTATTTCAAATTAGTCATTGTACTTTCAGAAAGTATCAAATGTATTACAAACATCAAATTAACTCAAAAAACTAACACTTCAAATTCCAAAATAGTCATTTGTATTTCCAAAAATATCAAATGTCTTTCGTAATGCATCATTTGAATTCGAATTGGAATGAATATTTTGAAACACAATTGACAGAATTTGAAACTGAATCGATAATTTTGATGTACAATTGACGCATTTTGAAATTGAATTGATAATTTTGAGATACATTTGATACTTTTTGGAATTAAAATGATTGATTTGAAATACAAATGATACTTTTTGAAAGACGCTTTTCGAAATAGAATTGCACAAGGTGTAGTAGTTTAAATATCTTCAGATTTTTTTGTTAATAATTCAACAGTGCATTAGCGGATAATCAGGGTTGGGTAAATAAACAAAAATTTATTCTACCACATTACTGACGTAAATTCGTAAAGTCTGTGTTGCAAAAGTACAAGAGGTACAATGATTATAACATCCTAGTGGCCGTTGATGTATTCTTCGTTTGTCACTTTCCGAATATGAGGAGTCTAAGTATCACTTTCATATTTAAAAAATATATATATATATAAAATTACTACGACTGTCATCATTATTGCTTCAAATGAATGACCTATAATAAATCACCCAATTTTCTCCTCAAACATTCATTTTGAATATCCATCCAAACACCTCATTTCCCAATATTCATAGGATCCGGAAGAAGCTAATCCATCAGATTCTTTGGAAGAGCACTATCTGATAAATACTCTCAAAATTTCTTTTGATATTATCAACAAACACCTCAAATCTGACTCCATATTTGTAAGGAATTCTTAAATTTATGAACATCAAACTAGACAATGACTTGTTTCATTTGATGTTGCTAATTCTACACTTGGCCAAAAAAAGTTTACTCACGGAACTATCTCCAGAATTCAATAAATTACCTGATGATATCAAAAGTTGCACGAATATCACCCAATTCAAAATTAAAGTCAAGACAGATATCCTCTTGGAAAGAGAAAATCAAACCTGAGTGAATGATTTCTCATTTCATCATGTCATAGTGTACTCTTCATGAGCTTCTTGTTTTATTATTATTATTTTTGAATCTGTAGTTTATTTCAATAACTTAGATTTAATAATGCATGAATAATCTCATACCAGATATTAATCTGTCCGATTATTCATGTTATTTCATTGTAAATCTTCATAAAATATATTTATATTTATATGAGATGCAATGTAATGTTTATAGCGAAGAATGAAATGAATATTATTATTATATATTCATTCACCTTTTGTTTACAGGATATGAAATTTGTCTAAAATTGACCGTCGGCATATTCATCACCATGAATCCTGGGTACGCTGGGCGGACCGAACTCCCCGACAATCTGAAATCCATGTTCAGGCCTATTTCAATGATGGTACCGGATAGTGGAATAATAGCAGAAAATGTATTGTTTAGCGATGGATTCCAAAATACCAAAGCACTTGCAAAGAAGGTATGATGTAATTACTATCTTATTGTAGTTTAGTAAGTTTTGTAAAATATTTTTGTCTGAACGTTTATGCTATAATTTTGATTCATGTTCTACTCAAATTTAACGATTTTCTTGAAACTGACTGAATAATGAATTTCAGAATGAATTCGGCAATTTTCTACTTGTCTGAAGAATGAATCTTATTTCAGTCATTTAGTTATGTCAAATGAATAAAAGACGAAATCGTTATGCTTCTACCAAGTGGCCCAAAATCAAGTCCCCTATGAGAAGCTGCTACAATAGTTTAATATTGATATTGATATATTATTAGTCACAATGTTTTGAACGGTGATAGAAAATACTCGTGGGTGTTTCATGATCAATTAGCATAAATCTCAAAAACTCGGAGAAATTGAAATTGATGTTGAACAAATTCTTCGAATAACTCGGTTTACCAAAAACTTCCTTGAACGTTAGTAGATTCCATATTCTATTTACGCGAAGACTTAACTTAATCCTAACTTGAGAATTAGAGAAGGTGATTGGTGGGTTCAGAATTTATATCTGAAATTGACCAATTATCACTAAATATTCCCAAGTCATGCACGAATTCACCTTCAATCTGCCTGACAGCTGTAAAGTTATGTAACATTTGCGATGATTCAGTGCTCTCAGTGACTTTTCGGAAATTTTCTCCGAGGGAAATCTAAAGTGATATTTTTCCTGAAAGTGCACAGAAAATAGTGTATATACCGTGGAACTAAAGTTATTCAATCCATCAAGTGGTTGTTGCCCTCGAGAAACAACTCTACTCACTATCTATCAATTATTCTATCTTGAACTGAACTGAACTGAATCATCGAGATAGTCTTCCCAAGAAGTCTTGCATGAATTCACCATAATACTTACACCTAGGGACTTATGAGTAGGGTGGTTTATAAAAATATAGGTTTTTATTATGCAACATTTTCGAATGCATCAATTTAGCTGAAATTAACTTGTTTAGAACCATCACTATAATCAGGTAACCTGTCCATGTTACAATATAGTTTGACGACTATCAGTTGAGGTAGTAGTAAAACTCCCAGTCATCTCCACAATTATTGTGTTCAGAGTCCCTGTATATACCTTAGACAAAAGTCTGGACACAGCTATACTTCTGTCTTTTTCTGTTTTCAAAAAATGCATTGATGATTGAATAAAGGAATAAGACATATATATCGAGCTCTGTCTTTTCAATTCCCCTAGGATCAATGATTGTCAGAAAAAATTTTGAGAGTTAGATTATTTGTCACACTGTTCATAGCCGTAGGTAGAAGGGAGAAATAGGGCTATTTTGACTAGAATAACTATTAGATTTTCAAATAATGAACAACAGGGTGTTCAAATTTCGAATCGATAATTTTCATAATCAATTCCTGAGATGGCTATCAATAAAACTGAGATACCATCGATTTCTACTACTGACTATCAGTATCTTATATGTTTAATTAGAAATGATGAAGTAAATCAGTAACAGATCACTTAAGTACATTAGCCCATAGGGATTAAAAAAGTCCCGTAACAATTGGTTCAAAACGCGTTCAGGGTTAGACTTGACCAATAGCAGACCTGCATTTCTTATTTTTTATTCCTATTCATCTACATTGTGTCACGACCTTTACAGTTTGGAGGAATTGAAGGACAAAGGACACACTTATGTCATGGAAGTGCAAAAACAAAATTATATGATGAAAAATTCAACGTTTCATGTTCTTATTATACCTACGTACATTCTTTTAGGTATTCACTCTTTACCGTTTGGCCGTGCAACAATTGAGCAAGCAAGATCACTACGATTTCGGTCTGCGCTCAATGGTGGCCCTTTTGAGATATGCAGGAAGCAAACGCCGTCAAATGTCCCACATACCTGAAGATCAAGTGGTGTACCTCGCAATGCGCGATATGAACATTGCAAGGCTGACGTCTGATGATTTGCCCCTTTTCAATGGCATTATGTCGGATATCTTTCCTGGAGTTGTTATCCCCGTCGTAGATTATATCGACATGAACTTTGCTATATTGGAATTCATGGAGGAGAACAATATACAGGTTAGTCTATTGTAACATAACCGATGAAATCGGTTTTCTCTCAGGGAAAGTTTTTGTTCGTTACACAGTTCCTGATGATATTGGTATGGATTTATTCGACAAATCTGACACTTTTTCAACAATTCTGTCGACTCTATAAAAAATACAATGATTAATATAAACCAATCTTCAGATTTTCAATCGGAACTCGCTCATAAAAATACCAGATAAGTATATCAATTATTACTTGAAATAACATGATTTCTTCATATCCTGAGGATATTTCAATTTGTTGAAACAAAATTGATTATATTTGCTATTATCAAACCCTGGCAACCGTAATAAGATATTCTTAACTGAAGTCATTTGTACCAAGTGATTAATTTCCAATTACCAAATCTAAACACAAACTTTCAATGACAGAACATTCGTTATGTTATACTATTTAGATGCTATTTTTTGTTCCACCATTATCATCACAACGCAAGAAAAGGTACCATGTTTCATCGCATTAGGATGAGCTATACAAAATGTGATAAATATGTGCGATTTATTGTCATTATGTCTCATATTTCATTTTTCGCTCAAATTTCTGAAACATCCAGTATAAAGCACTTATATTTTTCAGATATATTTTTAGTTAGCTATGTAGGTATTGAATTCATTCCATTTGCCTGATACACCTTATAACTACCTTCTAGGCTAGAAGATTTTATTTATTTATTTATTTTGTTGTTTATTATGTACCTCGATACCCTGTGTCACCCGATATAATAGTAATACACATTTTTTAAATGAAGGCTTGATTATAACTTTTCTATGAACATCTAAATTTACTAAAATAATAATTTTCTCATCAGAGGAGTTCAGCTAGCTTTGAGAAAGATAAAATATGTCTTCCGCATCTGTCCTTGTCTTCAGCGATCCAACGTAAATTAATTAAAATTATATATTATATTAACCCCAATATAAAAGAGGTTAGAATTGTCTACTCCATTTCTTCTCCTTTCCAGTGTTGCCATCAAAACATTTCCATTATTCTACGTTGGAACACTGAAGACAAGGACAGATTGGGAAGGCATATTTTTTCTTTTCAACGCTAGCTGAACTTCTCTATTGGAATGTTATAACTTTCATCTTAAGGAAACATTATAATTGTCTTTATGAGTATTCATGTATCCCTATTATAAACAGATATTTTTCTTGGAGTAGTGAAGACAATCAATTCAGAATAATTTACATAATAAATATGCATAATATCATTGACTAAAACATGATATAGTGAATATTATTTCATATTCAAACATTCCAAAATTTACTATCCAAGCTAATGTACATTTTTAAATGTAAAAACTTCACAAACGATAATATTTCCACAAAATTCTCAAACCCACGACATGTTTCGCTAACACAGTAGTTAGTACAATGAACTAAACTAATCTTGGCTTGAATTTGTTTTCTCGGTAGGTAATATTATGTATTTCAATGTAGATATTGTGCCTAATTTCCGAAAATGAAGGTTTATCGAACCTGTTCACAGGTAACTAATCCTTCGGGTTGGGAAAGTAGGATATATAAAAGTTAGGCAAGTCAAAGTCAGTTTAGTTCATAGTACCAGTAAATCACCTGATGAAGCTACTGTGTTAGCGAAACATGTCGTGTGTTTGAGAATTTTGTGGAAATCTTATCGTTTGTGAATATTTTCCATTTGCCATGGATTTCCATCAAGTAACGGCCGAGTCAATTCAAAAAATAATATTTTTTAGCCTATTCCGATTGCTTTGACTAAAGTACTTCAACTATATGAAACAAAGAACTCCAGACATTCAGTAATGATTCTTGGAAAAACGTGTACTGCGAAATCGGTAACGTGGAAAGTGCTTCAAGGAGCTATGGGAAAATTGAAAAACAAACCCGGATTCAATTCCGTCCAGGTCTTCCCTCTGAACCCGAAATCGTTGAATTTGGGCGAGTTATATGGAGAATTCAACTTGAGCACTAATGAATGGTTGGATGGAGTTATAAGTGCTATAATGCGGCAGACTTGTTCAGGTTTATATCAACTTATTTTTATTGGAACACTTAGCTAACACTTGCGCCTCTGGTGGCACAGTTTAGAAGCTGTTTTATTACGAAAGTTCAAGTTCTGTGACGTTACTTTGACGTGAGTGTAATTAACTGAGGTTATTTATTTGGACACATTACAAAAGTTACCTGAAAAAACTGGGTCCCTCGATGTAAATTGACGTATTTGTCATCTTAACAGGGTACGGACAGATCCTCGTCTCCTCTCACTCTAAAGTGTTTGTGAAACAGTTATATTGTTCCATCTTTATTCATTTCTAGGGATAAACACTAGATTTCTGACATTTGTTGTTTTTTAGGTTATATTGAGGACATTGGCGTATCATACGTAATTTCCACATGTAACTCTACATATTGTATCCAAATGATGATGATAATTCTCGAGTTTTTGATTTTTCAACTCCAGCATAATCTTTGTGAGGCAGTGAGCAAATTTTTCTGAAAGTTCAATACGTTTCACCAAATGGGACTGTTCTTAGGCAGTACCTATCAATAAATGAATATTTATTTCAGACTTGAGAAATGGTGAAAAATGTTATGTAGGTATTTAAACTGATGTGCTCATATGTCTTGTGTGCTGTTTACAGGGTGTTCCTTAATGATATGCTTATATTCAAGGGGCCCATTCTTCGAGCCATTTCAAGAATAAAACTGCATATGAACGTATGTCGTAAACGTCCTAACTTTTGAGATACAGGGTGTCAATGTTGAAAATATGCATAGATTTTTTTCCACCCTGTATAGCTTTTCGTGGTGGCAAATTTCAGTCGGCTATGAGACTAAATCGGTATACAAATTTCAAATTGTTACATACTGTGGTTATCCAGTAATGGATGTCTTGAATGGAGTACTCAGACATCAAATTTTTTTTACGAACACTTAATATTTCCTGAATGTAAGTATAATTTTTTAAATGGTAGGGCATATGCCTCTCCATTTAATCCTCCGTTTTAATCAAAACTGTTCCCACTAAAATGCATTCAAACACTTGTGAAGTGGATAATTATATAGGCACAATGAGAAAGTATAATATGGGATTTCGTATTAGTTTTACCTCGAATATTTTGCTGATGTATTTACCAATTTTCCCCATTCGGTCACTTCACTTTCCATGTTCTAAGTTCATTTGCATTTGATGGAAAGCTGACAAATTCAAATTTGCCATCCAACTGATTGATACAGCCTAACGCAGCATATTTTACCATCCTTCCAAAACAGAATTGAATAATATCGTATTGAGATCAAGTATGAAATTAAAATTTGGTAAGATCTCTTTTAACGCCTATGAATGTGACGTTATGGCAATGTCATGTCAGGGACGCCAATACACGAAACCAAAGTCACTAGATAATTAAAAGAGAAAGGAGCTATGATCTGTCGGTACCCTGTTAGATGACAAATACGTCAGTTTGCATCAAGGGACCCTAGAAAAAACATGGTATTTCCTGATTGACAGCTGGCAAGTGTCGCTCTGGGAATATAAACAACATAAAGCCTTACCCCATTTGCTCAAACCTGGTTTCAATCAATGATGGTTTTTCGAGTGAAAATGTTCAAACCAACCACCACTACCAGATCGTAAATTACCACTATTTGATTGGTTTATATAAATGACTTTGAAACTTTGCCAATGAAATGATAAAGCGACTCAAATCACTGATTACTAGTTGACACCTCCAAAAAGCTCGATAGTGGGTCAACTCACGAGAAGTCATATACCGGGTATCAACGATTTTTTTAGACAAGTCATGGTTTTTTCTAGAGTTCCGAAGTTATGAGATTAAAATTTGGCAGGGGTGTAGCATTCAAGAATAGGGGGTTTCACCAGAAACTTCTTATTTTCAAAATCGGTTAGAGAATATATCAACGAATTCATCGATACTGAGTTCGAAGATATTTGCGTTCGAAAGAAGTTTTTATATTGCACCATCACACTCATTGAGCATATGGAAACTTCGAACTCAAATATCTTCGTAATCGTTCTAAATATCCCTGTCAAACCCAATATCGTTGAATTTGTTATGATCATCTCCAAACTGATTATGAGATGAAGTACAGGGTGTCCCATTTGGAAATCAAAAGTTAGGGGGTCGTTTTCGGTGAAACTGGAAGTGATGAGAGAGAATGAAATATCGAAATATTTTACAATCGTTTTATCCAACATCCCTGCCATGTTTTAGTATCATACCTTCAGAATTCTGGTAACTATGGCTTGTGTAATTAAAACGTTGACACCCGGTATAATGAATTACGGGAACTTGTGAAAATATATTTACGAACGTTCACAAACGGCCTCCTCTCTATATATATCTCAGCTATTAGTCGTGCGATTCTTACCAACTTTTGACCAGAATGAATAACCATCAATATGATCGGTTTTTCAGAGATGAACATCCTTTTGGACAGTGCCATGCTTTTTTATTGTAATAGAAAGGGGCCGATTTTTATGAAATCATATTAGTAAGATTCACAAAAAAACATAATCTCGGATTCACCTTCAGATGGCTATAATCACCCAGGGAGCCATTTCTGAACTGGACTGGTTTGTTTGAACTTTTTTTACTATTTTTGATCCTAGAATCTCTGGTTGAAATCTTTCTATGTAATTTCGGGACACCATGTATATACCATAACACGACCACCGTTTACTACGTTCCAGGTAATCAAGTCAGGCAGAGCTCTGAAATTAAATTAGTTCGATTCATCTTCGCTACTAAAGAAACATACTTTATTGAACGAATATCTGCTGAAAACCTCCCTCGATTCACAAGAGTAAGCAAATAAACAGTCAAAAGTGAAGTTTTCTTTGCTCAAACTACTACCAAAGATCTAAATAATACACACAAGCATGAACCATTTCAAAACAATGTACTTCCATATAGTTCACAACCGGCCACGCAGCGCCAACTGCGTTCTTGAATTCAGTCGCCAACCGAGTCGAGTTTTTTCATTAGCTCTAAAAGAATTTTGTCTATTATTCTTACATAGGAACAGTCTGGAATTGACATTGAGTTGGTTGATGTAATGATTCTTCAATGGATTTAATTTATTTTAGACGAGTCCCCAGAGGAAAAGTGGATCCTATTCGACGGTCCAGTCGATGCGGTCTGGATAGAGAACATGAACAGCGTCATGGACGACAACAAAGTTCTGACGTTGATAAACAGCGACAGAATCACCATGCCCGAGCAGGTGTCTTTGCTCTTCGAAGTCGGGGATTTGGCTGTCGCTTCCCCAGCGACCGTCAGCCGGTGCGGGATGGTTTATAACGATTACAAGGACTGGGGATGGTTACCCTACGTCACTTCTTGGGTGAATAACAAGAAGAAGTTGGGAGAGAAATTCACGAAGAAGGTGAGTTTCTAGAAGATTTACAAGGTTTAAATGAATAGATGCGAACAATTTTTGAGGGTGATTCCCTGTCATACTTCAGGAAAAAAGTTCATATAAACATGTATCGTGATTTTCTTCTATTTTTAGAGAAACAGGGTATAAAAACTCGAGCTTTGAAATAACTTGGAAGTCTTTCGCCAATTTCAATGAAACTAGTTTTGTTGACAATAACAAAGTGGTTAATGTATTTAACGGCAAATGTAGAGAAGAAAAATATAAAATGGAAATGGTTTTAGGAAATTTAGATTTTTTCTCATTTCTCCGAAAGTATTCGGAATCTCCCAAGTTTCAAAACGGCATATTTTAGGCATGAAATTGCGCAACTTTGCCATTATTGAACCGACCCAGTATCTCTTACGGTTTACTCCACTCTGAGAAATGATGGACTTCTGCCGAAGATTGACAATATGGATACTCAATAATAAATAATCAAGATATAAAAAATTCAAATTAAATGAAAAGAAAGGCATTCATCAAACACTCCATATACTATTTATCCAAATATTTTTTTATAGATGATGTATTTATTCACGAATTATTTATCACCTATCCTTGAGTTCAAACGACTGAATTGCGAAGAAACTGTTGTCTGTGCAGAATTAAATTTGGTAATATCGTTATGCAAGCTCTTGGACATCTATGAAACTAAGGAATTCAATGTTAATACAAATGATGAAGAACATTTCGACGATGCTGCCAAAAATTGGTTCTTATTTTGGTAAATGATGATTTTCTAGAAGAGACTAATAACAAATATAAAATAATATGTTTGCAGTTTAATATGGTCGGTCTGTTGTACAACTGACGAAGAAGGTAGAAAGAAGCTGGACGTATTCATAAGAGAAAGGGAAGCTGTTTTTCCTATCAAAGATACAATATATGAATACTTTGTTGATTATCAAAACTATTGCTTTTCTCCTTGGTCAGATAAATTGCCATATGGTTGGAGATACGAAACTGGGTAAGGGCATAAAGTTTATATAAAAACAGTATTATTCATCAAGGGGAGACTTCGCTCCAAGTTGCCAACTTAAAAATGTCTACCAATCTTGAAGCAACTATATGGGAGTTTTATTACTCAAATGGCTTTATTATGATGAAATATGATTGTAGCAGTCTACTCAGCAGAAGTTATTCAGAAGAAAAATTGATTTTTTTGAACTCCAGTTCTCATTAGTTGAAAATTATGTTGATGCGCCTGCCTTTGTACTGAATTATGTCATTTCGTCGTCAATTTTACTTCTCATTTTTATTTATGAGCTACTCTATTATTATTCTTTGATAAAAGTGAAGTTTGATGGTTGCAGTTGGAAGAAGGGATATTATAATGGTTGGCTTGGCTTAGTGTCACTGGATGGTATTGGTTAGTTAAGAGTTCAGACACAGAAATGACAACTGTTAGTGTTAAAATAGTCCTTTGTGAATTAATGGTGGATAATTGGTTGAAAATCATGTTGGTGCATCTGCGTTGAGTCAATACTGTCAATGGTGTCAATAGTGTCAGGAATAAAACGGTATTTTAGTGACTTCGAATCATTAGGTTTTTATAAATATTTACTTAATCAAATCATCCGTTGACACTGAACTATGATGAATACTGATCAAGGAACTCTCATGAGAAACGTGCTAACCTATAATGAATATTGGACATGAGGTTTCCGAAGTTTTATTCTGGTCACAGATTAACAAAACCTTTTGAGGCTACTTTTTACTTGACAAGAACTCGCTATAATGGATAATGGTAATCATAATATAGGTTGTTGTTATTAGATCTTCATATTCATTGTTTATTCATATTTCATTACTACTAAAATTATATTTCATGCTATAATATACAGGGTGTCCGGAAAGGGCATGTCGTAAATGATAGAGCTGATACAGTGAGCCGAAATAATGTTAGCACTTCATATAAAAAAATGTCTCGCAATTCGTTACGGAGTTATTGACCTTGAAAGTTTCTGCAGGTCCATACATAAGACATGTTCATCATTACTCAACTCACAACTCATCCATGATTTTAGCAAATTATTAAATACTGTCGAAATAATATGATGTCGATTTTGACAATGACTGCAACTACCATGATGTTATTGAATAAATGGAGTATTTATCAACTCAGGAACGTTGGAGATGTATGTTTTTAAAATGCGATTCTGTCTAGAACGGTACAAGATATCGATTAAAATATAATATACTATTGTTGTAGAAAAAAGATGAAGGAAACAAACGGTGAGCAAAATGTCAAATTTGTCTACTCTGTCAAAAATGCCTCCATGAAACGAAAAAAAAAAATCGTTTTTTTCTGTATAAAACATAATCACTGAACAGCCGTTTACATATCTGAAGGAGCATTAGTATGCGTTGATTGAGTAGGCCGAATATCATTGATACCATGGCAACCGTTTGAAAGTTATACAAGAAATATATTTTTTTATTCAAACTTTCGAGGTCAATAACTCCGTAACAAAGTGCGGTAAACATTTTTTGTATATGAAGTTCTAACATTATTTTGACTCAGCTGATCAGAAGTGAAACTTACTAAAGGAATGTTTCTTTTAAATAACTTCTATTAGAGAGCTGAGTAGATTCCTAGAATCAGATTTCATCAAAATAAAAGCCATTTGAGTAATCAAACTTCTATAATGTTGGTAGAGGAAATCATTGATTTGATAGTCTGAGGGATGGTTGCATAACTAAGGTATACGTTGTCATGGATAAAAATGAATTAAATATTAAATCATCGCTCATAGTACATTCCATGGTTCTTTTGTTTCAAGATAATGAATTTATTATTCCATACATCAGATCTTCTTTTTGAGATAAACTTATAATAATAATAATAATAATAATAAATTTGTTTATTTTCCTTCTTCCTTTCACAACACAAAAAAACAACATAATTACAAATATTTGAAAATAAACTATGACACCACGAATCACTAAGTGTGATTGTTTGTGGTTATGTCCATCCACTGGGATTTGCTTGGAGATACAATTATTTTGGATGTAGACAACGTGAAAAAAAAAATATATATATATGACCCGCTAATGCTCATAGTCATATCCTAGATATCAGAAATGAAGGCTCAATTTGTAGGTTATGTGAAGCACAATAAGCTATAACTTCCATTTAGGTCCTAGTGGATGCGCATGGAAGTCATGCTCATCATGCTCGCATATTATGGTTCATATAGTGCCATTGATATGATATACATTTAACTATCACAACACAAACAACAACATTTCTTAGACAAAAAATATAAATGAAATATAATAAGAAGTAACAAGTATTATCGCTAATCACTACGTATTTAAAATTTTGTACACATATTTTGTATAAAATAACATTAATACAAAAAAAGATATACACAACAATGGGTAATTTCAATAAATCGCACAACAGCTAATCGATAATTTCATGTATAAGGATCCTCTCCGTGTTTACCAGGAAAATTTTTATGAGTTTTTTAAAAAAATGTATAGAATTTATAACTTTTAGGTAAACTTTGTAGGTTTCTGGTAAAAAATTGTAGATTTTACTACATAGAAATATAAAGTGGCGTTGACCTATTGTCTTATTCGCGAGGAGTATTTGGACCGTTCCTTGCTGTTTATTTCTAGTAGCATATGGATGCACTATTTCTTTTAGAATATTTTTATTATTATATGTATATTTTAAAGTTGTATATACATATAATTTCCGTATATCAAGTATTTTCAATTTTTCAAATAACAAATTTGATGAATAACTCACCTTCTTCTTATAAATTATTTTCAAAATTCTCTTTTGTATAACCTCCAGTTTTTTCAAGTAATTCCTTGTTGTAGCTCCCCAAGACAGTATGGCGTACTGAATACGTCTTTCAACTAATGCATAGTATAGAACCTTCAGGTGGTTAATGTCAATTAGTCGTGTCAGGTACTTGAATTTATACAATAACCGCCTGAGAATATTTGTTACATTATCAATGTGTTTATCCCAACGTAAATGAGAATCCACTGTTATGCCCAAATACTTCAAATCAGTTCTTCCTTGTAGTTTGACACTTTTGTTGTTATAGGTTATATCAATTGATTTAAATTTTGGTAGATGTACGGCATAGCTGGTAAAGGGTAATTCGATATTAACGATATTGGTCTATAATTTGTTAATAGTTTTTTGTCGCCTTTATTGTGTATAGGAGATATAACTGCTTCCTTAAATTGGCTCGGAACTTGTCCCTTTTCAAATATATTATTAATTAAATTAGTAATTAAAGGAGTGATACTATTTGTTATCTCTTTGAGAGTTTCTGAGCGGATCCCATCAATTCCAGGTGACTTTTTATTTTTCAATGACATGATTGTGGTTCTTATTTCTACATCTGTTGTAGGACTTAGGAAAAATGAATTTCCAGCTATATTTCTAATCGGCCGAATTAAGTCAATGTTTTCAAATTTCTCTGCAAGTCTTTGACCTATATTGGAAAAGAATGTGTTGAACTCATTTGCGATTTCGATGGGTTTATTTATCATCTGACCATTCTCACTACATATTTCTTTAATTTCTCTATTTTCATTTGAGTTTCCTCCATGTATTTGATTCAGGACATCCCATAAGGCCTTCGAGTTTTCTTTATTGTTTTCTATTTGACTGTTATAAAAATGTGATTTCGCTTTTCTTATCAGTTTATCAGTAATATTTCGATAATTCATATATGCTTCTTTTTTAACATTATTTTCTGGGTCATTTTTATAATGAGTGTATAGCTTATTTTTTTTTGCTATAGATTCAACTATACCTTGAGTTATCCATTGTTTTCTCTTTGTTAGGCGTCGATTTTGTTTAACGATATAACTATTTTTCTCTATAAGTGTATTGATTGTGTTTATTAATATACTTGTTTTAATATCAATATCATTTGTATCATAATATACGGTCCAGTCATGTTCTTGTATTTCGATGTTCAACGATTTGTAGTTCGTGTACTTTTTGAATTTTTGTATTTCTTGTTTTATTTCTACAGATAATGGTATGTATGCGAAAGTCGCCCTGTGATCCGTGATTTTGTTGTCATGAACTACAGCCATGCAGGATGTGTCATGAATTTCTCTCTTTTCATTGCTGAAAAAAATGTGGTCAATGCAAGAACGCGAGTCGCCTTGAATGCGCGTATACTTATTGATGATGATACTTTTTTTCAAATCACCTTCTACACTGTGTCCAAGATAAGGATGTCTATCATGGGGATTGTTTTTTTTTTGTTTTTGACATTATTCAACGGGATAAGGGAAAACAGAAGAACGCTTTTTTATTGCCATTCTCTGAGCTCTGCAAAACAGCGTTGACAGATTTTCCGTACGACGTATCGTTTCAAAGGAACCATCATCAACTTTACGCCATAATAATTTTCTGAATTCATTATAATGTAATATTTTCTCAATATTGATTCTTCCTTTTTCCTGTAACAAAAAACTGTATTATACACGGGAAAAATCTTAGATTTTAGCTCACGGTTTTTGTCTCCCTCCACTCCATACAACACCCCTTGTATAATAAATAACTATTTTCCTACAGCTGCCCATTTTATAAAATAACCGTTCCCACCATTGACACGGTCAGATATGAATACATCGTTAGCGCCCTACTGGCACACGGTGATCCAGTACTGCTAACTGGCCCAGTGGGCACTGGAAAAACTTCGACTGCTCAATCGGCTCTATCCGCTTTGGACGTCGATAGATATACAGTGTTGAATATAAATATGTCAGCTCAAACTTCCTCTGAGAACGTTCAAGACATTATTGAAGGTACATAATTTTTTTTCAATTTCAAGATTTCGAGGTTCGATTAAAATTCGTTTGTATGTTTTCCAAGAGATTATTTCCATTTGAGATATCAATAAGCATTATTACATCACAACTTTCTATGTCCTACGGATTTCTATATAATGTATACATTGTTTTCTAATTCAGTTCGACATTTGTAAATAGGACGAGTTGTTGAAATTTATTCAGTCTTTCCATCCACCAAATGCACGTGACGAATATAAAGAGCTTCACTTCAACTTGAATAACTCAAATTACTCCACTGAGTCAATTGTGTTTCAGAATAGTCAATTGTATTTCAGAAAGCATAAATCATATTTCAGAAGAGTCAATTGAATTTCAAAGAGCTTCAGTTGTATCTCAGAATATGTATTTGATTATTTATTTATTGAACAAATAACTTCCAGACAGAATAGGCTCTGGTATAAGGAAGTACATAATTATATACCTATAGGTAAACATTTCATCATTCAAAATATCAACTATAAATTGGCAAACAAAGAATAATATTTTTAGAAAAAACATAGTAAAATAACATGATTAATTTTATCCAGTTCGCTCAGAAATAATCAGTTTTTTTCACTGCATTTTTGAATTTACCTATATTACTGCATTTTTGATATTGCCAGGTAGTTTATTGAATTCAGTTAAGGCTGAATAAGTAAATCTTTTTTGTCCGACTATGTAGCTAGCGGCGTCAAGATGAAACAAGTTATATCGTCTAGTTTCATGATTATGAGTTTCAGAATTCCCTATCAAAATAATATTCGATTTTTTATTTATGATACATGAAATTTTAAGAGTTTCAATTCTATATATTTCATCTAAAGAATACGTATTTGTTATTTCATACAATTGATTGGCTGGTGTTTCAAATGGGAGACGATACAATACTTTTAACGATTTTCTAAATAATGTTGATATCTTATTAAAATAATTTTTTGAACAAGATCCCCAAACATTTTTTAAATAGTTGATACGACTCAGTGTATGAGAGTAGAGAATCATGTTTGCAATATTAATATCAAGTTTGGGACATCTACTCAATGCACCAATAATTGGAGATATTTTCTTTGTTAAAACATCAATATGTTTGTCCCACTTCAACCTGTCATCAAACCAAATACCAAGATATTTTATATGGTCAGTTTGTTTTAAGAGTTCATTTTTTATTTTAAGGTTGAGGTAAATTTTTTGTTAATTTCTTTGGAGAAAAATCATATATTTTGTTTTATCAGTATTTATCGATAAAAGGTTAGAGTGGAGCCATTTTTCAAATATTTTCAAGTCTTCATTTATCATATTTTCTAAATTTGAAGGATTCTTGCTTTCATATAAAAGTACTGTATCATCTACATGCATGGTATATTTACTCGCTAGACCAATTTCACTGATATTTTGAACACAAAGTAAATATAGTATAGGCCCTAAAACAGAATTCGTCATTAGTATTTCAGAAATTATCATTTTGATTTCAGGAAAGCGTAATTTGTGAATCATAATGATCAAATTTGAGTCGTGGATAAAATATTCTATGAGAAGTTCGTGAAAAGCCATTCCAAACCTTTTGTTTTTCTAAATTGTTCTAATATTGTACTATCCGTCAATCGGTTGCCCCCTTCCGAGCAACCCTCAGAAGTGTTCAAGAGACCAGGCTCGTATACAAGGGGGGGATAATGGGGTTAATTACCCTCCTTCCCCAGACAATCCAAGGAAAGCCACTATCTCAATAAAATTTCATTTAACGCATACCTAACTAGTAACTAATCTACAAAATGTCCCAGAACAAAGTACCATAAATTCTACGGGGTAAACTAGAGACCAAAATAGGCCGATTTAAATCAACAACCTCTTTACGAAAATGCTTCGTTGTACCGTGAGAGGGCTATGAGGAACAATTTCATTTCCAGATTTTCAGTTCAGTTCACCATGTAGAATGGTATGTTGTTCTGGGACACCTTGAATTTCTTCCTAACTGAAAAAGAGACAAACCTGCAGGGTGTAAGTTCGTTTTTCATTTTGACAATTTAATTTATGCATATAAACTCTCGTAAGCGGCGTTGATTTTGTCATTATGACAGCGAAAGAAGTTTGCCCTAACTTTTCCAGCGACAAAACGCAAACTTAACATCTGAAAGCATAACAACCAAAATTGTAAACAATTATTTGATGGTGCTTATGTCATTTTTTTCTCAGGCTTGCTTTGTCAGGAAAGTATTTAACCTGTGGAAATGTCTCGATTCAGAGTTCTCGAGTGGAGAAATTGAAAAAAAAAACAATAACAATAATGTGTTTTGCTTATCTTTTATTAAATCGTCCTACCGATTTTTTGAGAGGAAGTAAACTCGAAATTTATAATTTTATTTCTCTTTGCCTTTAGCAAATTCAAATTTCCTGGTGAATCAAACAAACTGAATATGAACCTAACGATCAATTTGAAGGCATTCGACTATGAACAACGAAAAAGTTTCTTCTGCGGCGTTTTTTGCTTTCTGTCACCCCCGCGCTACCAATTATCCCCCGCGGCGGCCTTACCTTTGAACGTGTGATCCCAAACACTTTATTGGGCTATCAGAAAAATGTCTGCAGTCGTTTGGATTTGAACCCACAACCGGCAAGCCATCTCGATTAGAATACTCACTATGCTACAACGTGGCTACCTGGCCCCACCAGTTGTAGACTACTTTCTCAAACGATATCTCAAAAATACAAAAATAGACGATTAGAAAAAACAGTTTCAATGAATTCACGGTGTTCGTGAAAAAATAATAGAATTTTAGAAACTACGATTCTCAAATACAATTGATACTTTCTGACTTTACAAGTGACTATTCTGAAACACAATTAACGTTTTCTAGAATATAACTGAAGATGGTGTTTTATACTCATGTCACATCCCCCACTAGTAAATTCTGCAGCATTCTTATTTGTTTATTTTTTAGGATCTAATCATTATAATAGTTGAAGTTGAAATGGCACCATTAATTTATTACTTGATTACAGGACGCGTCGAAAAAAGGACCAAAGGTCACTATGCTCCGAGTGGTGGAAAGTTCATGATTGCTTTTCTGGACGATCTAAATATGCCAGCCAAAGAAACATATGGGTCTCAGCCTCCTTTGGAATTATTGAGGCAATGGATCGACTATGGATTCTGGTATGACAGGAAAAAACAGCAAAGGGTGTACATAGAGGTAAGTAGGTATTTACATTTTCTTATAAGCCCTAACACACCAAGTAATATCACTATTGATAATTATCTGTATGAGATGAAACAAGCAACAAAATCCTTTGTTATCATAGATAGCAGATTTTCATATGAAATTGAAATTCAACAAGTAGGCAATATAATCTGACCTCAGTTTGAGTGTTAGATCAAAATAATTATGTCGAATATGATATGGTCTAGTTATTAGGTGAGTTTTCAAAAAAAAATCTGGGTTAGTTTTGAATTTCTAATATATTAGATACATATTTTAGCATGCTGATCAAATATCCGAAGTTGACCACGACAATTTTTCCCCTTTTATTTAGTGCCAGAAGACATAAAATAACGCTTTTCCCCTAGTTTTTCGCTTATAACTAAGAAATTATCACCTTTTTCTAGAAAATTATTCAGTACTAAAGTACTCAAAATAAATCTTTTATAACTTGAGTGTCCACTTTTTTTTGTGAAACGTCGAATTTTGGCGAATATTTGACATGACTGACAGCGACTCAACGAGGAGGAGTCTGTGTGTCTGTATGTACCAATTCACTCTTTTCTGCTTTAGTTAACATATTTTATCATCAAATGTACAGTTTTCAGTTGTTTCCACATGAGGATATCTCAAAATTCAATAAATCACCCCAGGATATTGAAAATACACAAATTTTGAATTCAATTCTTCCAAAACGATGTTTTCTAAAATTTTTCTATCCGTCATTCGGTTGCCCCCTTACGAGCAACCCTCAAAAATCTTCAAGATACTTGTGCGAGCAAGGAATGACGGGAGCCTTAACCTTTTAACGTGTGATCCCAAACACTTTCTTGGGCCATCAGAAAAAATTCTGCAGTCGTTTGGATTTGAACCCACAACCGACAAGCCATCGAGATTAGAATACTAACACTTCTACCACGCGGCTACCTGTCCCCCTAAGTAAAGTCGCTCTACTCTTTGAAAAACTAAAAACAAAATTAGGATGACAAAATCACATTTAGTTGTTTCAAACGTTCCAACAAATTGGGAATTCATTGAGAATTAAGATTGATTAATTTAAAACAAATCAGCTATTCTTCAAGTTCAGTGCTGGATTTTTCCTCTCAACTTGGTTGATCTACTACTGAGAGAAATGAAGATTTTCCAAACTCAACAAACTATTTGTACAGGGTGAATGTGTTTTACTCAATAGCTATAAATTAAGTATTTTCATGGACATTCAGAATATAGAGGGTGTCGTGGGTGTCAAAATAAGCCGATTTAAAGCAACTTACTTCAGTCCGAAATTGCTCCGTTTCCGAAATACAGGGTGGTAAATTAAAAAAATTAAAATCGGCAAGCACACTCCAATAAAGTATTTTGGAAAATCCAGCAAACATTTTTTATTGAAAAGTAAAACCGAAATATCTCCAAAAAGGGGTTAGTGAAATGTTTTCCTTATAAAGAAAGTGAAAAACTACACTGAGAAAAGCGCCTTCTAATGGCCACAACGAAAAGGTGTCCGTATTCGGGTTTCACATTCGAAAAAGCCCTTGGCTACCAATTTTTGAAGTGATACTCTCAAAAATATTAATACAGTTTGAAAAATTCGATTTTATTTTTTCACTTCACCACCCTGTATCTCGGAAATAGTGCAATTTCAGACTGAGGTAAGTTACTTTCAATCGGCTTATTATAAACTCAGGAATATGTGGTAAGATTTTGTGCAGACCTCTCAGGGACACCCTGTATGACTGGATAATGCAAAAAGCATCATAAACCTGAAAATTTTACATAAACTGAATTAAAATGGAACATCCTATATTTTATTTTTCTAAACGGTAGAGATCTTTCCTCTAATTTCAAATATATATTAATCATTTCAGAACTACGTCATTCGACAGGTCGTTGGAGGGCAAACATTGTGTCTTTTCAAGATTTGCTAAATGAAACTAGCATTAGTGAAATCGTTTTCCTTGGAATCCAAGTTGGAACACGAAACAATTTCATAAAATTGTTTGGTGAAACTGTTATTTTATTGTGGATGTGGGCAGATAGTTTGTGTACCCTCCAAGAAACCATGTCAAAATCACGTGTTCTAGAATGATCAATACTTTATTGAGGTTATCTTTTGTCAGTATTTGAAAACTATAAATAAAGCAGTTGTAGAACGCTAGACGGCAATGCTGCGATATCTGGTGTTCCACAGCTGCCTCAGAAGCCATTGAATACGGGGCGTTCCATTTAACATAGGTGTACGAAGCTTTTTTCATATTCTATTAATAGATTCTGAATGCCCTTGAACTTCATTTTTGCCCATTTGAACGTTTCTGTAAGGCCAATATGAACTGAGATAGCTATTGAGTAAAATATATAAAAATCACCCTGTCACAATTTGGTCACCCCACCCCTGTACTTTCGTCTTCTTAGGACGATTAGACTTTTTTTTATTTCATAATCTACTACTTTGTCGAGAAAAAAAAATTATCAAACACAATGTCTTGGCTAACTGCGATCACAAAATTGAAGTATGACCATTTTTAGAACGAATCACCCTGTACAAAAAAATAAACAGAATATTAGTCTCAATCTCCAAATTAAAAATAAAGTATTGAAAAGAACTACACAAATAAAGTATCTTGGTATGTGGATTGATGAAAAATCGAAAAGGGACAAGCATAATAGAGGTTCTGATACAAAAAATATCTCCGATCATTGGAGCTTTTCGAAGATGTCCTAAACTTGACAAAAAAGTCATAAACATAGTACTTCATTCTCATATACTCAGTCGTATTATTACCTATATGATAAACGTTTGGGGATCTTGTTCAAAAAATTATTTCAGTAAAATATCTGCACTTTATAAGAAAGCACTGAAAGTATTGTATCGCCTCTCATTTGATATCCCAACAAATGATCTGTATGCCATAACAGAAAAATTTTCATTGGATGAATTATATAAAATAGATTCTCTTAAAGTTTCATATAATATAATAAACAATAATCTGAAATCCAATTTTATTTTGATAAGAAACTCAGAAATTCATGGTCATCACACGAGACAATCAAACTTATTTCATCTTGATTCTGCTACTTCTATAATTGGACAAAAAAAATTTACTCACGCTGTTCTAGCTGAATTTAATAAATTACCACATAATATAAAAAATTGCAGACATATTTCAGAAATTGAATTTAAGAAACACATGATTTCATTACGAAATGGATAAAATTGATACTTTGCCATCTACTGATTAGTCCCTGTGGCTATTTTTATGACTTGATCGATTTAGCATTTTCAGATTTTTTAGATTTTTTTGTTGTTGTCACCTTATATTATTTTATTATTGTTGTTTGTAATCAACTTCCTCATACCAGAATTTTATTTCTGACTGGAAGCTAGTTTTTGAATAAACAATAAAAACAATAAACAATTAGAGCATTGTCATTTCCTCAGAACATGCACATTCTGGCGTCTATGGGCCCTCCCGGGGGCGGCCGAAACGTGATAACCGACCGCCTCCTCAGCCGCTTCAACGTGATCAACATGACCTTTCCCGAGGACGAGACGATCTCGCGCATTTTCGGCTCGATGCTGGCCCAGCACTTGGCCGCCGATTTCGACGAGAGCGTCAAATTGGTGGGCCGACTCATCACCGAAGCCACAATCGATTTGTACAAGAACGTGATCGTGAAGATGCTGCCCACACCTACGAAGATACACTATCTGTTCAATTTGCGCGACATCTCGAAGGTGTTTCAAGGGCTGCTGAGGAGCCACAAGGACTACCAGAACGTCAAGCCGGCCATGCTCAAGCTGTGGATTCACGAGTGTTTCAGGGTGTTCTTTGACAGACTGATTGATGAAAGGTAATTGGATGAAGGAACATATATATATTAAACACCAATGTTATCTATCATCGCTAAAGGTCTAATGTCCACATTATGATTCAAATGAGGAACTCCACTCCAAATTCCTAACCTAAAAATTTCTACCATTGGAGGAGCAATATTATGGAAGTTTTATTACTTAAATGCTTCATTTTGATGAAATCTACTTAGATATCTGATGAAAGTTATTCAGTAGAAAAATCAGTTTTTGTAAACTCCAGTTCTGATTAGTTGAAAATTATGTTGATGCGCCTGCTTTCTGTCATATCGTTGTCCATTTTATCACTTGTCACATTTTTGATACATATTCAAGATTATTTTATTTATGAACAACAATATTTATCATTCTTTGGTGAATAAGTTTGATCTTCGCAGTAGGAAGTAGGAATATTGAGTGCTAAAAATCAATCCATACATGACTGTAAGAATAAAATAATGAAGTTTCAACCTTTTCCTGAAATGAAAAATTAGCCAAGGAAGTGTCTTTAAGTGGATGAAACCATAACTGTGGAAACGAAGAAATCACAGTCGATATCATAGATAAAAACACTAACATATCTATGTAATAATAAGCATTTTCCTAGTTAAAAAAAAAACAATAGGCAAAAGAAATCATTCAATAAATACTTTCAATGCTTACACGGCACTCCTTGGATACAAACTGGTCAAAGTTTCCAGTACTAGTCCATATTACAAATGTCGGTATACAACAATATCAATATAACATACCTTCATCCAAATAATTAGACACTGATAGTTTAAGGTAGCTGAAATCAACTATTCGTACATCATGATATTTATTATAGCATCAGATATGGGTAGTGAGGAAAATATAAATGAACAACAATAAATATAAAGAACTAATTACAATGTCATGTTGATTACAATTACGACAAGTCCAGAGTAGTCCCAACCCTCGTCCCAACCGGATAACTTTGGAACCCTCAGATCCAGTTTATTATAGGTTTGCACGTTTCTGATGAGAGTTTCTTGATCATTTTTTGAATTTCGAACGTGATTCGAACTTACTGATTTAATGATTCATTGATATACCATTTTTTACTTGTGACACTACTGACACTATCGAAAGTATTGGCATTTCAGTATTGACGTACCCCAGATGCACCAACATGAGGTGAAGTTCACAAAAACTGATTTTTATTTGTTAAGTTAAGTTATTTGAGTCATCAAACTTCTATGATATTGCTTCTTCAGTGGTACAGGTTTCTAGGTTTTTAGGTTGGCAGCTTGGAGCGAAGTCACCCATTGAACAGATTGAAACACTTTTGCGCAAGGCGCAGAAGAATCCAAGCAGAGATGTATAAAAATTTAACTGGTGCGCTTGCTCCCTATTGAAGGTCGTTTGCAAGTTTCTCGATGGCGCCTACTCAGATCAACCTTTGATAAACATACTTGACGTGGGTAAATCTCGCTAAGCTCATCCTGGTTACAATCCATATTTACAGGAAACACATTACCGACCAATAAATATTTGGATACGTATATGATTTGGATCAGAGCAGTGAACTGATTCCTGATCAAAGGATTGAAACGTCAACATGTCAAAAATATTCTTGAGCTGAAAAAATGGTTATTTGTTATTTCTGAGCTTGGGTTCAAGTGTTCGTTAGGGACGTGTTCCGTAGTTTCTAAATTTTGTGTATAATACCTAATCCACCATAGAAAAAAGAAAATCTCTGTTCTACAACAGTATTATTTCAGTGATTTAAAATATTAGCGTGAACTGGTGTGAATTACTTCTAAGGTGAGTACCAGTTACCATATCTGCCTATTATGATTTTCGATATTGGTCTATTTCAATAATTGATACATTCTTTGTTCTGGTTCTTCAAAGAGGAAATTCATCAGATTTCATGCTTCAAATTGATCATTCTAGAACACGTGATTTTGACATGGTTTCTTGAGGGGCACACAAACTATCTGTTAGGTTTGATGAGCATAGCCCTGGCCATCCCTGCCACATCCACAATATAATAACAGTTTCACCAAACAAAATTATGAACATCTTACTGGTTCCAACTCGGATTCCAAGGAAAACGATCCCACTAATTCTGGTTTTATAAATCTTGACAAAATACAATGTTTGCCCCTCAGCAACCTGTCAAATGATGTAATTCTGGAATGATTAATAGGTTCATGTCATGAAAGAAGTGAAGCTTATTAAAATCGGCTACAAAAAAGATTTCTTGCTTCTATTTCAAATTGAAATTTGAATGAAAATGTTGAGCACAGTATTTATTCGACCACAGAATGATGGAAATAGATTCATCCCTCACAGAACCAAAGTTTTGAACGATTTTCCGATTATGGCGCCTCTATCGCAAATATCTGAACCCCACGTCCAAAAATCGCTTGCAATTGTTCCATATCGAGAGGTAGTCTGACGAAACAATTGAAGAGTTAGCCCACCAGTTAAATTTTTATAAATCTCTATCCAAGCTATCATTTCATGTTTGTATACGTGAATGAGTAAGATGAATGACGAAAACTAAATGCGCATGCTCTATGGGATCTTTGTCAATGTTGTTAATGGATGTACTCATATCTTCTGACATTGGCGGTCTAGGTAGTATAGGTTACGTCTGTGATAAAAACGTACTTATGGAATCTTGGAATATTCATGATATAATTCAAATTGAGAAGAAACTCTTTATGTTGCCTACTTCGATAAACATGACGTCAAGAATCAATCTAACACATTTAATAACAAATCATTTCTAGCTTATTCTCATCAATGTTCAAGTTTGTGTGCAGTTTGAATGCGATGAAATATGGTATCTTATTGTCATATTAACAACTGACAAGTATTTATGTTTTACGTATATTTATTTTTTCTTCATAGAATTAAACTAACGAGTGTTACATATATGTATAATCATGAAACTACAATTTCACGAAAGCTAAAAAACATTCGAAAAAAGGTTTCTAGATGCATTAATTAAAAATTAGATCATTCCTATGTAGTAGGTAGTTTAAATAAGCCTGTCAGTAGCACTGAAAGAAACTAATGATATTGACTATCCTCCAGAAGCTTTCAGGTCACAGGTTCTCCATAACTGTATCTGCCATATTTTGTCAGAAAACAAAATGAAAACTCGACATATTTAGAAGCAAACCTTTATTGAATTTTGAACTTCGATACATAAGAATTCAAGACACCATTTTAAGAACCTAAATCAATAATCCTCACAAGTTTTATTTCTATCTGATGCTCACCATCATCCCTAATAGTTCGATCTCGTCATTTTAATTGTAGGGCAGACAGACAAACGATCTTTTTAGCTTCTAACAATGAAAATACCACCTTGAAGTTATTATCACTTATCACGACAGCTTTTTTTTGTCGAAGTAAACTTGACATTTTAATAAGAAATTTGTTGCCTGGAAATTAAACGAAAAAAATTGCCTTCGAATAAAAAATTTCACTTGAAAAAAATATGCTCGAGTGTATTCAGTAAAACAATAATTTAATGATTACGTAAATCACACTATCGTTATGGTTTTCCCAATTTCCCCACTCGCATTAGTTACTCTTCTGACAACGCAAGATCTGGTTGTCATTGTTTCAAATGTTAGTTTTCGTTTTGCCGCTGGAAAACTTACGGCACAGTTTTGTCGCTTTCATAATAACAAAATCTCAGCGGCTTATAGGATTTTATTTACATGATTTAATTTGCACCTGAGTATTTATTTGATTCAAAACGAAGTTATAGTGGCACTATACACTATTGTACTGACAGATTGTCGTCTCATCTCATTCTAAAATGCTTTCAGTCATATATACACTTTCCTTCAATAAACTTATCAAGTGGTTGATATGACTGAACAAAAATGGAACTATATGTCTTATCCACGCAAGGTTATTATTTGAACTGATTATTTTTGTTTATTCACATGCATTTTGACATGATATGAGTCGACGATCTGCCCATCTACCGTGACAAATATTGCGAATATCGTCGAACCACCTCTCAAAAAACTTAGGTATTTTATATTGTAAATTACATTTTTGTAGTGATCAAGATTGGTTCATTGCTCAAATGAACGAACAGCTGGGCAGATATTTCGAAGTTACCTTACACAGTTTGTGCCCCAAGAACGAAATACCAGTCTATGCGGACTTCGTAAATCCATGGGGTATTTATGAAGAATACAGCGACCTTTCACTGTTGCGAAATTATCTGGACCAACAAATGGATGAGTACAATGTTTCTCCTGGCGTTGTTCGAATGGATTTGGTATTGTTCAAGGATGCCATCGAACATGTTTGTAGGATTGTTAGGGTTATATCGCAGGCTAGAGGAAATATGCTCCTCGTTGGTGTAGGTGAGTACTTTCGATAAATATTCCAATTAAGTTATGTTTATGCTCATGCGAAATTCGCATTTTTTACAAAGAGGTCTAACATGCCTTGATTATCCACCAGATCGCTCTACTACCCCAGGTAGCACATGTCGACTATCTGACGTCTAAATGACGTAATTGAGTCACAGCTAAATGAAGTCACATCATGTATTTTGGACGTCAATGCGGTGTTCAATTATGACTTGTAACTGACGTTGTTGACTAGTTTCGGACGTCGTAGCGACGTCTATTCTTTGAAAAATATTCCCAAATTTCTCGTTTTGAGGTTTGTTCTAATCATCACTTGAATGAGGAACAATGTATAAAGGGGAAATATAGTTTTCAAATGATATATTCATACATTTCAGAAATAACAATTATTCAGAGCTCTAATAGCCAACTCAAATTCAGACCATCTGAAATAAATCAGTGAATTAACAAAGCTCACTTTATTTCACCAAAACATTCGATGTGATAACAAGAAACGTTCGATGATTTCATGAATATATCGGTGAGTTCGCCATCACACAAGGCACGTTTATATAGTTTCGACTGTCCTTTAAAGGCGGCCAAAACATTTCTGTCATGAGAAGAGTCAACCTCTACACCTGGACAACAGCCACTGTTGTTTCCACTATCATCTCTTTGGATAACAAGAAACATCCCTAAAAAGATACAAAATCAGTATCTAAACAAAACACCAAAACATAAAATTGAATGAGGAACTATCCCGTCAATAGAACCGCACAAAGGAATGACGTCCGATGCCCAGCTAATCATACTTTATGTTGCCAGATTTCAAACACACATACACAAACAAGAAAATATAAATAATATTGAAGGTTTATGCAAAATGAATTTTGTTTTTCACTTCATTGGAGAAAACTGAATAACAATATGATGTCCTATCATGTTTACGTGTGACGACGGTATTGAAATTGAGGATTATCTGTCATCTGCATGGTATAATAACTATTATTAATAAAAGTATTGCATAGGGAAGTTGGATTCATTATAGTCACAATTCGTTTTTTTGTGGGTGTCATCACAAAATATAACATTGAAGCGAAAAACTATCGTCACTACCTTGAAATGTATCGTGACCTCCCTCCTCAAATGAGCTACTGCCATCTGCTTCATTCAGTAAGAATCTTCGTGCAATTATCATTCCTGAATCTTAATATTAATTACCATAATAATAGAAGTAAGTAGACATTGTAAATACGGCAACATTGTAACGTGGTACTAATGACAAGACTATATGAGATTAACAAGTGTTTGAAGACCAGATATTGACGTCCAAAAGTTGCCGTCCATATGTGACGTTGGAAAGACGACGCCCTTTTGTCGTAATGATTCGGACAAGTGACGATCGGGACCATATATGGCCAAAATTAGATATCCTATAGACGTCATTTTCGTCAATGTGGCTACCTGGGCTGCTATGTGAGGATGACATACCGTGCTTTCATTGGAAAACAATACATAGACAAACTAATCGGTCGTGTTCGGGGCTAGCAGATACGTAACGACGATATCGCAAGAGTTATGTCTTATTAGTCCAAGATCCGGCTGCTAATTTCGACCGCCATCTGAAAACGAAATGATATATGAATGGTATTTATTCATCACTATTTGATGATGATGATGATGATATGATTGCCACTAAAATTTGCCTTCCACTATTCATGTTCAAATGATTCTGCTATTTTCAAAACTGCACTGACCTCGCACGATCTATTGGAGCTCCTGCGAGAATTGTTGCACTGAGCTCTAAACTGAGTGCACCAGTTTTCCAATGGAATTCAAAAACTGCCACCAGTTCAACCAACTTAATACAAAGTATGCACTCAGTGCGAGCCAGTTTCACCAATGGAATTCGCTATCAGTTCTTGCGATCCGCTTCGCTCCGTAACTCTTTGTCGAGGGCACCAAAAAGACCAAACAAAAATTGAATGTATAAGTAATATTTCCGAATCTGATGTGGATGGTTTCTCGCAAGAACTCGAATTCAGTGAAGGTGGATCGAACAACCTCTATATAAAATCTTATCTTCATTTCAATTGAATAATCTGTATGTAATTCGGATATACCGGGATATTCCTTTGTTTTTCTAGCTATATTTCTGAAATTTGGAACATCAAATATGCTCACTAGAGGGCACTTTCTCAAATTTGGGTTTTTATTTTCATCTTCCGGTTCAACTGGAAATGGCATTAACTTTTGATTTTCAAATGGAACACCCCATATTTTATTCCATAATCGGTTATAGATTATTATATGAATTCAACGATACTGGGTTTGAGTGGGTTATTTCAAACGATTACGAAGATATCCGCGTTCTTAGTGTCCATATTTTAAATGAGTGTGACAAAGGAAGAAGTTTCAATAATCTGACGTCACACCCATTTATATGGAAACTTCGAACGCAAATATCTTCCTAACCGTTTGAAATATCCTAATCAAACCGAGTATCACTGATTTCGTTATAATAATCTCTACCTGATTGTAGAATAAAATATAGGGTTGAAAATGAATATTCTTACATAAATTATGAGCATAAAAAAATTAAAAAATGGATATACATAATACATATAAAGAATCACATTGAGAATTCGCATTCTTTATGTGATAAAAATATCAATTCTTTCTCGGTTCATTCAACAGAAAACAACCACTTTCCTGGCTATATGCCAGGACGAACATTGAATTATATCTATTGAATGCACACGATAAGAATTTGAAAACTAAATCTTCTAAAGTTGAGGATTTGCATTCTTCTTCAGATATAAATATGTATTTGCACATAACATCATTCTGAATATTCAACAATTCAATTTTCGGCCGGTTCCCGAGCATACTGTGTTAGGCAAGAGTTCTGAATTTCCTATGTGATCGTAGGATAGTATATTTAAATCAATGATATTGATGTGTTATTCCTCTAGGTGGTAGCGGTAGGCAGTCATTTTCGAGAGTGGCAGCCTATATTTGTGAATATAGTACCTACCAAATATCGATAACGAAAAACTACAGAGTAGCAGAATTCAAAGACGATTTGAAAAAATTGTATAACATTGCGGGAGTCGAAAACAAACAGACAGTTTTCCTTTTCAACGATACCCAGATTACCGATGAAAGTTTTCTTGAAATAATCAACAATATGCTTAGCAGTGGAGAAGTTTCTAATCTGTATAAGGCTGATGAGTTTGAAGAAGTGAGTGCAAGTCATTTACCAAATAAGTTCATATTAGAGGGTTTCGCATTTTAGATATCCTGGGTTTTGCTTTGTAGTATAGTATCATTTCACGATTAAACAACTTGAATGAATTGAACACATAAAATCTGAATTTCATTTAGGTAAAAAGTAACTTGGAGCCTGCTGCAAAGAAAGCAGACATACTTTATACCAATGAGGCTATGTACGATTTTTTGATAAGTCGTGTTCGAGCTAATATGCATATAGTATTGTGCATGAGCCCTATTGGAGAAGCCTTCAGAAACAGGCTAAGACAGTACCCTGCTTTGGTGAACTGCACAACCATTGACTGGTTCAGTGATTGGCCCAAAGATGCCCTTTTGGAGGTTGCGAACAAATACATTGCCGATGTCAATTTTGTACAAACCATTACTGGTCAGGAATTGGTGAGATAATAGTATATTGTTTAACGAGCACGGAATGATAGTGATTTCCTACGCGAATGATGTTTGCAGCATGAGCCATAGACGAATGCTGCAATCATTCGAGTAGGAAATTAGCATTTCGTGCAAGTTATGCACTAATTTTTCTACGGCTATAATAGATAACAGCGTCATTTTCGATTTCTTCGTCTTGTAGCCATCTGATTTCCTGTCAAGTAATGCTCATCTATTAGACAGAGCTGTCATTGCTTCACATTTGACATTCCATGAGCGGTGAGATTTTTTTGAAATAATAACACAATGAAGTCATTGTGATATCAGATACGAAAATAATATTGATGACATACAAAGTTCCTCATTGACGTATTGAACACAGTAAAACAAGAGAAATTTTGTGCTATAGCCGTAGAAAAAACAGATTTTTTTCAGAACTGAGTTAACAGGAATTTATGATTCAGGCGCATAGAAGAGAATCTGCGTTGGTTTCCACTCAAGATCGAATGAGAGGAGCAATCTCGCTTATTTTTGCAACTGTTCATGACTCGGTTGCGAAATATTCTAAAAAAATGGCAATGGAAATGAAAAGGCATAACTATGTAACTCCGACAAACTATTTGGAATTAGTGGCAGGTTACAAAAGGTATTCCTAAATATTATGTGTTATTTTCCATTCATTGACTGACAAATTCACGAGCTAAAGGAAACTGTCAGTTCCTGCGATAAAAGAACCAATCACGGTGTGCCTCGATGGTACGCTGCTCTTTTGTTTCGAACCGGTAAGACCACGTCGTCACGGCAACCACGAATCTAAATAGAACATCTTGTCACCTGGTATGACATAGAGATGATAGTTTCATGTATGACGTGGAATTGTCTCAATGAATGCAATTTGTGCTCACAATACTATTTGCCCGAGAGCCAGTGACATTTTTCAATGTCTTATTTGATAAAGCTTAGTTAATTTTTTTTATCTTTCGTAATAATATAGCCAATCAACAAAATCCATTCCTGCCACCTCAATCGCGGGACCACGCTCATCAGCAGCTCATCAATGTTGTTGAAAAAACTTCACCAATCGTTCGATGACATATCAGTTACAAAAAAATCACCTCCTGCCACCTGTTCCGTAGAACGTTGTACTCCTGTCATCGACCTAATGATGTGAAAAAAAAGTGTCCCAGTACAACGTACCATAAATTCTACAGGGTGAATTACAGACCTGAATAGGCCGATCGAAATGGTGCGTACCGTGGTGCGCCGGCAGTAGTTGATTTTATGTCTAAAAGGCGTTAATATGTCACGAAAATAACAAAATTATTCTTTATCAAATGTAAGATGAATTTGTCAAAAAAATGTCGCTGTCTCCCCAACCATATCAACAATTCTGTCAGAAATCTTGAACACGGTCAAATTGCTCTGGCTGGCAATGCTGACTTCAGTCGGAACGGAACCCTGATTGCTTGAACCCGATCCGTTTTCGATCGATTTTTTTCATGATTATTTCACATAGGATGTTGGCTGAAAAAAGAGAAGAAGTTTCTTCACAAGCCAATAAACTCAGGAATGGTTTGTGGAAAATCGATGATTGTAAGGAAAAAGTCACGACTATGTCAGTAGAGTTAGAAGAAGCACAAATCAAAGTTGCAGAATTTCAACAGCAATGTGACGATTATCTTGTTATTATTGTTGCTCAGAGAAAGGAAGCTGATGAACAACAGGTGAAAATTTCAAATGAATTCTTATATGGAGAAAATTTAAATGAAATTGTATAATGAAAAATATATGTTGCCATCTTACAGAAAAGAACTGCTGAATTCTAATATCTTTGATCATATAATTTTCTTATATTTTTCTTTTAGTTTGTTCGAAACACTTGAGCTAGATAGGTACATTACATGTCAATCAGTGGGTTGTCGACTGTAAATAACAATTTTGAAAATTGAACTCATTACTTGGTAGATGTCAATAGAAACATTCTGATGAAATTGAAATTCTCAAATAATGTTCCATGAAATAATATATGTATATTTTCATTACTCAGAAAGAAGTTACCAAGAAGAGCATAAAAATAGGAGAAGAAGAAATCCAATGTAAAAGAATGGCAGATTTAGCTCAGGTTGATTTAGATGAAGCTATGCCTGCACTAGAAGAAGCCATCAGAGCTTTAGATTCGTTGAGTAAAAAGGATATCAGTGAAATGAAATCTTATACAACACCCCCACAAAAGGTCAAAATAGTTATGGAGGCAGTGAATATACTGAAAGGGGTATACAGTTTAAAATTATTTAGTAAACATTTATAGTGATTGTATCAAAATATCCCCTTAGATTGAACCCACGTGGGAGGCAGCGAAAAGACTTCTTGGTGAAATGAATTTCTTGAAGGATCTCAAAGAATTTGATAAAAATCATATCTCAGATAAAACACTGAAAAAAATTGCCACGTATACCATGAATGAGGAATTCATTCCTGATAAAGTTGGTGCCGTCTCACTAGCTGCCAAGTCTCTTTGTATTTGGGTCATAGCGATTGAAAAATATGCCAAAGTTTGGAAGTATAACACCTTTTTACTTCAATCAACTATGAAATTTACTGTCTTCATATTCTAGAATTGTTGGACCTAAAAAAGCTAAGCTAGATGAGGCATTAGAGTCACTGAAAGAGAAACAAATGATGTTAGCAGAAGCTCAAGCCAAGTTAGCTGAATTGAATCTGACTCTGCAGAAACTTCAAGAAGAATATGAGGAAAAACTTGCGCAGAAAGAGGAACTAAATCGAAAGGCAAAAAAATTGAAAAGATTTTATATTTTCTTTAATATTTTTCTATTTTATAGGCAGAGTTATTGAAGTTGAAATTAGAAAGAGCAGCAACACTTGTCGAATGTCTTTCAGGAGAAAGAGAACGTTGGGGAGAGACAGTGACATTGTTAGATAAAAAGTTCGACTTCATACCAGGAGACTGTCTACTTGCAACTGCTTTCATATCTTATCTAGGTCCATTTCTATCTAATTATAGGGAAGAGCTAATGTGCCTGTGGCAAAAAGAAGTAAGTAATGTTGTAGTTTTTATGCAAGACTTTATCATATTGAAATTCCCAGGCTATAAACTTGGAAATCATTTTTTCCCGTGACTTCAATGTGATTGTATTTTTGTCTGACGCGACCACTATTCGAGAATGGGTCATTCAAGGATTACCGGCTGACAGTTTTAGCACAGAAAATGGTATTATAGTCACTCACGGTAATCGCTGGCCTCTTGTTATTGATCCCCAGTGTCAGGCACAGAAGTGGATCAAAGCAATGGAGAATGAAAATGACTTACAAGTGATGATATTCATTATGTATGGTGGCGTATTACTTGACTGATTTACAATTTCAGGTAATCGACTTGAGAATGACGGGTTTTATGTCGATCGTTGAAAAAGCGGTTTTGCTGGGAAAACCAGTCCTATTGCAAAATATTCTAGAAAGTATTGATCCCTCTTTGGATCCCATTCTCTCCAAAGCTGTGGTTAAACAGGGTGGCGAATTCATGATCAAACTAGAAGACAAATTGGTGTCTTACAATGTAAACTTCAGATTTTTTATAACCACCAAACTAACAAATCCTCATTATCCTCCTGAAATATCCACCAAAACCACTTTAGTTAACTTTGCTGTCAAGGAACAAGGTCTCGAAGCGCAGTTACTAGGCATTGTTGTTCGAAAAGAAAAACCTCAGCTTGAAGAACAGAAAGATCAGCTCGTTACGACAATCGCCAAAGGAAAAAGAACTTTAGTTGATTTGGAAAATGAGCTACTGAGACTTTTGAATGAAACGAGGGGTTCCCTATTGGAAGATGCAGAGTTGTTCAACACTCTTCAAACATCCAAAGCTACCTCAGAAGCTGTTAAACGAAGTTTAGAAATATCTGAGAAGACTGAAGTACAGATTGATTCTGCTAGAGAAGTAATTAATTTAATATAGGTTTTCGAAATTGCCAAGATCATTTTGGTTTTCTTCTAGGGTTACAGACCATCAGCCAAGCGTGCAGCGATTTTGTTTTTCGTTTTGAATGATATGGGAAGCATAGACCCGATGTATCAGTTTGCTCTAGATGCGTATATACTGTTGTTCAACAATTCCATAACTAGAAGTCCGAAATCGCAGTTTCTCAATGAGAGGATAGCTTCTATGAACGAATTTCACACTTATGCTGTTTACAAGTACCTAAATCATTAATTTTAGTTGGATTTTCTCCATCGAGAAATGTATTGACAAGTTAAAAGCTCTTCTTGACACCTACTCTCAATTATTTTCTGATGATGAAAGAGCCAACTTAGTTCTGTAATTCTGCATCCTATCCCAACAGAAGCAAATTCGAAAATGTCTATAGATCACAGGAGCTTTCAAGTATAGTTCGAAAAATTTGGTGCACAGATGTTTCCTGTTATTCTGTTAGTGATAGGGCAACTAGAGCTATGCAATACATTGATGGAATATCATAAATGCTACAAAAGTACCTACATAGGTTGTATGAAATATGTAAATGCTTTTATAATTTCCATAATCAGAATATGGTAAAAATATTAATTCCATTTTTATTTCTTCAAGGTGAAAATTCTGTGTATTAAAAAATCATGAATGATTAGGAAACATTGTCAAAATCGTATGAAAAATGTTGAAACAAATCTTGATAAATGGGCTTATATCACAAAAAAATTTTATTTCATAATTCGATAGAGCTCACCCAAACTAGCTCACCACGGCAAACCGTTTCTTGCTGTGAGCTCCCTACGTTTTATAAAAAATTATTGAAATCCCTGATTTTTCGGACCTCTGAAAACGAGGCGATGATGTGACGTCAAAACCCTAATACTGAAACAAGACTATTCCAGACAGAGATGAATGATACATGATTTCTGACAAATCAATTCTAACCTAGATTGACTTTTTGCAGCTCCATGTGAAACGGGTCAACAAAGCAATGTTGCTATGTTTATGAAATATATTGGATTATTGTGAAATTGTAATGGTGCAAATGGTTTTGAGATTGAGACATTTCGTTGTCTAGAGATTGTTTATACTCCAATGATTCAACCTACAATCGACAACTCGAATATATTTTTCTGCGGTAGTGGTAGTGGATATCAAAAGATATTTCAATATCGATTTCGATTTCTCGGATATTTTGTTTGGATGATATGGCAACAGTAATAAGTGTCAGGAGAGTGTCAGTTTCAACCATATATCTACTATTTCTATATATGGCGCATCGCCTATACGATATCTCAACAAAAATGGGACCAAAATGAGAGGTACTCTTTGAATCTATGAGAACGAAAAGTGAAGGATGGAAACAGCCATATTGGTTTGACAAATTTCCTATTATTTTTTCCCTACGTCGGTATCAACGCCTATTGGTCGATTTCATTACCTATAGAGACAGAAATGGGTCCCGCTTTGAGGAGAGCTATGATTCATATATCAGTAGTAGATATATATGGTTTATACATATATATATGGCGAGATGGGGTTTCTACGTCATAAGAGGGTGTCCGTTTTCAGAAGGTACTATCATTTATGTCCAAAAATAAAACATTCCAGTTGATTTTTCGATCGAATTATGTCGTCAATCATTATTTATGTATAAAAGGATCATTATAAACATGGTTTGAGTTGAAAGTTCTACTAAGGTGTACACGCCCATTACAAAGAACATGTTTTTCCGAAGTTCATCAGATTTTTTCGAAATTGAAAATATTGAAAATAATAAAGTTCTTCAATTAAAAATAACCCACATGGCAGTTGAACATTTTCGAAAATCTGTTGATTTTCAGAAAAGATTTTTTGATTTTTAATTTCAATATTTTTCTGATGGACCTAAACAGTATGAGAACATTTATTCACAGCAAAAACCAAAAATGCACATACAACACTTTACTTTTGAGCTCACGATCATTTTGTAGTATATTATGTATAATTCAATACATTTTTTTCTGTGGCGGGAAAAAGGTTTGGCATTTTGCATGTTGATGGGTTACAAAATGTCACTTTTCATGAATAACTTTTTTCCCACTGGAAAATAGTGAGTACTTTTTTCCGGATATATAGATGCACTGTTGATGGTTTTTGTTGTGCCAAAAAAATAAGCCAAAACACCGTCTCCAAGAAAGAACTGAAAGCCTTTTTTTCATCTCCCATTCCACTTCGCGGTTACGTAAATTATTAAACAACCACTAAGTTCGCAATTTCCTTAAATCAAAACACATAATTAGACTGACAGATATATGATTACTTCAAAAGGTTTCCATAGCAACAATAAAGATGCCTACAAAAAGATGCCTGCAAACACAGGGGTACTAACAGTTAAAAACTTCAAATTTCACATTGATAATATTCTGATTTGATTTTAATGTAATATCTTCTCAATATTGAATCGTCGTTTTTCCTGTCACAGAAAAAAATAGTGCATTATACACGGGATAATATTAGATTTTAGCTCTCTGCTACGCGTCGGGAGATAACATAACCTCGAGCTAAAATCTTATACTTTCTTCCCATATATAATAAATTACTATATATTTTCAGAAATACATGCAGAGCTCTATTCGAACACCATAAATTATTATTTGCATTTCACATGTGCATCAAAATATTGAATGCTCAAGGTAAAATTATAGCTGCTGAATACAACTTTCTGTTGAAAGGAGGCGTGGTATTGGATAGAACAAATCAAGTAGATAATCCATGTTCAGGTAAATATTGTTCATTTAGTGTTCAGGGAATATGGCAAATAGTGATTCTGCATCAGTTATAATAACAATAATATAACGATTCAACAGTTCTATGGGTTACTGTTAGATCTTTTTTCACAATCATTATCCTAAGAGTTATGGCCCAGTTCTACCAAACAAATTTGAACCTATTATTTTTGTAGGTTGGCTGAATGAGCTTGCTTGGGACAATATCACAGAACTGGACAAACTTCCAGGGTTTCATGGCGTTATAGACACTTTTGAACAATATTCTCGTGATTGGTACAACTGGTATATCAATACAGAATCTGAGAGTTTACCCCTGATAGGTAATACCTACATACATTATTATTCAGCGGTAGAACTAAGAAAATGAAGGACATGTTCCTTATATGCAGGGTATCAACAAAAAATTCAAGATATTTTAAATAGTGCCAAAAACCATACTTGATTTTATAATGTATCATTGTTACAGCTTTTTCAGCCATACAAACTGCTTTGACCAAGAGTTTTTATCATTAATTGTGTCATCGTTAAATAAGAAAATGTGTGCATCATTTTTGTTTGTTTTTGAATGCATAAAGAGATTGAAGTATATTCCACATTCTCACCTTTGATACCCTTCGTTTTAGAAAACGAAACATTTCACTCATTGCGAGATAAATAATCATCCATTGGTACGACCTGTTGACTCTCATTGATTTCATTTATAGGTGAATGGGATGGAATTTGCAACGAATTCCAAAAAATGCTTTTCATCAGGTCCCTTCGTCAGGACCGCGTATCTTTCGCAATAACCAATTTCATTGTGAACCAACTGGGCCCCCAATTCGTGGAACCCCCAGTCTTAGATATAAAAGCCGTACTCGATGAGTCCATTCCTCAAACTCCCCTGATATTTGTCTTATCTCCTGGAGTAGACCCTACTACTAGTCTGATAGCACTAGCCGAAACGATGAAAATGGGGTCCAAGTTTCAGTCGATAAGTTTGGGTCAGGGACAAGCTCCAATGGCAACAAAGTCAGTATCAGCTATTTCTTTCTAATTGTTATTTCATGATACTTTCATTTTGTTATAGACTGCTTCAAAATGGCGTCCAGGAAGGCCATTGGGTATTCCTGGCAAACTGTCACCTGTCGCTGAGTTGGATGCCTAAATTAGACAAGATAATTGAAATGCTGCAGACGGGTAAAGTTCATCCTAAATTCCGGGTTTGGATGAGTTCGAGTCCTCATCCCGATTTTCCTATATCCATCCTTCAGGCAGCTATCAAAATGACCACTGAACCCCCAAAAGTATATTTGTATTTTGATTCACTCTACTTTATCAATACTCACCTATGTTTGGAAAAATCTAGGGGTTGAAAGCAAATCTGAAGAGGCTTTATCAACTAATGACGGAGGAACAGTTTTCTGTTTGTCAGTATCCGGACAAGTACAAGAAGTTATTGTTTGGTCTATGCTTCTTCCATTCAATTCTCTTGGAGAGGAAAAAGTTTCAACAACTTGGTTGGAATGTTGTCTATAGCTTCAACGATTCTGACTTCCAGGTAAATTGAAGTGAACCATAATGACAATTCCATGATTATGTCACGTGCATTTTCGTAGGTATCTGAGAATTTGTTGACAATTTATCTCAATGAATATCAGAATACCCCCTGGGATGCCTTGAAATATCTTATTGCTGGTATCAGTTATGGAGGACATGTTACCGACGATTGGGACAGAAGGCTACTAGCGACTTATATCAATCAATATTTTTGTGACGATGCCTTGACTATTGCATATTTCAGGTGATAAAAATATGTGCATAAATTATCTTCAACCTCATAATAAGTTGTACCCATTTATTTGATTTCATTCATGAATATCGTTAGGTGTTTCACACTAAACCAAAGGATATTCGGTAATGTCAACGGTGGCTCTGAGGCTAGATGTACTAGTTTCCAATGTTGTTAATGTAGAATTTAATTTTTCATTCATTTTCACTGATCAAACTGAAACGGACATGTTTTGTATGTTTTTTTTTTTAAATATCACTATAGCCTCAGGCGCCACAAATTCCGAAGACAATTCCTAATAATCTCCTCGTCTCATTGTCTGTTTTTTTCTATAATTACATAGGTAACCTTTCTGTTGATTTTAATAATCTGTTATATTTTGGAATTCCTCATTCTTTCAGATTATCCTCTTTAGCAGTTTACTATATCCCCCGTGACGGCTCAATCCAGTCTTACTTAGACTACATAACTCTTCTTCCGAACATCGACAGACCAGAGGCTTTCGGCCAACATCCGAATGCAGATATCACATCCCTGATATCTGAATCGAGGATGATATTCGAAACCTTGATGTCCCTCCAAGTGCAAAGCACTTCGGACGAAGAGGAATCCAAGGAATCCAGGGTTGCCACATTGGCAGCAGATGTGCTGTCAAAGTTGCCCCAGACGATCGATTACGAGAATACCGAAAAGTTGATGGGGGCACATAAAAATCCCCTTCAAGTTGTTTTGTTGCAGGAAATCCAAAGGTACCTGAATAATAGATATATTTTCAAATTGTAGAGTCATTGAATTCGTATGCAAAAAGCATCCATTTATACAGAATATCCCAGTTTATCGCTTCATGTCTAGTCAATTGATGTTCGAATAAGTCGAGCTCCCCTCTACGAAATCGTATGCAAATGTCGGGAAACCGATTAATGGGTCCGAATTCATTGTTTCGCCAAAGGGCATACATTCTTAGATCATCGACTATAAGACTGAAAAAGTGCTACTTCCGGTTCGTATGCCGCCCTTAGGGAGTGACCTAGGCGTATGCAAACCGGCAAGCGCCCCAATTTTTGTGAGATAAGACCATTGCACTTCATTGCCAAGCTTCTTCTTGAACAAAATTTTGAACTTTTTCTCAACCGAAAGGTGAGGTCAGGCCAGGGGCAAGGACTGGGTTGTGAACATCGACAAACCCTGTGTCGCGGGCCAACAGTCTTCACCTTAAAATCGAATGAAAAATTCTACAAAAATATAACATTGAAAGGTATTTGAGTGAAGACATTATGAACACCCATAAAAACCATTACTTGAAAGTTCATACATTGAAAAAACGTTGCAAAAATTCTGTCATTACCGGCCAGTTCATAATGTATGAAATCACTTACCTTTATTACTTACCGTAAAGTTCAGGTTAGCAACTATAGTAAACCCAAGTCACTGTCATAGGAATAAAACTGGTAAACAATCCAAAATAGCCAGATCGTTCAAACAATAGCACGAACCTGTTTGTTAAGACCTATACACTTTCTTCATTATGAATAATTATAATTTGTACAATCTTGGTATTTATCATTTGCTCAGTGAAATACTCTTCAAGCTAATTCTGGAAGAAAATGTTCTTTCATGCACAAATGAATAATACCTTGTAATGATAATGACACTTTCAGATATAATTCTCTATTGATATCTATCAATTCTTCACTGGACAATCTCCAAAAAGGTATTGCTGGCCTGGTAGTAATGTCGACAGAATTAGAAGAAATTTTCACATGCATCTATGAAGGAAGAGTTCCCTCGGCATGGTTGAAAGGTGAATAATGAGTTTTCTCTAGTTTTCTGTGAATTTTTATTCGTTTATCTTTCAGCATATCCATCGCTCAAACTGCTGGGTTCATGGACTCGAGATCTGATGGCTAGGGTGGAACATTTTGCTACTTGGGCTCATACTACTCGCCCCCCACTATTTTTCTGGCTGGCGGCCTACACATTTCCTACTGGTTTCCTAACAGCTGTGTTGCAAGTAAGCCATCAGAAGTTAGGAAGAGGAAAACATTTTAATAGACTATTTGAATATTGCAATGAATAATTTATAGTTGTCAGGTTATTACTAGCTGTTGAAAACGGGCGCGCCATAAAAAAACATACATTTCAAAACAGAAATGGAGAAAGCAAGAACTTTTGTAGTAGTCTCATTCGAAGGAAACCTTTCAAAAATGTTTTTTTTTTCATGTTTCAACATTTGTATTATTCCATGCAATATCACTAGAAAAATTAAAACCGCATGTCGATGTTTATCAGCCTTCCAGAGTTACTGTCCAAAATCATTTGCTTTTAATATGCCAGTCACCCAGTATCCAACTTGTCACTGACATTTGATAGAGAAAATAAATTTGATTGCTTTTTAAAAAATAGATAAAAATTGTTTGAGAAATGTTGAAAAGATACGTTACGGAGACATCATTCAAGGCTTTCGCTTCGCTCTGACATTGCGAAGGTTAATATTCACATCCTTCACCAAGGCAGAAGATGTAACGAGGTCTAATGACACAATGAAATAACACCTATCATGGAAAAAATGAGTGTGCAGTTGGATGTTTTATGCCGTTTTTCAAGCCAAATTTTGAATTCCAACTGCTAGAACGATTAGCGGAATACTCATTCAGAGAAATAGGTAACTTTTCTCTACCTCAATACATCTGACGGAAAAAACGAGCTGCAATATGGTGTAGCACTGCAAACTTTCCAAATAGTACACTCTTCAGGACCTTGAAAAGATATCTTTCCATATAGGTAGGAAGAATTCGTAACTCTCATACGAGTGTTACGAGTTGTTTTAGTTTTCCTACAGATCATCAATGACATAAACCACTGTCAAAAATACTATCAAGAGATCATGATTCATGCGAATATGTAGGACCTGTCATATATCTTTGCCACTCTTACTCATGTTCCCGATCACCAAGAAACATGACTGGCTATCATGAACGACAATTTGGCAGAATCTCCGCATTGAGCAAATGATTTTGCAGGCGAGCGTATTACCTGAGATTTTTGGGTTCCTGATTCATGACATAATATAGCGGTATACAGGGTGACATAGAAAAAAGTACATTGCATTACATATTACATATTAGCAAAAACAATGATAAGTATTTCAACAATCACATTTAAATGGTATGATGAAAAATATAATTAATAAAAACAAAACATTAAGTTTTCAGATGTTCAAATTGTTTTAATCATTGCCTTTAGATGCATTTGTACTTGAACCATTGCTTCTAGCGACTTTGACAAGGGATACCTTTCTTGAGTATGAAAGAAGGGATAACAAATTTTTTTAGTCGAAAATGATATACAGTGTATAGCAAAAAAGTTACGACCGATTCAATAGGGATGGAACCCTGTACGTATCGCTTTCTATCAGTAATCACAAAACTGAGATCACATTTGAATTTAGCATGATAATCACATATACACATACCACATTTCTTGCGTCTCTGGCTATAAAGAAAAAAAAAAAACTCAAATGAAAATTGAAATTCTTTTAACCGAAGGCCTTGCGGACCCGTGTTTATGGAAACTTTTTTTCTTATTTTAGTGTCCTCTATTGTGTGGCACTATGCAATGTATTTTTTTCTATGTCACCGTGTAGATATAATAGATATTTATGTCAGTTTTATACCGCTTAGACGCAGTGGACTGACTTCGGTAGACTAGAAGGTAATAATCGAGGTGTTTGTCAGATGAGTTTTGCTCGGATCAGTTCGGTCTGACTGATTTTATGAACGGAACTGTAATAGATATTTACTTCACGCGTCATTTTGTGTAACGATGGGATTTCGCGGGACGAGGGGAGCGAGATTCCGCAAAACAGAGTTACACAAAATGCGTATCCTAACTATACAGTGTCTCTCAAGAGTATAGGAACGGTCTCAAATATTTCAGAAATGGCTCGGAGAAAATGGCATGTTGTCATATTTCGAAAACCACATTGATTTAAAATATGATATTTGAAGACATAAGTAATGATGGTACGCTGAATTGATTACAATAAAAATAAATAGTGTGTTCCATTTGAATAAATTGAGATAACCTCAATATCTGAAAAACTGTTGATTTGGCAACATTGCCATGAATCGGGCATTATATAAAACCAACCTGTATGAAATTTCATCAATTATTTCCTCTGAGCCGTTTTTGAAATATGAGACCGTTCCTAGACTTTCCCAATTTTGATTCGCTTGAACAGAGATAATGACCAGTTCTACATGAGTTCTACCGATTATATATCTTCCATTAGCGAAAAGCTATCATGTTGCGGTTTTCGCAGGCGACGAACTTCACGAAATAGACTAGTTTGATATTTTCATTAGTGCGAAATGGCTGACTCAAGTTAAGATTTCCCCAAGTGATAGGTATAGAACAAGGAACAAGTATCACAAAATGCACTATTCTCTTCGTCCATCCATATATTTAATACGTAACTGGTCTTGAAATGAATATTTCATCACAGTTATGTAACATTTTTCTCAATACAACTGTAAGTAAGTAATGAAGTGTCAAAATTAGAAAAATGGACATTGGGTACTTTCTATTGTGTGTGTATTAGCGACGTTTACTCCAAATGTACCTAATAGTTGATTAGGTTTTCCATTAATAAATCCAGCTTCATTCGTAGTTTTGTTAGTTTTATTTATTCACCCCAGTAGAACCATTAAATACATTATTCGTTTTTATTCATAACTCTCATTATTCGATTGATCATACATCACCTTTTCTGTATCCATCAAGCACAGACAAAGAAAGACAATCTAAAGACCGAGCCTTACGACTACTGACAAACTGACATATCATCAGTATTGTCACACACTTTTTCTAATAATAATATGTAAGGATTTTAAGGTACCTATATCCAACAATTTCTTCAATAAATACATATTTCATTCACACTTATCGCCCGAAGTATTTTGTATTATGTCACATAGATTGCCAATAAGATTGAACACAATGAAGTAACACTGAAATGAATGTTGAAATCTTGAATTGGTTATAACTTGCGTTTTAGACAACTGCAAGGGCCAATGAGGTGCCAATTGATACGTTGAGTTGGGAATTCACCGTTCTGACGATAGATGCAAATCAGATCCAGCTGCCACCGGAAAACGGAGTTTACGTGAAAAACACGTACCTAGAAGGTGCTGGTTGGGATAAGAAAAACGCGATGCTGGTAGAGCCACAACCAATGCAGCTTGTGTGCAACATGCCGCTGATACATTTCAAACCGGTTGAACAACTAAAGAAGAAAACGAGAGGTAAATACGATGTCAAATAATTGAAAAAAAATATGTTTTTCTCCAAGCGGCAGGGATAGTGGCTTTTTCCTGCCGCTTAACAGGCAGAAAAGGTGTACTTTTACTGCCTAGGCAGAAAAAGTTTGTTGCTATGCAACGTTCCGAGAAATTCTAATGAAATTAGTAGGTAATCAAAATTGACACTGACATTGGGTGAACACAAAATGATGGAGTTTTTAATAAAAAAATTACACAAAATTGGTTTTATATCATATGGAGAAAAAATTCTATGTTTCACACTGCAGCAAATGTAGACTGACTGCTTTTGCTGAATTCCTACCTCGCTAGGCTCGGCTAGGCTAGGCTATCAACCGCGGCGGTCAATTTACTACTTTTCTGCCTAGTAAAACAATAGTAGATTGTTTTATTAGGATCAAAAGTGACACTTTGTTTGACAAGCGAATTTTGCATTTGCGAGGCGGAGCGTTTAGCGAAGCCGAGCGAAAGCAAAATTTGCGAGTCAAACAAAGACACTTTTGATCCGAATGAAACATGCTATTTTTTCTGCAACCGAAACAATTAACTCAAATAAATATGTGAAGTTACAGCCAATGCCGTGCCATGTATGTATGCAATGCAACAAATATTGACAAATAATTCGTGTAGTGAGAACATTCTACCTGCATCAACAGCAGGTTCATTCAATTTTCAAGGATGTTCGAATTGTAGTTCTCATGTAAATACAATCACAGAGTGACATATTTGTGTATGGACCAGGTGCTCTAATGGCAAATACCGCGCCAGTGCCAGCTATAGGAACAAGACGAGGAAAATGTTAGGTTAGTGTTAGTGAGCATATCAACAATAATATGAGATATTATTTACTCCTCTCCATAATACAATGTTTTTCGCTTGATAATCAAATGAAGGTAAACATTATCGTTGTTTGAGACAAAAAACTATTGCTTGCCGTGATTATTCAAAAACAAGTTATCCATCCCAAGAATAACGATTGAAATACAGATCCAGCAACTATTTGAATCTTGAGGACTTCCCTGATCAAAACAAAAATACTTAACTGAGATGTTTATAATTCCAATACTTGACTATAATAAGGTGTATTTATATCTCCAGCATGGGTATGAAATGCCAAATCTGCTGAAATCGGTAACAAATCAGGTATGCGTCTCAACCCAAATAACCAGCCGTCACAATGTTGTTTATTCTTGATGACGTCCAGTATATCCTTTTTAGTTCCTGGGAGCTAAAGTTCAACTTTAGCTCCTAGGAACTAAAGTTCAACTTTAGCTCCTAGGAACTAAATATGTTGCCTAGCAACATACCTATTTTTGTGTCAGTAATAGAAACGTCAATTTAAGAGCTAATTTTGGTATCAAAATGGACGACTTTTGTGTCGGTTGCAGAAAAATAACTATCTTGTCACAGGAAAAAAGTTTGACATATCATCTCAGGTTACAAAATGTCATTTTTCCAAGATGACTGTTTTCCCACGGGAAAAACGTGAGTACTTTTTTCCCGGATATACAGAGAACTGCACAAAAAACGGCTAAGTGCTATATCTCTTGAATCATTCCAGATCGGATTTCGAAATTTGGTGGGTAGCAATTATTCCATATTGCTCATTCATTGACAAGACAATTGTTGTTCTATCACTTGCGGTTTCACTGGAAACGACCCCAACTTTTGATTTTCAAATGGGACGCCCTGTATTTAATTCCATAATCGGTTAGGAATTATCATGACGAATTCAACGATAACGGGTTTAATAGGGTTATTTCAAACGATCACGAAGATATTTGCGATCGACGTTTCCAATGGGTGTGACTTGCAATATCGAAATTTCTTTCACTGTCACACTCATGGAGCAAATGGAAACTTAGAACGTCAATATCTTCGTAATCTTTTGAAATAACCCTATTAAATCCGGTATGAATTCCCAATTAAGAATCAACAGTTGGGGTCGGTTCCGGTGAAACCGGAAGTGATAAAGCCAAAAACACCGACTCTGAAAGAGAAGAGAAGTCCTTCTTATCTTCCTATTCCACTTCGCGGTTTCGTGAATCACCAAACAACCACTAAGTTCGTAATTTTTAAAAATCAAATCACAGAATTAAATTTACTGATATTCGATTAGTTGAAAATGTTTCCATAGCAACAATAAAGATTCCCACAAAAATATGCCTGCAAACACAGGTGTACTACCAGTTAAAAACTTGAAATATCACATTGATAATTTTATGATTTTATTATAATGTAATATCTTCTCAATATTGAATCGTCGTTTTTCCTGTCAAAGAATGAACAAGAGTATTATACACGGGAAAAATATTACATTTTGCTTGTTACCCAACCATCACCAGGTAGCTAAGCTGCTCATTGCAACTCTGTGGCTTTTGAACTCATTGCTTATGTCAAATCAAAAGTTGCTCAGTAGCCCTCATTTGAATGAAGTGATATGTTCTATCAACTTGCGGACCTATACTATCCCGACAACACTGTTTATAGAAACATTGAATTCGCTTGGAAACTGTTGAAAACATGATCAGGGGCTGTATTAGATTTTTAAACAAATAGTATAAAGACAATTTATTCAGATACATTTACTGCCTCATTCAATGGCCCCATCGAAAATAATTGCATGAAACAATCAAATTCTTGTTGGCGGAGCGATTATCACTAAGTTGGCGATATGTGAGTGGTTGATACGTAGAATTGCGGAAATATCACGTTTCACGTTGAAATATGCGTCGATAAACCCCAAAAAGATGAATAATCGAAAAGCAATATCATCGAAAATCACATATCTGTGTCGAAATGGCGGCCGCTCCGTATAGCCTAAAAGAGGCGGCTGCAAATTTCGACCTTCATCTAGTAACGAAATAATATACAGGGTGTTTCATAATTGGATGTCAATATTTGGAGAGGCGATTTTTGGGCACATTCTGAGAAGAAAGTTTCATATGAACGTATGACCTAAACGACCTAACTTTTGAGATACAGGGTGGTAAAGATCTCAAAAATTAGTAGTTTCTTATTAATATCTGTAATACCACTTCAGATATTCTGATGAAATGTGGCATACATGTACTATGTATTAAGAGGCATCAGTTAGTGTACCACATTTTTTTGGGTTGCCACCAGTGGCGTTCGTATGGAATTTCACATACCTATTTTGGCAGACATTGATTGCAAGCCACTGATTAATCCAGAAACTGAAATCATTTCTGGAATTCCCAATCATTTCTATGCAAATTTGATCACAACAATTTTTTCAATCTGATGCACGGTTTTCGCTTGAAAAAAATAAGAAGCTTTTCACTACATGATCATAGCAATATCGTTAATATGACAATATCACAATGCAGAGAAATAGATTCTATTCTCAGATCAAATTTCAGAAATACAATTCATAGTTTATGAACTTCGTATTCGTATTTGGAATTATGGAATTATAACTTTTCATTGTAGTAGGCTATAGTAATTTTTGAGAACTTTACCACCCTGTATCTCAAAAGTTAGGACGTTCAGGTCATGCGTTCATATGAAACTTTCTTATTAGAATGGGCGCAAGAATCGCCTCTTTGAGTATTGACATTCGATTATGAAACACCCTGTATATTCCAAAGGCATGTATCATCGAACTGCACCTGTGCCAATCACTATCCTGAGAAAATTAATTTAAAAATTGCACTTTCCTGTGCGGAAAATTGCACTCGATTTCGCGATTTGATAACGAGATAAGAATTATGCCATCCGATACCAATGAACGAATGATAGATTTCAAAAACCTACATGTGCCATACTCCTCAGTCTGAGCCAAATCCACGGCACAGCGATTCATTTGCTGTTATTATTCCGGACATACTTCCGTCATGTGATAACGAGTTGAAACAAGAAGCAAATGAAAAGGGACGATGTCGCCTTTGCGAATATCCAAACGTGCCGCGATTCAAACTGATCTAAATTAGTGGCAGAGCGTCAATACTTCTGGGAATATTTCGCCTCCTGTAAAGATAATATCTGATTGCACAGTGTGAAACTATAAACCACAGTATATTTTCCGTGAAAGGATAATATACTGTGCTGTGACTAAACATATGGATTACAATACTTATTGTAGTGTGACCACCGGTCCATCGGATATTATCTTTCGACGAGGGCGAAATATTCACGGAAATATTGATGCTCTGCCACTAACTTAGATCAGTTTGATTCGTGGCACGTTCTCATGGATATTCGCAAAAGGGACATTTTCCCCTTTCGTTTGCTTTTTGTTTCAACTCGTTATCACATGACGGAAGTATGTCCGGAATAATAGCAGCAAATAAATCGCTGTGCCGTCGTGGATTTAGGTCAGACTGAGGGGTGGCACAGGTAGGTTTTTGAGATCTATCATTCAATTGGTATCGGATGGCATAATTCTTATCTCGTTATATCAAATCGCGAAATCCAGTGCAAATTTACGCACAGGAAAGTGCGTTTTTTTATTCATTTCGCTCAAGATAGTGATTGTCATATAGACTGTTGGCCCGCGACACAGGGTTTATCGATGTTCTAAGTCGGTATGCCATTTGAGGGACCCACCCACTCAGTCCGATTTAACAATAAGAAGTGCCTCGGAGAGTCGCAACCCAGTCCTTGCCCCGGCCCTGTCCTCACCTTTCGGTTGGAAAAACGTTCAAAATTTTGTTTAAGAAGAAGTGCAATGATCTTATCTCACGAAAATTGGGGAGCTTGCCGGTTTGCATACGCCTAGGTCACTCCCCAAGGGCGGCATACGAACCGGAAGTGGAAATTTTTCAGTGTTATAGTCGATGATCGAAGAATGTATGCCCTTTGGCGAAACAATGAATTCTGACCCATTACTCAGTTTCCTGACATTTGCATACGATTCCGGAGAGGGGAGCTCGATTTATTCGAACATCATTTGACTAGATATTCTTCAAATAATCGATAATCGAAGAAATGTTCAAATTTTGACAATGGTTAGTGGACCACACAGTATATATGTGATGATTGTTTGCATACAATTTGCACATTCCGTACAGGGGTTCTCACCATAAATATCTCCCATTGTAACTTAGTTGTTTCTGAACCGATTTTAAAATTTCAAAAACCAATTAAAATGATTTTCCTAAGAGATTTTTCATTGTTATCAAAAAATTCACAGGCTGTTCATAACAAATGAACTATGGGATAGTGGTTGATTTCTTTTTACTGGAACACTATATTTTATTTCACTATCGAGTTGAGATTATCATGACGAATACAGCTCTACAGCATCTAGCGATATCATTTACACGCAGCACTCTTATATATAGCGATCATGCGCCAAATTGTCAAATTGTGCCAGAAATATGAATCCCGGGTTTGAAGTATTTCCTATCTTTTGGTGAAACAATTTTCATATCTGAACAATGATTTGCTGCGTCAGCCGGGTAGAGTGTAGCACGTAATGATTTAGGCATTCAATAATGTTCTTCCCCTTTATCGGAGATCCGATATTTAAATATCTGAAAAACCATTTACTTTTGTATAATGTATATCACAGATTCATTCACTTTCTACTGCCTCCCCTACCAGTGGTATGAATCGGATTACCATTAACCCTGTATTTAAGTGCAGCGTGTGAATCTTATCGCTAAACGCCAGTCAACTATAATACTGGGTTTGATGAAGTTATGTCATTGTCAGTTACATAAAAAATAATGAAGGGGGCTGGGCCCTTGATACTTTTTTTGGGTACGATTTCAATTGGTATCTTGGTGAAGCTCTTCCAGCAAAGGTTGGTGATATCATAATCTCTGAGACTTCAACTGAGAAAGTAGGTATCAGGTATATCTTTCGAGCATGCCAAGATTTTTCAATAATCAAATAATATTCTACAACGACAACGAGAGCAAAGATGACTCTGAAGATAATGATAGAGAGGACGACGTAAAATTTTTCTTTTGAAACATAATGTTGTTTTCATTTAATATAATTTCATTTTCAATTTTTTTTTATGTGAAAAACAAAAATGTAGATTGAAGCTCAGGATACAGATATTCTTCAGACGCCAGTATTATGATAAGCAGTCCCTAAGTCCCAGGGAAGAATTTCAATTCGATTTATTGTGAGTTTAGATCATGAGCAACAATCCCTGTATGATTCCTCTTGATCGTCCTGCGAGTATCTTGTTGTCATTTCTCTTCATCATCTTTTCAAAGCCCTGTTTTTCAAATCAAATTAACACAAAACAATTTCTTGGTACTAAACCTCTCACACATGTAATTTTGTTGAGCTGTAAATTTCTGATGAATAAATACAAATATATCTGCAATTTGCGTCTTCGAATATCCCCATCACTCCCAGGAAGTTTTTCTTTGACCCGGTTTCATGTGAAGTGAGATTATGAGACTTTCCGATTATCTAGTTCACTTTCGGTGCACATCTGGCCTGAAGTGCGGGGCGCCGCGCCGGACCGAGGCACGCGCGGGTTTGCCCGATTATTACAACGTATGCTCACATTGAATTCGTATGCAAATAGCAGCCAGTTATAAAGAATTTCCTAGTTTATCGGTCTAGAGTTTTGCATACGAACTTAAATCATCGATTATTTGAAAGATGTCTAGTCAATTGATGTTCGAATAAGTCGAGCTCCCCTCTCCGGAATCGTATGCAAATGTCGGGAAACTGATTAATGGGTCCGAATTCATTGTTTCGCCAAAGGGCATACATTCTTAGATCATCGACTATAACACTGAAAAATTGCCACTTCCGGTTCGTATACCGCCCTTGGGGAGTGACCAAGGCGTATGCAAACCGGCAAGCGCCCCAATTTCCGTGAGAAAAGATCATTGCACTTCATTGCCGAGCTTCTTCTTAAACAAAATTTTGAACTTTTTTCCAACCGAAAGTGAGGTCAGGGCCGGGGCAAGGACTGGTTTGCGATTCTCCGAGGCACTTCTTCCTGTTAATTTGGACTAAGTGAGTGGGTCCCTTGAATGGCATATCGCGGGCCAACAGCCTAATAGGTGCCCTTCGATGAACTACAATGTTTTTACTCTCCTCTGGGACATGTATCATTTCGTTATCAGATGACGGTAGAAATCTGTAACTGGCTCTCCTACTAATAGAACTATTACAAAGTAGTCGAATAACAATAAATAATTGTCTTATTATATTTGTTTCAGGTCTTTATTCATGCCCGTGCTACTATTTTCCGATAAGAACAGGATCTGGAAATCGTCCTGCATTTGTTGTAGCTGTGGACTTGAAAAGTGGAATTGAGACATCAGATTATTGGATCAAACGTGGTACTGCATTATTATTGAGTTTAGCGAATTAGTTATCGGCATTTATTATTTTGGATATGTCTATATCTACTATAAGTGCATTAATTTTTCTATTTTTGAAGATGTTGTGTATCAATCAATAATGTTTGAATAAAGTTTGAATTTGTAATTTTGATTCAATTCATAACATTTTCGGACATTCGAAATGGTTTCTTGACCAGTCGAACTATACCTTTTCAACTTCAATCGGAATCGGTAAGTTATATTTTGGAAAAAGTAATCTCGATTTCAGAATTGGTTAGTTCGATTTCAGAAATGGTAAACTCAATTTCAGAATCGGTGAGATGAATTTCAGAAAAAGTCCATTCAATTTCAGAAATGGTAAGTTGTATTTCAGAATTGGTAGGTTCAATATCATAAAAAAAATCCTTATATTTGTTCGAATTGTTTCCAATTGCATGTGAGATTAACAAACCATATTTAAAATATTCATCTTTTCAAAAACAATTTAATCCACTGATGCCTTCCATCTGAATCGCTGGAAGATAGTGGCGTCGCACATGATTATAAGAATGCCAACACATTTGAGGTGTTATCATTTTCATTGAATGATCTGCACATTCTTCAAAACTTCGCAGTCTGAATTCTATCTGGTTGAGCAATCTGTTCGGATCTCCAGCTATGACCCTTTGGCGATGTTCTTGCAAGAAGCTCTTCACTTCTGAGGCACCCCATATATGTTCAATCTGATTCATCATAGGTCTCTCAAACACCGTTCCATCCACTGTAAACAATCTTCTCTTTTGCAATTACATTTCAAACATATAAAAGGATTTCATCTTCTGAAATTGAACTTACCAATAATAATTCTGAAATACAACTTACCATTTCTGAAATTGAATGGACTTTTTCTGAAATTCATTTCACCGATTCTGAAATTGAGTTTACCATTTCTGAAATCGAACTAACCAATTCTGAAATCGAGATTACTTTTTCCGAAATATAACTCACCGATTCCGAAATTGAAGTTGAAAAGGTATAGAACTGAACCTGCTATATCTTGTATCTTTCAGAAATAATATAGGTAAATAAGGAAAGGAGTACGGGAGTATTGTATGGAAAAATGAAGATATCTGACACCTCGTAACATACAATAACAACAACGTTTTGACGGCTGTGTCAAATCTGTGGTTTGAGTGGGCACATACGTTCAGTATGAAGTCTGAGGCTGAGTATGGGGGTATTGTATGGAAAAATGAAGATATCTGACACCTCGTAACATACAATAACAACAACGTTTTGACGGCTGTGTCAAATCTGTGGTTTGAGCAATACGTTCAGTATGAAGTCTGAGGCTGTGTCAAGTCTGTGGTTGGACCGGGCACATACATTCAGTATGAAGTCTTGCCATCAGTTTGACCAATCAGCTGTTTGGGAATATCGGTCACGTTTCAAACCTGCCCACAAAGTTACCACGTTAACGTCTGATGGGGATCCCAGTCAGCCAATGACCATTCTGGTATCACCACGTGGAAATATCTCGAAATCGGCTTTCTTTAGCTGATTTTCACAGAAGTACATTTTTTGCTTAAACATTCTTGAAAAAATTATTTCCTCAACAAATAAAGTAACAAATCACACTGAGAACAAAGTTATGGCCATTCTAAACCATAAGAAGTGCATTGGCTAGTGAGGTGTCCGTATTCGTGTTTCGCATCACAAAAAGACCCAAATAATATCAATTTTTTAAGTTTTTCGTTTGAAAATGGTAATAAATTCTGAGAAATTCGATTTTTATCCTTTAAATGTACCACCCTGTACCCCGGAAACAAAGCAATTTCGGACTAAGGTATAAGTTTCTTTGAAGCGGTACATTTTGACCTCAGGAATATGTGCTGAGATATTGTACACACCGGGTACATACTTTTTAGGGACACCCTGTTCGAGACCTACTATTTTTTGACCTACCAAGGCTATCCGGCAAAAATTAATAGTTCAAATCGGGATGTGACCAACGCGACTGACATTTTGACACTAGCAGTGGCACTAGTGGCAGTGACGTCATGCTTGTTTTGACATTTAAGAATAGCAGTCATAATACAAAATACAATACTCACGAAATAAATTTTAAAACAAAAATATGATATGAAATAAATGATAAAATGGACTGACTGGCTAACCTGAAGTCACTGGAATTTGTTACTTCAGGAATGTCGACTTTGTATTGAACAATTATTTCAATAATAGTTGATGATATATCAGAATGGAAGCTATCACATACACAAGTCTAGAGGCATTATTGTGTGAGTTATCCAACCATATTTCATTACAGGGGTTTATACCCACCAACTGAATTTCAATTCTTTAGTTTCAACTATCTACTTTTTCCAGTAAAAGCAACAAACCCCAACAATCTCAACTTTGATAGTGCAGCAGTTGAAGCATTTTGTACTCTTATCAATAAGGAAAGAGATGGTGCTCAAATTGGTGTGAAAGTTATCTCAAGTCGGCTTCCTGTTAGTGAGGAGAAAGAAGCATTACAAACCCTGAATGTTCTTGACATTTGTATGAACAAATGTGGTACACACTTTCAAAATGAAGTAGGAAAATTCAGATTTCTAAATGAGATGATAAAATTGGTATCTCCAAAGTACTTAGGATCACACACTCCCTTAACTGTGAAACAAAAAGTTCTGCAGCTGTTATATGTATGGACATTAGACTACCCTAAAGAGACAAAAATCAAAGAAGCTTTTGATATGTTGCATAAGCAAGGAGTTATCAAAGAAATTCCAAATCCCAATGTACCATCTATTGAGGGTGTGAATATTGCAAAACGAAAATCTACTAACTCACTATTTCAAGATGAAGAAAAGGCCAGAATATTACAGAAATTACTGCAGAGTAAGGATCCAGAAGACATTCAAGCTGCAAATTGGCTGATCAAAAGCATGGTTAAAGAGGTAGGTATATAAATTAAGATATTCTTCTAGTGAGTGATTTAAAATACTATTTTGTTTTGTAGGATGATAAGAGAGCAGAACTGAAAAGTAAAAGAGTTTTAGACTTGGAATCTGTTAAGAATAATGTTAGGCTACTGAATGAAATGCTGGATTCTTATAAACCTAGTGTTTCCTCTTCTGGTGAATTAGACATTATCAAAGAACTTCATGAAAATTGTGAAAGACTCAGACCTATGATAAATAAATTGATCTCAGAAACATGCCAGGGTGAAGCTATATTGAGTAAGTTATTTGCCCTACATTTTATCTGGTTGAAGTAACAATCTTGTCTGTAGATGATGTTCTGGAGACTAATGATGAACTGTCATCTGCTTTCAATAAATATGATATTCTTATAGTCCAAGGCAGAGGTCTGCACATGAAATTACAAGAAACTAGTCATGAATCATTGCTTCATTTTGATGCAGCAGATTCAAAGTCCTTAGAAAACTCTTCTGCTATGAAAATAGACCAAAAGAGCAGTGCTGAAGGATCCACTGTTGATGTTCTTTGTGATATTTTTACAAATATAAGTGTTCCAGATGTAGCTGAGGTTTTACAACCTGTTGCAGTGTCTAAAAATGGTAATAATGCAATTCTGTTTGATAATCATTGATTTCATATAATTTACTATTTGAAGAAAATACTAACAATGGTGATATCAAAGGAGACAGGCAAAGTAAGTTCAAAACTTTGGAAGATTTAGATATACTTGGAGAGCATCTCATGAGAGAAAATTTGCCCAGCAAACAAAACAATTTCAGGTTAGTGCATATCTACTTTTAATATCTCCTTTTTGTGGTGAAGCTAATGATAGTGCTCCTATATTTTCACACACCAAATCCAAATATTTTAGAAGTCCCTGATGGATTCATCAGTACTCAATTTTATAACAAGTAGAAATTACCTGGAAGGCATCTCTTACAATAACATCTACATTTTTGTCTTATCTTTTGGAGGACACAAAAGGGAATCCCTATTATGTTCAAGGAACAAAAATCGTTCACATGAACTATTGATGCCAGATTATTTCAGTCTATTGCAGTTCACACACTTGGCATATAGTATTTGGTTCTGAATTTAGAGTAATCAAGTAATCCAAGCATTTTATACATTTCAATAAGACCCTTTTATTCTTGTCTATCAATATGCACACACTCAAACTATGCTTCTTACATGGGTTTCTGTGAAATCAAAGCACTGAAGATGAAGTCATTAATTTCAATATACATATACATGATGCTGAAGTGTTAAATTCTGTATTTTCTGTCAATACAAAGTTGCCCTAATCATCTGCAAGAGCAAGCAGACAGCAATACTAATCTTTCTGTATGCGAAGGTGCAAATGTGGTCATGAAATGAAAAATAAAATATAGATTAAATCTTGGATTAAATTAATATAGAACACATGTAAAAATATTGCATTTGCAAATTACTGATCAACATAATCATATTTTCAAATGATCTTGTTATTGTGTACATATCTACTTAACAATTTTTCACAGGAATGGGCAAGAAAAAATTCCTATGAACCTCTTGAGCAAAATTTCAGCTTTGAATCAAACACAACCTGCACTTTCAACTGATTCAGATTCTCTAAGGTTAGATCTGAACTATCTATTGAAACCAAGAAATGATAGTGCACAATTTCTGAATGATGAAGCACAAAAAACTAATGATACTGATTTTCTTGTTGAAATCGCTGATGAAAAAATGTTGGACTTGGATAAATCCTTTGACTCAGATTCTCTTCTTCCTGTAACTGAGAATGAGTTCAGAGCAAAGAATATCACCAAAAATGTCCTTAAGTGTGAAATAAAGTTGAATGATGTGGTCATCAAACTGGACGATATCAAACCAAGTAGTTTTCCACCTATGAAAGTCTTGGATGAAAAAAATGGCATCAGTGTGACAATGCACCTTGCTAAGGATAAACCAAAAAAAGGAGTCAATGTTTTTGTTATTACCACCATCAGCAAAAATGAACTTCCCTTAAGTAATTATATGTTTCAAGCTGTTGTTCCCAAGGTGAGATGTTTTTGATTTTCAATAGACAAATCTTTTTCCACATTTGAGACCTTATTATTTTTCAGGGTTGTAAATTGAAATTGCAGTCTCCTTCGTCCACGGATCTTCCTGCTCATAACCCCTTTTTGCCTCCTTCTGCAATTACTCAGATAATGTTGATTGCCAATCCTGAGGAGGTTCCAATTTCTATTAAATTCATTATAAGCTATTCCATGGATGAGGACACCATAACAGAAATGGGTGAAGTTGATGATTTACCAATACTATGAGCCAAATTGATCATTTTTATCTCCCCTATCCCACAACAGTGTTCTCTTTCTAAGGGAGATTTCAATTTTAAGACAGTTGTATTTATTTTCACCTTGGAATTGTTACTTTATACATACATAAATCCTCGCATGAATCATTATTTTTGCATTTCCTCTAGAGGAAATATATGTGTTTGTTTATAATTATTATAGTGTACTTTGCATTTAATATAAATGATTGGCTTAGACCCATTAACTAAATCACATTATCAGAACCCAGATCACAAAAAAGTCAATTTTGCATAATAATTGACAGAGGTTTAGAAATTGTGAATAGGTGAGCTGGGTAGTTACTATCAGTATTTCAGGGAAATAATCTCTTATGTATTTAGAATACATACATTGAAAATTGTGACGTTTTCTAAAATCCTGTGTTCCTTGTGAGAATTCAAACCAAAGAATCATTTTTTATGTTTTTATACAAGTAGAGTCATTATACAGAATCTCCTTACTATTTATAATATTTAATTTATCATGATTATTGATGATATTTGTTGAGTGATTTTAGGAAGTCTGAAGACCACAATGTGACATGTATTTTGTATCCGATGTACAGTGGATGCCATTTTGGTTGAGAGTGCAAGGTTTCTTGGTTGTTCTTTGAGATAGAACCTTGTGGTTTTCACGTTCCTGTCCTACTTTTATCTAAAACTCAAGATGGCCTAATTAGATTTTGCATAACTGTTTCCGTTCATAAGATACAGGGCAACTTTATTTCTAATATCTTCGTAGATATTTATAGGTGCCCAAAAAGAATGAAAGTTTATAATCACCCTATACCTTATGAAAAGCAGGGACCGTTATTCAAAATCTGATCAGGCCATCTTGAATTTCACAAAGAAGGATAGGAACATGAAAACCACAAGCGTTGATTGATATATTACGAATATATCAATCAACGCCACAAGGCAAATGTTCAATAACTGAGAAACATGGCAGTCTCAACGAAAATCGGTTGCACTATACAATCAATTCAACTTGATGCTATTAAGATGCTTTATGCTTTAATTTTACATTTTTTATTTAATTTTATTTGAGACATACCTAATTATAAGTAGACGAAATTTCATATTTGAAGATACAAGTGGATAAAGGATTCATGAGTCACAAAGTTCATTTCCAGAAAATGACGTTTAAAGTGTTTTGTGTCTTCCTTCTTTGTGTAGTGAAGAACAACAGTATCTACCTATCCACTGAACTATAATCTCTTCTGAATGGGCTCATTTTCATGAGAACATTTATGTTAATTACTAAAATGAGTTTTCTTGATACAAAAATCTGGAAATCACATAAATCCTTTCCCATGGAAAATACTGTTTCAATCATTCCTTTTTCGAGGAGACATCAAATATCCAGCATTTGATTTATTTGTGGTAAAATAATCCATTTACATTTTTTTGCCTTGTGAAATATTTCACGATTTTCAAAACTGACATAACCTCCTATAAGAATAATTTTGTCAGAATTTGAAATAATTCTATTATTACAACTGAATTAAGGATTTCACCAGTACCACAGTAATTGTGGATGTACCTACTTGATGCGTTTATCCCACTGAAAATGTTTTCAAGATGTCATATACATATAGATCTTTTATTGACTTGTGTCTTCATCTACCTATCAGGTGTTTGTGACTGTCAATTCATTTCAGTAAAATCTGATACTTCTTGTTAAATACACCAAGTAAGTGATAAGTCCTCTATTATTATTGAGGAAATATGTTTCTGCAGTCATAATCCATCACAAAACTGGCAGTTTATTAATACCTGGTATATTGCAACAAATTGTACATGGCAGATATGGAATTAAATGGCAACACAATTTGAATTGTTTATTTCTTCCCATCAAACTGATTCAAAAAATCAAAGAGGACTATTATTTAACTTAACTAAGTATTACAAACTTATTATGATGCATCCCTGAAAGCTAAAGCAATTACTGCTTTTTGATGTCCAGCATATTCTCTTTCCATAACACCCTTCTTGACATTCCACAGTTTGGCATATCCATCTGAGGAAGCTATAAAATGAAAAAACTCAAGATTTTTTCTGATTTTCTTGTGTCCTTTGATCCTTTATTCCAAATATTGTTGGTTCAACACTTGAATAATAATTAACAGGGATCAAAACACCAACTCATCTCCACAATTTTAATATTGATCAATATTACTCAGTCATCATCATTTATGCCTGGAGCATAAATAGGCTCATCTTCAGTGATAAAGAAAACTATGGAGAAGAAAAAAGAAAAAAGTTGTACTCATGCTCAATCACATGGCAATGAATGAAATAGTTTCCTAAAATGAATAATAAAAAAATTAGTTTCCTAAATTGAATAATGAAAAAGTAGTTTCCTAAATTGAATAATAAAGTGGTTTTCCATATGATTCCAACTGTGACAATAGAAATGTTGAAAAACTTATACTTGAATAAGCAAAAAAATCACCAAAGAGAGTATATTTACCTGTGAAAACATACTGTGCATCTGCACTGAATGCAGCATCCCATACCCATCTCTGGTTTTCTTGTATCAGCTCCTGAACTAATGAGAAATCAGAGGTGTCCCAGATTTTTGCAGATTGATCTGCTGATGTAGTTATCAACAAACTGAATGAAAAACAAACTTCAATTAAAATGACTTCCTGAGCTTTGATGTACTCACTTTGAATCTGGGCTAAATTTACATTTCAATGCATGTCTTTTATGTGCTTCAAACTTTTGTTTTGGAATCATTTTTGTAGGGGTATCATTACTACCAGATACTAAGCTCCAAATATAACATTTTCCTTTATTGTTCACAGATGCCATGAGCTGACTATCAGGAGAAATGTCTATATCTAGAATCATAGCATCATTCTCAGGTATCTGAAATAAATTTCTTGAAAATTTGCCTCATATTAAGAATGCTGATTTGTACTAGCTGTTCATTATTGTCTGTTCTTAGGTCCCACCTATAGATTATGCCATTTTGATCTCCCACAAACAACTCTACTTGATTAGGATGTAATGAGACACAGTTTATTGGTGCTTGAACCTCAAATATCTTTGGACACTGGTTATTTCTAGATCGTAAATCCCAGATTCTAGCTCTACAGTCTTCTCCACCTGAGTACATCCATTTACCATCTTCTTGAAATCCCACACTAGTTACATTTTTGGAAGTTCCTTCATAATTTACTATTGCACTGGGATTGTTTGAATGTAGGTCATACATGTATATATGCTGGTAACTTGCTGCTGCTAAAAGGTCTTTGTCTGGTGAGATTTCTAGACCATTCACTTGCTGAAATTGGTATGCAAGATTAGAATAGGAACTGAGTGTCCAAATATACAGCATTTGACTAGGGCCAGTGAAAAGATTAAATCAGTAGAAAAACTTCCAACAGCAAGCAGAGCTGTTAGGCTTCTGATTTGTAGCTTGATAATCAAGAGAGCAAAAAATCCATTAGGATGGAGTCACCAGATCAAATCAGATACATGGTGGCATCCTGCATGATAATTACTATATTCATATACATGATTAATAGATTTCAACCCTTCTCTGGCCCCAGTATCAGTAGTTTCTTTTACAGATTCTGCATGCTGCATAGTCCTGCTGCAGATTCCAGTGTGTGTTTGCCATAATTTGATTGTGTGATCATAACCCCCTGTAGCCAAGATTATTTGGTCATTTTCTGAATTTTCCGTCATCATGTAAAAGCATTTTAACACTCAATCCTGAAATAAAAAAATAGAAGGAATAAGGCTACTACCAAGACGTGATACGCGATGTATTTACTTACCATTGAAATTCCATTACGTTGTGACTTTTTTAAAGTTTTTGAGTTTTTCGCTGTGCCTTCACAAATCACATCAAAACCAAAGAAGAACAAACATCTCATTCAAACTATCTTTGTGACAGGTGTCATGGTGTCAATTGTCAGAGAGTCGAGTTGCCTGAATTTCCGAGGACTGCCGAACGGTCAGTGGCGTCCTCCAATTAATGGATACACCGTTTTCTTGAAAATTTAATAAATTCCAATAGAAACAAACGGATAAAATATTGGTGAATTATAAGAAATTGAAATATGAAATTATTCTCTAAAAATATCGAACTACTTTATGATATATGCAAGGGCGTCATTTCAGTGAATACCAGAGGGGGGTCAAGAATTGTTCTGGAGTTCAAGGTGAATTGGTTTCAAATCGAAAATAAGACCTCTTTCAGAGTGAGAATAACTCCATTTCAGTATCTGTATACCAGGAAGAGGGGATCAATAAGAAAACTTAGACAAATATCCCAGACACCGAAATGACGGCCGACAATATAGGACACTTGAAACGAGTGCATTTGCAGATAGGAACTTATTCATGAATGACGGTAAAAACGCACTCTCGGATTTCGCGGTCAGACACTTTTGAAAGAGCATTTGCAAGCGCATATGCGTTGGTGGCTGAGCGCTCCCATCTATGTTCATTAGAATTTGTTGCCGCTGTAGCTTCTAAGTTAATGATTTAATCGCCGGTAATTTGGTTTAGGGTCGGTTGGCGGCTGCCTGGACACCTCGAAGCCGCCAGGAAAGTATAGGTACACTCGTCTTCAACGAACATGTCGCTGTTTGACGGTATAAGCCTAGCTCTTATTGCAGCGGTGATCAAGAGAGCTGACACCGTCCATGTTCGACGCATGATCTCTGAAAGACGAGTGTACATGAACTACCGGAAGCCGGAAGAGGTGTGCGTTACAAATGCTGGACCGATGGCTTTAGTGTTATGTGGGATGCGCCGCAGGCGAATATTTCGCTGGGATTCAAGGTCAAATAGTTTGGATGTCCATGACCCTATGACCTGATCTTATATGCATAACTATTAAGCATGAGGGACATCCAGTTGAGTTGATATCCCATCATAGAAGGTCCAATGCACTTACGTGGAGGACATTGACGGGCAGTGTATTTATTGCCTACGAGCAGTCGATCATCGGCAAGGTGTAAGTTAACCTCCCTAAAGGGACAATATATCAAACGTATACCGACTGCTGAGACATCCGTATAGGACGTTATTATTATTTCTAAGACATTGAAAAAATAATAATTTGCTTGCGTGAAGGATATATCTATCTGAAGTACTGATGCCAATGTATGCCACCGATGGATGTCCATTTGAACACATTCCGAATCGCATCCAGAAGATCGACATTCTGAAGACGTCCTTGGGGCGTCCATTGGACGTTGTACTAATGACATCTCATGAAATTATATTTTCTGAAGAATATTATTGTACTCATTAGTTAGATATGAACATATGGATGATCTATATAGGAGTTCCTTCCGAAGTCATAACAGTTCATGTACCGATTTTGGGACATCCGAGGGATGTCTGTAAGGAACATTTCGTAAGTAACTTTTTCGCATGATTTTTCGTTTTGAAAGTTGTACTTTTTATGTACGATTTTACGTTTCCGCCATGACATGTGGTGATAACTGTGGGCACCAGAACGTACCCATATAGCAACAGTCGCTATAAACTGACAGTAGTGGCAATCAACAAATAAGAATTTCAGACCAATCTACCTTCCTCCATTCACTGCACTAGTAGTTCTCAGCCAAGTTCTCAGCAACAAACTGATCAAGGCATTTCAGTAGTGGGCCAAACACTAACCAATCAAATTCAGATACGAAACGACGTTCTTCCAGATGTTGCGGCATCTGCTATATCACAGCATACAACAAACACAAATTACACTTTCAATATTTACCATCGTTAATGTTTTAGTTATTGTTATTTAAATGTTCTTCAAATAAGTTTCCTATTATATCGATGAAAAAACAATCTTTTTCATTAATTTTCAGTGCATGATAATATCGTGCGGAAAAGTAACTTTACCGCAGTAGTGCTGAAAAGTTACTTTTCCTCACTATTTTTGATTTGTAGTATCATTATAAAATATTGTTTATTGAGAACCTTTTTTTTTTCATGAATAATATGAAAAAAAAACACTCGTAGGAATAACTTTGTACCTTACTCTTGCGGAAAATGTCTTTTCTGCCATTGACGACTTGACCGAACTCCGCTCCGCGTCGTTCTTGCAACTGCCGTCGTGTGCGGAAAAGTCCTACTGATGTCCGCACTTGTTAGGTAAATATGTATTTTCTACTCAAGCGACTCACCTATCAGTCACCTAAAGAATGCAGGTCCGGATTAACGAAAATTGATCATATTTCTGGACCCCAAAAAGAATACCCTGTATTTTCGAATTTCCGAAATTCGCTTACATATTTGGAATGTACGCAAAAACCGAATCAGATATAGTATTCTTTATTTTATTTTTCCGCATGCTCTTTTACTAATGAATTTCTGACTTTGAATTTGAATAAGTTTTATGCATTTGGAAAAGTTAAAATGGAATATTTTGAGTTTTCCCAATCGAACAACAAAAATTATAACAAATGACCTAGTAAATTTTATTGGAATTTGGTATACAAGACCTTCCCTTCTACCCAGTAAGTGACTCACCTAATATCTGTAACGAGTATAGAACTGAGGTCCGCGGATTAACGAAAGCCCCAAAAAAACACCCATCAGTGTAATTTCCAAAATTGAGGAAAATAAAATTTTACAAACAGTGATATGTTATTATATCGACTTATATTTGAAGAATCTTTTCCCACAAATACATAAGTATTATTATATAGGTATAGTCAATAGTAATTTTGAAATAAGTGAAGACATACTTCTGGCTTATTCACCGATGCTACTATAGCATAAAAAATGTAATATTCTCTCAACTGTGATAAAAAGCACACTCTGTTTAAAGATTAGAGGAGCACTGAATGAAAAATCGATTGAAGGGCCACATATCTGAATTTTGCCATCGAGAGCTGAATCAATATGTTCTTGAGATTCAGTTAGTTTAAATTCCGAGCTCTTACCAACAGTAAAACCATGCTGATGAGCGGAGAGTATTTTATTTTTATTAAAAAACGATAGTAATTGATTTATGTTCATTTCAAAAATGTTACCCATGCTGGATAGAAGACTAATTATATCCACTTGAGTTCTTGATTTGGTTTTATATATTGGGTTTATTATAGTGCTAGCTTCAATATATCGGGTCCCATTTATCAATGATAAATTGATGAGATATTATGTAAGGGGATAGCTAATTTGCACAGAATAAACCAAGAGGTTATTTGAAATGTAGTCGTAACCACTTGTATTTGAAGTTTATAAAGATCTCATCCTATCTACATACCTGAACATCTATAATGGGGACACCCTGTGTAAAGGATTAATTTTCAGTCCCATAGTGAAATCAGGTAAAACGAATACGTTACTCCCGAATGGGTAAGAATCAAATAACTTAGACAGAATTATTTCCTTTTTTTCTGTGACGGGAAAAAAGTTTGGCATTTCATCCCTGTTGGCAGGTTATAAAATGTCACTTTTCATAAATTACTTTTTTCCCGTGGGAAAAAAGTGAGTACTTCTTTCCCGGATATACAGGGTGTCCCAAAATTGCTGGGACACAGAGCTACCACGTGTAGAGGAGGTCAAAATAAGTTGATTGGACCCAATTTATTTATGTGCCAAAATGTACCGTTTGTCCGTGAGAAGGGTTCAAAGTTCACTTGAAAAAACACATTTTTGTACGCTGTTCAGGAATGAGTGGAACGAATTTGATGAAATTTGGCAATAGTGTATTTCAGAGGATTACTTTCCTTTTGATAATCTAAGAAACCTAAAAGAAATTGTAGAAGGGTTGAAACCACCCTCACCCCCTGACGTTTTCTTCATAACTTTTTTAACGGTCATGATACGGTTCTGAAATTCTTCGTGCTTGAAGACTCATCAATTACCTTCATTTTATCACTCCTGTGAAAATTTCGTATACCAAATAGTTTCGAAGAAAAAAATGTTCTCTCAAATAATGCTACCAGATATTCCTATAGTACAAGTTTAATTAAATTGTGATATAAAACTTAGTTGGCAGTGGAAACGAAGGCAAGTCGTGATTTCGAAAGGAAACAAATTCATTGTCATTCAAGTTTGTTGTTGACGTTGTCTGTAAATGTTTCAATAAATTCTTCAATTTAGTTATTACCGCGGGTACCATTGCTATAGGAATATCTGGTAGCATTATTTGAGAGAACATTTTTTTTCTTCGAAACTATTTGGTATACGAAATTTTTACAAGAGTGATAAAATGAAGGTAATTGATGAGTCTTCAAGCTCAACAATTTTCAGAACCGTATCATGACCCTTGAAAAAGTTCTGGAGAAAACGTCAGGGGGTGAGGGTGGTTTCAACCCTTCTACAATTTCTTTTAGGTTTCTTAGATCACCAAAAGGAAAGTAATCCTCTGAAATACACTATTGCGAAATTTCATTGAATTCGTTCCACTTATTCCTGAACAGCGTACAAAAATGTGTTTTTTCAAATGAACTTTGAACCCTTCTCACGGACAAACGGTACATTTTGGCACATAAATAAATTGGGTCCAATCAACTTATTTTGACCTCCTCTACACGTGGTAGCTCTGTGTCCCAGCAATTTTGGGACACCCTGTATATCACATATATATACACTGTTGATGGCTTTTGTTGTGCTATAGTTCCGAAAAATGAGTCAATAATACCGTCTCCGAGAAAGAACTGCAAGTCCTTATTTTATCTTCCATTCGACTTCGCGGTTACGTATATTGCTAAATAACCCAACTAGCATTTTCATTCACAGGCACCATGGTTCAAGAAACTATTACCTATATTTAGTGATAATAACGTATTTATCACTTATTTCAGAACTTCATAGTATAAATGTCAGTGATAGTTATTTAGTGAGTGAAAATTACGTAGTTTTTACACTAGATAATAACTTCAAAGTGAGAAATTCTCATGGCTTA